CATTAGTCAGAATAAAGCGAGGGAGAGGAAGAGAGAGAGTATAGAAAAGCGAGAGACGCAGAGAACGCCCCCACCTCCTCGTGTCTAATATATAGACCAAGAAATGTGTATACTTTTTGCAGCAGGCTGCACCGCACAACGAGCGGAAGAAGCATTAGATAATTGCCCCGTCTTATCTGGCTTTCTCACTCTCTCTCTCTCTCTCTCTCTCTCTCTCTCTCTCTCTCTCTCTCTCTTTCCCTTCAGATAACAAGCTGTCGGTCAAATCTAGCGGCTTCTGGGTTTCAAATTTTGACCACTACGCTGGAGATTTTACGGCTTTTTAGGGCTTGTTTCCGGTCAAAAAGCACCTTTTCCAGATATTTTAAGGCCTTGGCAAGTCAACAATCCCGTGGAATTTTTTTGCGATTGCTGTAAATTTTCGCACCATAATCGATTACACTGGTTAAATTAATAGCGTAACCGAATTCCCAGTTTTCTGACGATTCTCGAGTGAAATTAGCATTTTAACGCTATTTTTTGAGGTATTGACAAGTCAAAAGCCTGATGGATTTCACGAGACTTTCATACCGTAATCGATTACATCGTCTATGAATGAATTAACCGATTGCTCGTTTTTATGGCAGTTTTGGGCTGAAATAAGCATTTTGACGCTATTTGGAAGTCTATTTCATGCCGTAATCGGATGACAAAACGCAGATTTCATAGCGTAATCGTTTCAACGTACAAAGTGCTTTTTTGCCATCGGTATGACTAGCGAATCGCCCTTTTCTCGCCCTCTTCCCCGCCAAAATCTGCATAATCCCCCCTCTGAGCACATTTTCCAGCTGCCGGGTGAGTGTCGATTTTCGAGGTTTATTCCTGTCAGTTAGCTTGTTTGGAAGCAATTTTAAAAAAGCAAAATTTTTTTTCGATGGGTGGATTTGAACTCGGGCCTTTTGCCTGGTAGTCTACAAGCTAACCGACTGCGCCATCTATTCTTCAAGCCTTTTTCGGTAAATTAGTACGCTTCTATGTAAAGAATTTTCAAAAAAACTTTCCGATGGGCCGATTTGAACTCGGCCCTTTCGCCTGGCATTCTAGCTGCTAACTCCGCCATCTAAAAACTGTTGGAAAAAATAATTTTAGCATTTTTTGAGCGTTTTTTGCCGTTTTCAAGTGGTTCCCTTATTACCCTCGTGTCGGCATCCCTTTGTTCCTAATTTTAGCACCTTTGGCTTTATTTGATGGGCCTTTTCTGGGTTATTTCTCTCTTTCTCTCTCTTCTCTCTCTCTCTCTCTCTCTCTCTCTCTCTTCTTTATAAAGTAAACATTCAACGGATTCGAGACCCCCTCCTCCAAAAAAGGAAAAACTCCCATCGAGCCGCGGCGTGATAAGCCATTATTCATTCCATTTTCTGCCCGTGCAGACGGGCTCATTTTTTTTGAGGTGTCGAGCGTCACTTCTCCAGCTAACGAAAGTAGAATAAAATTTATGAAACACCATCAGTTCTGCTTTACATTAGCGGGCCCGAATTCCGCACCTTTCCCTCCTTTTTTGAAGAAAAATTCATTCCCAATAAAATTCCGTTTCCTAATAATTATATCAGACTTTTTGCAATTGTCAATCGATCAATCGATTTTTTTTATGCCCACGATTTTCCGCTGGATGCGTCATCGTATGAATTCCACCCCGAAAAAAAATTGGCGTCGAAAATAGGCCAACCCCGCGTTGTACCAACCCCCGGCTTAATCTGCTGTTTATTAGCCCCCCGAAAAAGCTCTGTTTTTGGCGAGTCCTTTTGTGGACTATAAACGCTAAATTACGCTTCGATACGTTACGTTATAAACTGTGATACGCTAAGATACGCTAGGCTGCGCTCCGTGACAATGCACTATACGATGCGTTAGGTTACCGTGCGATACGCTACGATATGCTACGATACATTACGCTACGCTACGCTACTATACGCTCCGATGCAATACGCTACTCTGATACGCTACACTAGGATACGCTACGCTACGATACGCTCCGATGCAATACGCTACGCTAAGATACGCTAGGCTAAGCAACGCTACAATAGGATACGCTACGATACGATACGCTCCGATACGATACGCAACGAGACAATATTGCCTTTTTTAATATAAAAAAATAGTGTTTGTGTGTGTGTGTGTATATTTGCATGCACTTCCGTTAGGATGTTCCGCACCTACAGCCTCGGGGAAGGGTTTTTTTTGGATAGGGAAGAAACGACAATAGGTTTGGAATGGTCCGGAATCGACTGCATACACATCAAAATTTTGAAAAATTGCGGTTTTCGCTATTAAAAATAGGTTTTTGTAAAACCCTGTTTGTTAGGGGAAATTAGCATGCGCCGGAAGTAGGAAGAGCCTATATAAAGGGACAGAGGAGCCGTTTTTCATTTTTTTTTCTTGCTAGAATTCAGGAAGAAACATGCAAATTAAGGACTTTCACAGGTCCTGGACGGGGCCAGGGTTGAAAAGCCGCGAAGCGGTTTTTCAACCCTGGTTGCCTTTTTAATATAATAACTTTGAATAGATTTGGTGGTATTTCCTGCGTCCTCATTTCCTATACATTTCTTTACGTAGCTCCTATTTTTCTGCGTATTTAGGAATGACGGCGGAATACTGGGAACAATATCGAGACTGTGCCGATACGGTGGAAACGTTGGGTACGGTAATTTTGAAAAAGTACGGTTTTTGGTGTCGTAATCGATTGTATTGGGTACATTGGCCGCCAGTTAGTACGAAACTGTCCCAAATTTAGTAATACTTCGTTTAGTATTATAATATTTGGTTCTGTTCTATTTCGCGGGGGGGGGGGGAAACTGTGCGGGGGGGACATTTTCTCCGTTTTGTTATAACTCTTTTACATGATGCTATTTTGAGTTGTAATGAAAACTCTTAGTATATTTTTTGACGTTCTATGGAATGGCATTAAAGAAATTTTTGAAAATTATCGAAAATGTCGAAAACTAGCTTTCGACTCCACGATCCCATGTGGAAACACCGAATAAACCTTGTTTTTGCTATAACTATTTTATAAAACAATATTTTTAGATGAAATTAAAACTCTTAGTATATTTTTTGATGCTCTATCGAATGACAGGTTCAAAATATCGAAAAAATGGCGAAAATGCCGAAAACTAGCATTCCGGAACCAGTTTCAATCGTTTTTTTTGTTTTTGCTATAACTTTTTTATATTATAATATTTTTAGCTAAAACAAAAACTCTTAGTATATTTTTGGATGCTCTATCGAATGGCGTTGCAAAAATTCCGAGAAAATAGCGAAAAACTAAGATTCCGCGAAGCATATTTTCCCCCCGCACAGTTTTGTCCCCCCCGCGAAATAGAACAGAACCTAATATTTATTTTATTACCTAAACTGACTGCCAAAGACAAAGCATTTTTAAAATCAAAAATTAGCTAATGAATTACTGTAGTTTTGACCTAATTATTATAACTGGCTACCAATTAGTACGAAACTGTACTAAAACCATCAAATTTTTTGCGGACTCTCGAGATATCTTAACGATCCCCAAAAATCAGGGCCGTTGACCCGGTCAAATGGATAGTTTCCGGAAGGAGATAAGCCCCTCTTTTTTGGCTTCTCCTTTGACCTTTCTGGCGGGCAATTAGCTAGGAATTCAGATTTTCAAGGCATTTGGAAGCAGAAAACCTAAAAAATCAAAAATAAATTTTTAAAACCTGAAAATATTTTTTTTCAGGCGTCGACTGTTTCGGGGATGACCGGGAGTCGATGAGTGATTTTGCGAAATATTTCAACAACGCCCATCTATCCGATGTCACATTAATGTGCGGGGAGGAGAGGTACGGTAGAGAGTGGAATTTTGGCGTATTTTGGAGCTTATCGTACTCTTAGGAACGGGATTAAAGGGATGGTGACAGCAAAAAACTCCACCAAACTCCCTTTAAGCGCGGATTACCGTATGCTGGCATCCACAGTACGAAATTCAACCATATCCCAAAATTTTGGCGTATTTTGGAGTGCCGTGTACTCCTAGAAACTCGATTAAAGGGACCGTGACACCAAAAACTGCTCAAAACTAGCTGTCACGGCACCTTTAAACCCGGATTGCCGTATTCTGACGTCCACAGTACGAAATACAGCCATATTACAGGATCTAGACGTAGGTTGTAGCAATTCGTACTCCCACGGACGTGATTAAAGGGATAGCGACACGAAACACTCCCCCAAAACTAGCTGTCACGCCTCCTTTAATGACAGATTACCGTACTCTGGCATCCACAGTATCTCCAAGTACGAATTACAACCTAATGACGGGATGTCCGTGTATTTTGGAGCGTTTGGTACACCTAGGAGCGCGATTAAAGGAACCGTAACAGCAAAAAATGTACAAAGCGCTCCTTTGAACGCGGATTACGGCATTCTGGCATCCACTGTACGAAGTTCAACCGTCTTACAGTACCTTAGTGCATTTTGGAACGCTTCGTACTCCTGGGAGCGCGTTTAGAGGGTTAGAGGGACCGTCACACATGTAGCGTAATCTCTTCCTTTCAGTTTCCCAGCCCATCGTGTCGTTCTCGCCCGCGGGAGTGATGTGTTCGATCGAATGTTTGCCGATCAATGGGATGGACACAAAAAGGTATTCTGCAGTCGCCATTTTTGTAGCCTATACTTTAAACGGCCTATTTCCTGCCGAAATTTGTGGTCTGTAGCCTAGAAAGAGTATTTTGTAGTTTATAGTTGTAGTCTGCCCACCAGGGTGGCGGATTTCGTTGTAGTTTGTAGTGTGTAGCCCAAAAAGAGTATTTTTTTAGTTTGGAGTCTGTAGTCTGTGCACTAGGGTGGTGAAGTTCTCTGTAGTTTGTGGTCAGTAGCCAAAACAGAGATTTGTAGCTTGTAGTCTTTAGTTACCATTCTGTTTTCCCATTTTCAGGTGGTTCATTTGATGGAAGAGCCGGGTTGTACAGAAGACTTTTCTTCCTTTCTCCGTTTTCTCTACTGTAATCATGTCATTCTCCATCCACAGAATACTCTACCAATACTCGTTCTCGCTGACAAATATAATGTTCCATCCCTCAAAAAGGTATCCATTTTTATTCATTTTCAAGGGCCATCGAAGGTAAAAATCCATAGGGTTTAAGGGATTCTTCTAGTTCGAAATCTATAGCTGTTAAAGGGCCATTGAACGCACGAATCCATTGAATTTTAAAGGACCATTAATGGCAAAATCCTTTGCGGTTAAAGAGTCATTGAAGCTAGAAATCCGTAGGATCTTAAAATTGAGCTAAAAATTCAAACTTTTTACAGGGTTAATGAAGGCAAAAACCGATAACTTTTATTCAGAAATCCATAGCTTTTAAAGGGCCGCCGAAGCCTAAAATCCCTTCCGCTTAAAGGAACATTGAAGTCAGAAATCCATAGCCTTTACAGCGCCATTTAAGCGAGAAAACGCGCGTTTTAAAGGTATGCCAAGACTACGCAATCCACAGAATTCTCCCGCATTTATCGCTGAAAGAGCTGTACACTGAATGGTTCAGCTATGCAACAAGGGCATATCATCCGGTTGGTCTCTCTCTCTCTCTCTCTCTCTCTCCCTCTCTCTGTCTTTCTCAATCTCTCTCTGTCTCTGTCTCTCTCCCTCTCTCTCTCCCTCTCTCTTTCTCTATCTCTCTTTCTTTCTCTTTCTCTCTATTAAGGTCTGTCTCTCTCTTATCTCTAGCCATAACCTGGCTGTCACGCTCCCTTTAAAGTCGTTTAAAGTCGTAGTTTTACGTTTTAAAGGGACAATGACATCTTCTTTTTTCAGCCAATAATCCGCGCCTGCATCTCTTCAATTGGCCATCAATTCGAGACAGTAATTGGCGAAGAATGGCAATCAGAATGGGAATCGGCTGATGCCGAACAGATTGAACATATTTTGAGGCATAATTCGCTCATTGTATCCAGTAAGTTGAAAATGAGGGGATACGGTAGAATGGGTGTCAGATAGGAGAAAGCGAGAGAGAGAGAGAGAGAGAGAGAGAGAGAGAAAGAGTGAGAGATTGAGAGGGTGAGCGAGAGAGAGAGAGAGAGAGAGAGAGAGAGAGAAACAGATAAATAGATAAATTTTTCTAGATGAATTCATTGTCTGGAAAGCAGTCCTCCGATGGCTGAATTCCCCTACCCACCCCGAAAGAAGAGAACCGATTACGGTAGCAAAACTGATGAATAACCTACTGCCGCTGATCAGGTAGGCGTTTTAAAGGGACTTGGAAGTCGAAACGTCGAAATTTAAATTTTCTACGCGGATTAGGGTAATCAGGTGTGCAGTGTAGCTTACCGTACTCCCTGGGATACTTTAAGGGATGGTGACATGAAAATTTAGCCAATTTTTTTTTTAATGCTGTTACTTTCTAACAAGTAAAATATAGCTTTTTGGCTTCCCGGTATCAGGAGTATACGGTAATTCACTGAATTTTTACTTTAATGGATCTTTAAGGGTCATTTTTGTATATTTTGTATTTTGTATTTGATATATTTTTGGATATTTTTTATGATTGTTTTATAGAATACGATATTTTCAGATTCCCCTTCATGTCCGGTGAGGAATTGGCCGAGGTAGAAGAGGGTGAAATGCCGGAGACAGCCCGTTCCCTCCATCTACCATTCGTCAATTTGGCATACAAATACCAGGCTCAGCCGCTGGCCAGAAGGGCTCAAGCAGTGTGGGTTTTGCTTTACATACCTTTACAATGCTTAAAATAGCGTAAAAATTGATCAAAATTCGGGAAAGAATTCGAAACTCGATTTTTTTAATTTTAAATTTTTGCATTTTTTACTTCGAGGCCTCTTTAAAATGATACTTCTGAGTCCCTTTAAAATACTGTAGCCTGGTCAATTAAGTTTTTTTCGTTTATTTAGCTAAAAAACCCGAAGCAACTAAAATTTTCAAAAAAAGCTGAAAACTTAGTTTAAAAAATTTTTAATTTTCGGTTCTCTACAATTTTTAACATACCGTAACCAATGTAATAATGTCATTTTGTAAGCTGGAGGCCAGTATAGCACATTCTGTGTTTATTTAGCTATTAAAACACCATTTTGGCATTTCTTCACTACAGACTACAAACTACACAAATTACCGTATCTACCGTATCCCCACCCATTTCAGCGAGTTCTCCGGCTGTCAATTCCTCGTCCGCCTGTATTCTGACGTGCGTTGGACCGCCCGTATCATCCTCAGTCGTCATGATCTCGACAGTCGTACTCGGCCAGAGATCAGCTCCTCGGTACGACCCAATCCACCGTACACCACCCCCTAATTGCCATTTTTAGTTTATGACCCGTGCCTCTGCTATCCAGAATGACGGATGGAAATGGTCCCTGAAGGTAAGCTACCGTAATTTTTAAGAAAAATCGCTTTTTGAAAAAATTGCTTTTTTTTGGTTTTTAGTAACTGAAACTCTATTTTTTCAGATAATCGGCTCAAATTACGGTGGGGACGAGACGAAACGAGTGATATTAGTGGCTGAGGAAATCGATCAAGCCAGGTAGCGAAAAATCGATATTTTGGGCCCGGAAAAATTGATCGATTACGCCATGTAATTCCAGATCCGTGGAGTACCTGTTTACGATCTGTGATGAGAGCAAAGTGTTACGCTCGGTGGCCGGCAGAAAGAATTTCACAAAGTCGAGGTGGGCTTGAATTTTGATTTTAAAGGGGCTGGCAAGGCTAGCTACGGATTTTCATGGTTATGGATTCTCTCGAAAGTTTCCCGCGCCTCGTTTCTATTAGTTTTTCATATTCTTTAAATTAATTTCAAACATTTTTAAAAAAAGTGCGTTTAAAATTGATAAAGCAAAATGTTTAGACAGTTTTAGACGGTATCAAATTAAATGTCGAAATATTTTAAAAACGCAGAAGTCCCCCAGTTCCATTGCGTAATCGATTAAACTTCCCAAAGGACAGGCGGGGCGTGCGTGTTGCGTGCCGCGGTGCGCTAAAAATCCATAACATAGCCTTGTCCGTGTCTTTAAAGGGATGGTGCCTCCAAGGGATTCGATTACGCCATTCAATACAAAAATCTAATTTTTTTTCCAGAGATTCAACGGAGCTGAGCCTGAAGCACAAGGGAGCCGAATTGCCATTCCATGAGGTCAGTTTCCTCACGAAATTTTTATTTTTCGAAAATTCGTGATTTTCGATTTTTTTGATGACATTCGCATTCAAAATTTGAAATTTGAAATTTTTAAAAGTTTTATCGATTTTTTGCAGGTAATCCGCGACGCGTCCCTTTTCGTCGATGCAAATGAATTGCATATCCAGTTGATGCTCAAACCCATCGAATAATTTACCGATTTTTGCCGATGTTTCGTGATTTTCTTCTTATTTCTCGATTTCCGTTGTCTTTCTACTTACGAAAATCCCTGCATAAAATTTATTAATGGAATAATGTGGCATTTACCGCACTTTTTAGCGCTCAAAATCAAGCTCAAAAGCTCAAAAAAAATCAAAACAAAATCAAAATCAAATCAAAACTCAAAAAAGCACTTTTAAAGGGGTAGCGACAGACTGGAACCGATTACGCCATGAAATTTTGATGAAAACGGGCGTATGGGTTAAAATTTAGAGTTTCTTGTCATTTTTTGCGGCCGGGAATCGATTACGCCATGAATTACGTACTTTTAAAGGGGCAGCGACAGACTGGAACCAATTACGCCTTGAAATTCCGCTTCGTATGCTAAAAAAGCCGTGTTTATTAAATGTTGAGGGTTTTTGGGTTATTTTCCGGCCTGGGATCAATTACGCGAGGAATTTCTGACTTTTAAAGGGACGGCGACATCTCTGGAATCGATTACGCCATTAAATTCAGCACCCAAACCCCCCAGAAAAATCCAGCGTTTATTTTGAGACCAACGAACTTTGGTGTGAGGGATGGCGTGGGGGTGTTCTGATGCTCGATTTAGTGCAGAATTTCCTAGAACCACTCCCATTGCTGCTAGCAATGTTTTTGGGGGCTAATGGCCTGAAGGCATGCTTCTCACACACATCACAAAATTCACCGTAAATGGGCCCAAAACATGGATAATTATTTTTTAGGATGGACCACCAGACGGCAAACACTTTCTGGTTTTTTTTGGAAAATTTCGAGGTTTTCGCTTGGTAATCAATTATGCGATAAAATTCTATTTGTTTCCCGGCTCCTTTAAACAGTTTTGAATTTTTCTATGGACCGGCCGCCATTTTAGAGATTCTAGTAAAAAAAGATCGGGATCGAAAAGACCTCGAAATCGCGCAAATCTATTCGATTACGCCATGAAATTAAATCTGACTTTCCCCGCCCCTTTAAGCCATTTTTCAACTTTTTCGCTTGAGTGGACAACATTTTAAAGCTTCCGACAAAAAACCGACGGAAAAATCCTTGAAATCACTAAATTCCATTCGGCTACGCCATGAAATTCGTATTTGGAAGCCCAATGTCAATTTTTCGAATTTTGTCGGATAATTCGTTCAACTGGTTGGCAATTTGATGAAATATTCATGTTTTCAAGTTTCTGCGCCGCGCGTATTTAAATTATACTAGAGCCAAAACACGCTTGGATGGATGCGTCGAGCAATTTGCCCGCCTCCTTTTTCTGCCCTTATTAAAAGAAGGTCAATTCGAAATTCCGAATTGCTCCAATAGACACCTCTTTTCCTCATCCTTTTTTAGGGACTACGCGCCTTTCCAATTAACGCCTCTCCCCTCGTAGCCGACAAAACGGAAAACACGTCATTTTCGAGCAGATAAATTTGCTTCCGGAAATCGACAGCGAGGATTTTCATTGCGTAATTGATTACCGTATGCTTTCGACGCTTTGGAAAAATGTCTATAAAACGCTACGATATCTTACGCTGTGTAGGTTACGTTATGCCACGCAACCTTAAGTTAAAAGCTTAACCCTAAGGTAATTTATGATACGATGTGCTACGCTACGATACGCCGGGCTACGCGCAGCTACGCTATTACACCATACCCTAAACGTACCTTTAAAAGAGAAAAACAAGAGGCATTACCGTCATTTGTAAAGTTCTGAACACTTCAAAATCTAACGGCATTCAAAAATCAAAATTTTCCGAAAAAAGAGGAAGAAGAGAGTTGTTATGGAAAACAGGCAATTTTTGGGGGAATCACGGAGAGGAAGTGGATTTGGGGGTTTCCTCGCGAATCCCAGATTTTCTCGTATTACGTGCTCCATTCTAATTTTATTTTTTCAAAGCTATTTTTTAGGATTTCCTGAACGTCAATTTATTTCGGACGTCATTTGCACTTCCGTGTAGCGTTTTGGATATTTAGCAGAATTTAACCAAAAATTTCATCTCGTTGACAGCCAGTGTAGCATGTTTATCGTTTGAAATTCCGTTTTTAAAAGATCTTCAAATAATTTTTCGAGTTACTGGATGCCAGTTTAGCGTTCCGTCTATAGTCCAGTTACGTTTGCTTCTGCAATGAGTTTTGCAACTTTGAAAGCATATTTTAGATTTTCTGACTGCCAGTTTAGCGATTTGCCAATTGGAAATCATTTAAAAGCAATTTAAACGTAATTTAATTCGAGAATTTTCAAGATTTTTGGTCAGTTTAGCCATTTACACCTTTTAAAAGCGCTTTCCTAAAATTTTACAATTTTTACGGAATTTCTGGACTTTCTGGCATCCAGTTTAAAGGACCGTCAAGAGTACGGCCCCGTAGTGGCCTCCAATTTTAACTTTTGTGGTTTGTAACCAATTAATATTTGGCGTCTATTTTTTTATTACATCGTAGCCATCTAATGATGCGATTCCACGACATTTTACACCTGCTGACACTCGCTGACATTTCACCGGCCTTTCCACAAATATTATCCCAGATCATTTGGCTCAACGGTTTGTCATTTTTGACGATTTTCAGGTGCTACAGTAGCCTAGCGTAATATAGGAAAAAAATGCAAATACTAAAAAACGCATATTTTCCATGTTTTAGCAAAATCAATCGGCATTTTCAGCAATATACCGTCGTAACCCCATAATACCGTAAAATTGACAAAATTGAAAATTTTCTAATTAGCTAATTTCCGAAAAAATTCATATTTGGCATCCTTGAGAAAATTAATGGAAAGCCTTACGCAATATTTTGTAGCCCAATCCATCGTAAACCGGCCAAAAATCGTCATTTTTATCATTATCGCATTTCGGATAAAGGCTTGAGATTTGTCAGTTTTTAGAAATCAAATTACTGTCATTACAACTTTTCCTATCTCCGTCATCCACCAGAATTACCGTAACCCTCAATTTCCCATTGTAGAAAATGCTTCGCCACTTCCTCTGCATTCTTGTCTTCATTCTGGGTCTCGCCGCGGCTAGCCCCGCATACGGTAGGTTTTCTGGCTCCCAAATGGTCTCAGCTAGCTTGCCTAGACCCTAGTTTGACGATTCCTAAAGAAACGCTGCTCGATTGCCAGATAATATTTTCAATTTTTCGCAAAAATCGCTTCCAAATCGCCTCCGCTGGCTTGCCTGTACCCCAAAATAACTATTCCTAAAGAAACGCTGCCAGATTGCCCCAAAATCTCACAATAATCGAATTTTTAGACTTTTCAGTAATTTTCGACCCGACGGGGGCCGAGGGTTTCGACGCGACGTACATGATGAACCCTGCGTATCTCATCAAAAAGCGTTCCGGTGGGTTACTGCGAGAGAGAGAGAGAGGGAGAGAGACAGACAGACATACAGATACCGAGAGTGAGGAAGAGCTCAGATTTTAGTTATTTTTCTGCCTTTCAGAATATTTCTCGTTTTCTCAAATACCGGATGCTCATTGCAGAATCCCGCGAACACCGTGCCCTTCCCCTCTCGACGATGAAACAACAGCTCTATCTGTCGCGATTGGGCTGAGAATGTCTCCAAACATCGTATTTTTGGTGTTTTCCCCATAAATGTGCGAACTGGCTGTCAGGATAAAGTTTACTACGTTTTCGGGGCAATGAACTGCAACTATAGACTACGGATACAGCTCTGAAACCTCTTGGAATAAAATCAGATCATATTATAACTGCGTTGATTCTTCGAGGATCGGAAGTGAATGCCCGATTTGCAGTCGCATTTTGTGCTGTAGAAGAGCGGGCGGCGATATGAGTCAGGGCGAGAGAGAGAGAGAGAGACAGAGAGACAGAGAGAGCGAGAGAGAGAGAGACAGAGAGAGAAACAGAGAGAGAGAGAGAGAGAGAAATAGAGAGAGAGAGAGAGAGAGAGAGAAAGAAATAGAGAGAGAGAGAGAGAGAGAGAGAGAGAGAGAGAGAGAGAGAGAGAGAGAGACAAATAGAGAGAGAGGCCAGCGCCGGTTACATGAACTTAAAGCTTTAGAAATGTTGTCTAAAGCGGCTTTTAGTTACAACTCAAGCCGGAGGGACAGGCTCTGTAAGATTAGTATAGAAACTTTGCATCTGAAATATCTCGGCGGAGGAAGTGAAAATCCGCAGGAAGAAGCAGTTGCCCGTCTTTCTCGACGTCGTGGCATAGCTTTTCATCCGGTATCAGTAAACGGGTAGGTAATTTTTACAAAGTTTCATAAAAAATGCCGAAGACTTGACATTTTTTGAGTTGTTTTTATTGTTTTTCCACCCGAAATTGAGTTAATCCTACTATATATAAAAAATAGTGTATGTGTGTGCATTTGCATGCAACTTTCGTCCGTTTGTTCCAGGCGTATCTCAATAAGGGAGCAAGTTAAGGGTATGTATGATACGTCATTAGGTGCGTAATCGTCATGACACGACTGCACGCATAGGAGTTTTTTAAATCAACTGTTTTCGATATTAAAATTAGGTTTTTTGTGAAAATTTCGCTCGGCCCTTGGTTAGGAATTAATTAGCATGCACCGGAAGTGGGGGAAGCCTATATAATGGGGGGAGGACGCGCTTTTCCTTTTTTTGCACAGGATGGCACAGCACAGCACAGCACAGCACAGCACAGCATTTGCACAGCATAAATGGCAGGGAGTCGTGGACCGATATCGCTCCAAATGATTGGAAGGAGGATGAGGGTGATATTGGTCACAGGGCTGCCTTCACACTACTCCTCTCCAATGCCATCATTCAAGAGGTTTGCATTGAAATTTGGTGCTTTCGCATTATCGGGGGGCGAACGGTAAGAGTTTACTTTACCCCCCCACAGCAGAAGGGTCTCAAAGTTGTCGGTATTTTCGCTTATTTTGTTGGGATTTTTGCAGCGCCATTCGATAGAGCGTCGAAAAATATACTAAGAGTTTTAATTTGAGCCTACAATAATGTAAAATAAAAAATTTATAGCCAAAAACTTCCGGCTGGGGGAGGGGGAAAGCAAACCGTAGCCGGGCGAACTTTTTTTGTATGTTTAGAAATGCCTAGAAACTTAATATTAATGAGTATTTTAATGATGTTTTTAGTTATATTACCATATTTCAACTAGAAAAGCTAACTAAAAACTTTTAAAAATTTTCAAAAGGTCGAAACTCCGGGCAAAAACGGCCATTTCGCTCCAAAAAATCGATATTTTTTTATGTTTTCTAAGAAACCCCCCCGATAATACAAAAGCACCTAGGTTTCTATTCGCAAACTACTAAAGAATTTTAATTGGCTCCAAAATTCGGATTGCAGGCCCGGGAACTGCCGCTCGACTTCGGGCTCGATTTCTGGGCGTCGCTGAACATGAAGATGACGCGATTCATCGACCCGAAACGTGTCGATTGGATTGTACACTTGCAGCAATTTCTCGGTCGGTTTACCGTAATTTAGCGATTTTTTTTTGTCGTTTTTGCCTCAACATCTGGCTTTGTTCGCAGAATACTTCACGCCGCCCGAGTTCTTCTACCACCATCCGATCAACAATCGATCGACGAGCTACGAGGAAAGCGGCCGCTTTTTGCAGAGTCGCCCCGTCAGTTTTCGTGAAATCGGTTCTTTCGCATTATCGGGGGGGGGACGAATTTTTCTTTTAGGGATCCAATTTTTCTAGTAAAACGGAGGTTCGTTACTGTTTTTTTGCCATTCCTAAACATTCCAAATTGTGATAAAAAACACAAAAAAATATCGATTTTCGTCTAAAATTTGAACTAAAAATTTTTCTACGTTTTTTCAAATGTTTTTCCACCGGAAATATTTATGGACAGCAAAAATGATCCCCCCGATAATGCGAAAGAACCTCGAAATCTGCTAACGAAAAACGCCCTCATTTAGTTATGCGCGGCGGAGAGGCTGCATCTGGCGGTGGAGCCGATGAATCTGCCGTTCATGCACGGTCTACGGCCCAAAGAGCTGATGATGGCCATCAAGGGGAACGAGGGCAATCCCGCACACTTGGTGCATCTCGAAATTTTTGTGAATGCCCTCATCCAGGTATCATTTTTCCGGGAAAGAACGGTTGTTGCTCTGCAAATGCAGAGCACGTGCAGGACGCGAAAGGCCACGTGGCCCTCTGCACGAAAGGCCACGTGCAGGACATGTCCACGCACGTGGCCCTTCGTGTCCTGCACGTGGCACTTCCAAAAGCTCCAGCAAGAGAATGGCATTTTTTGGCAAAATTTATGCAAAATCTGCTCGTAAATTCAAGAATAACGCATATTTTTGATGCAAATTGCAAAAATCCCCATATTAAATTAAAAATGAAAAGTATTTTCGCTATTACTTTAAAACCCGTCGGCCGATATGGCTCAAACTTTCCATATACATGGGAAATTGGCTTCGCTACCTCTGTGCAAACTTTCAGCTCCGTAGGTGCCATCTGGCTCAAATTTTTGGGGGGGGGGTCTTTTTTTTGGGACACCCTGTAGAAACACTGACAGTTGAAATATTCATAATACGCACTCCGTCGTAGCCCGAGGTAGAAGAACCATCTAAACTTTTCTTGTCAAAGCCTGACCGTACTTGTACAATACAACTTACCAAATTGTACAATACCCTCTAAATAAAGCTCAAGCATATAGGTGCATACCTTATAACCAATCCCGATAATAGATGAAATCATATTACCAATCGTCAAATTGAACATTTGGGGGCGCGACTAAACTATGTTTGATCAATAGAAATAACAATTCTTACCACGGATTGCAGCCTATGCTGACGCTTTTTGCGACATTCACATCTTAAACCTACCATTGACAGTGGGCATTACTAGATAATGTTTCAATATAATTATTTATGGAGTAGATCCACAAAATTTTTCACCCCGAGCCATTTTAAAACGTTCAAAAAGACCTGCCACATCTGCAAGTTGTTAAATAAACTCGGACTTCATTGTAGACACATTGCTGTTTGGATGGGCGATCGATTATGTAGTTGTCTTCACAATCTATGACCCTTTTATCTTAGTCAACATTCATACCTGTGAAAAATAGTCCTCGCCACTTCTCGCATTGTCATCTAACTTCCGGTTCGAAACCGAGTTGATGAGGGAATCATTGATAAAAGCAGTTGAACTTTCAAAAAGAATGCAAAAAAAACTTTGAACGGTGTTTGAAATATTTGATTTCCGGTTGACTACGAAGTTGACTTGTTTACGGGGTCCACGTGCAGGACACCGTGGCCCACGTGCAGGACACGGTGGTCCACGTGCAGGACACCCAGGGCCACGGTTGTGCATGTCCGGACATGCACAATCGTGGTCTTACGTGTCCTGCACGTGGCCTTTCGCGTCCTGCACGTGCTCTGCATTTGCAGAGTGAGGATTCGCGGGCCGGGGGATCAAATTTTTTCGGCCCAAACCTAAATTTTTCATATTAAAAATAGCGAATGCATTTTTAAATTGTTGTTAACTATTCCTAAGCACCAAAACTATATAAATTTTAATCAAAAAATTAATTTTTGGGTTGATAAATGGCATTTTTTCCTCCCAAAATGGCCAAATTTTCGACTTTTTCAAACTTTTTTCAAAGTTTCTACTTTCCATATAGCTAAACCCTACGAAAAACAATGTAAAAAGACTTTATATTTATTTACTAGGCCAACCGGGACCGCCAGGAAAAAAAAGAAAAAAGGAAAAAAGGAAAAAAAACAGGAAAAAGGAAAAAAAGAAAAAAATCCCCCCGCGAATCCTAAAGAACCAAAAGAACCGCGAAAGTTTTGCAGCGTTGGTTGCGCGGAACGGACGAATACGGGAAAATCCAGATCGAGCCCGGCTTTTACCGACAGATTGGCGCTCGTCTTTTGACACGTCAGTCCCCCACGATCTGCATTCTGCAAGGCGATTTTCAGTGATCGACAAGATGGGCGGGATGATGCGCCCTGAATTGGGATGGATCGATCGGACATACGAGGGATTGAATCTCATCCTCAGGGCTAGCGATGTAGGCTTTGACAATAGCATACTAAAACTGGTTCTTTCGCATTATCGGGGGGGGGGGCGGCAACTTTTTTGCAAAATCGGAAAATGCCTTGTAACAAACAAACACACTCCGAAACAGAGTAAGTAAGTTCATAGAGTATGAAAAAGCTTCAAAGCGTTGGACAAAAAACACCAATTATTTTTGCTATTTTTAGCAATAGTTTATAAAGTTTTCAGGTTTAGGAATAATTAAAGACCCTTTAAAAACGCCTTCTCTATTTTTTTAAATTCGAAAAATTGGATCCCTGAAAAAGTTGCACCTCCCCCCCAATAATGCAAAAGAACCGCCACCAACGACAATTTGTAGGGACAAGCGCTGCTAGTGTATTGGGATGATGAGAATGGCTGTTTCTATCTGATTCCCTGCAATTATAACTTCCGCCGGTAATTTCCAAGCACCACTTTTGTTGCGGAATTCCATTTTAGGGGTCGCTGCCTCGGAAGTTACGAACGAAACGAGAAGGCCCTCGAGAGGATCCAGGAATTGATTGTACTTGTCTTTTGGTTTTTCTTTTTTTGCGGCTACGGTTTGCTTTACCCCCTCCCCCCCCAGCCCGAGAGTCCCAAAGTTTTCAATATTTTCGCCATTTTTTGCGGGGATTCTTTGATGCCATTCGATCGAACATTAAAAAAAAATCACCTAAGAGTTTTTATGGCAGCTCAAAATATTGTGATATAAAATAGTTATAGCAAAAACCAAAAATAACCCCCAAAAACGGGGTTGAGTCGCTAGTTTTTTCGAGATTTTTGCTATTTTTTCGACATTTTCGATACGCCATCCGATAGAGCAGCAAAAACTATACCAAGAGTTTGAATTTCGGCCCAAAATAACGCTATATAAAATAGTTACAACAAAAACCACATTTAAACGCGATTTCCCTATAGTTTTTAACGCGATTTCCCTATTATTTTTTAACGCCAATCGATAGAGCGTCAAAAAATATACACAGAGTTTTAATTACAACCCAAATTAATGTAAAACCAGGGTTGAAAAGCCGCTTCGCGACTTTTCAACCCTGGCCCCGTCTCGGACAACATGCTGTTTGCCATTTGCATAATTGTCCTCTATTCAGAAGGCAAAAAAATGAAAATTAACCTCTTCAGCCTCTTCCGCCCATAGGCGACCACCCACTTCCGGTCAATGCTAATTATTCCTAACAAAGAGGTTTTTACAAAAACCTAAATTTAATAGCGAAAATGGCTAATTTTTCAAAATCTGATATGTGTGCAGTCATCCCTAGACCATTACGCACCTAATGACGTCTCGAACGTAGCCTAATACCCGTCCCTTCTTGAGATATCCTCCGGACAGACATCCGGAAGTGGATGCAAAGTGGCACACACACACACACACACAAACACACAAACACTATTTTTTTATATATAGTAGGATTAAATGGTGATGCCAAAAATAGGCAAAATTCGCATAACCTGTCAAAATTGCATAAATTGCATAAATATTATTTTAATTGCATAAATTTTAATATTGATTTTTTTTCGCAATCCCCGGTTGGGGATAGTAGCTGGGACCTAGGGCTACCGATTCGTGGCCTTAAACAATGTTTGGGACCTTCCGGCTGGCGGGGGGGGTAAAGTAACTCTTACCCTTTTTACCATCCCTTACAGGTCCTGGGAATGCTCCAGATTTGGCCAAGACCGGAAGTGGAAGCGGAGAGGATCAAAAACCTTAAATTGGAATGCTCGCAGTTCAACGCGTACAACAAGGGCGCCACGCAAATGGATCTGTTGACTGATGCGGTGAGAAAATATTTGGGATAAGAAACATTATCTAATAAAGCGCTAAACACAGGGTGTCACAAAAAATCACACATGTCTGATTGTCACGCTTTAGATATCTATCGAACACTCAAAAAGACTACGCTTTTGCGAAACGGGCGGCTTTTCCGATGTTTTTTCTGTTCAAGGGTTTTTTACAAAAACGACCATTTAACGATTTTAAGCCTTTCCTGGCGACCTAACGACACCTTTTTGAAGCCCGAGGCGAAAACGAAGCTTGGATAGCGGTTTGAAGTTGGTACAAAAAAGCGTGCCTTTTTGCCTGAAAAATGCCAAAAATGTCGAAATTTGGAAACGGAGTGACGTGCTGGATGCGGCTTTTCGAGAGCCTTCGATACATACCTAAATCGTAAAAATCGGACAGGTCTGCGGCAGGCTGGTGGGGGGGCGGGGGAATTCCGGTCACTTCGCCTAAATCCGTTTCGCCTAAACCCGTATCGCCTAAAACCCATTTCGCCTAAAGTTTTGGCCATTTTCTTAGTTGAATTTTCGACAGAAAAAGATCGAAAATCGGGCAAAAATACAGCATTGAAAATGGCCAAAAATTTAGGCGAAATGGGTTTTAGGCGATATGGGTTTAGGCGAAGTTGTTTTAGGCGAACCGGCCGTGACCCGGGGCGGGGGGCGGAAAGGTGATTTTTTGGTACACCCTGTATATCTATTTTTGCAGATCTGGCGGCCGAAAGGCGAGAGGCATTCGCCGTGGATAACCATCGGCAATATGATCGCCCCGGAAACGACCTATCCGGTAGGATTCCAGGTTCTGAACTCTTAGCGGGCGGTGGGGAATCAAATTTTGCCCCTGTTATCCTCTACGGCCCTATAACAAAATATAAATAATTTTTATAACATTTTACGTAGTTTTTAGATATAAAAGCTATATAAAAATAATGAAAATTTTCGACAGTTTAGGCCTTTTTGGTGAAAAATGTATGAAAACTCGTCAAAAAAATTGTAAAAATATTTTTTTATAACTTCTTAGCAATCAAAAACTACTAAAAACACTATAAAAATACATAATATATCATCAACAGCTAGAAGAATAGGTGCAAAAGTAAAAAAAAAAGAAAAACCAAATTTTTTCCCCTGCTAAAAAACCCGCCCCCCCCTAACAGTCCCGAACCAGATTCGAAACCCCCTAAAAAAAGCTCCACTCAAATCCTTCCCGAAAATTGACGAGGCCCCAAAATCGCAATTAATTTTCAGTTGGACGCCTCGATGCGGTACGCCTACAAATACACGAAAAGCTTTGAGAAGACCGGTGAACTGCCACCAATCACCGGATGCGGGCCCTTCTCCGGATTGTGATTTTATTGTCTCGGAATGTCTTGTTGTTACCTGGGAAGTCGCTTTAATAAATACTACTCGATACTATTCTATACATAGCGTGTCCTAAAAAAGCACGGCCCCTCTAGCGGCCCGCAGACCTGTCCGATTTTGACGATTTAGGTATCCATCGAAAGCTCTTGAAAAGACGAGCAAAAAACCAGCTATCGTTGCCAGATTGAGTGATTTAATTGTGCCTTGTTATGACCAGAAACTGTGAAAAGAGCCGATTTATGCAAGTTCTAACAATGCACAACAATTAAAATTGCAATATCGGCCCAGAAAACACGCGTTTTTTGGCCAAATGTGGCAAGACAATTCTAAGTAATTTAAGACAACGAAACCGGCTTGTTTTCTCGCCTTTTCAAGGGCTTTCGAGTGGTGTATCCCAGAAGTTCGAGCTTCCTCCGGACCGCTAGAGGGGCGGGCTTTTTTTTCTGGGATACACTTTGGTAACTTCAACCCCGTGAATCACGGCGTAATTGTATTGACTTTTTCCTGCTCTTCCGATCACTTTTTTCCCATAAGAAAGCTGCAGTCTGCGAGTGAATAGTGTAAACGAAAGATTATTATGCTATAATTGTGTGTATCTCTAAATGCCTTAGATGTTCGTTTCTTAGATGTAGCGTTAGGACTGACTGAATTATGTTAAATATGAACCTCTTATATCTCTTGAATTCCTTACGACCAGCTACCGACCATTTCTAACCTGACCACTCGAACCGGGTCCAACGATAATTTACCGACCTGTATTGCGAACTCCTTCGTTGGACATTAGAATAAGAATGGGGCTTTTATTAGGGGCCCTACAGAAATGACATATAGTGAGAGGGGGCACACATAAGGGCAGCCCGAGGGGGGACCGCAGAGGGCGGAAGGTTGGGGAACGGAGAATGGACCCCCTAGCCTTAGGGGCTAGGGTTATAAAGGAGCAAACGGCTCCGCCCCTCCTTCCGCACTCTGCGCTCTCCCTCCGGGTAGACAAGGCTTTTCCATCCATAAGTCTGCATGGTCGCTTACATCCCCTCGGCTCGCACGAAGTTCGTCCCGAACTTCCGAGCGGGCGTGGCAGTAAAGAGGGCATCGTCTTCTTCTGGCTCTTCTCGGTCTTCCTCATCCCCATCTCCGTCTCCGTCTTCTTCCTCCTCATCTCCGTCTCCGACTTCTTCTTTGTTTTTCTCTTCATCGTCTTCCTCAGCCTTGGCTTCATCTCCGGTGTTCTCTTCTTCTTCTACGCTTCTAGTTTGCGTCTTGTAGGGTTTTACCCTGCTTTTGTGGACAATGATTTGTCCTCTTCTTGTCCTCCCTTTCAGGGTGACTGACGATCTTTCGTCTTTGAGTACGGCATAAGGACCGTCCCAGGCTGCTTCCAATTTTCCCGCGTTCTCTCTTCTTACCATCACTTGGGCGCCTTCCGCGTATTTCTTCTCTGCCCGATTCTCATTTTTCTTCTTCTGGTTCATTTCAGCCGACTTCCCGATCTTCTGTTTCATTTTAGCCCAAATCGTCGGGAGCGAGAGCTTCAAGATATCTCGCAGATCTTCTGGTGTATCATAGCTCCATGTTGGGCGGTTTTCTAAGAAATCTTCCGGGTCTGTGGGATGTATCCCATGAAGTGCCTCATAAGGAGACACTCCCGTTGTCGTGTGTCGTGTGCGGTTATACGCATAGCAAATGAGCGGGATATAAATATCCCATTCTTCCGGAGGAACTTCCCGTGATTTCATAACCACTGAGAGCCATTCCTCAATGGTTCTGTTCTGCCTTTCAGCGATGCCGTTGGTGGCATGGACATACGCATGTCCCAGACTTTGGTGTATCCCAAAGAGTTTTAGAGTTTCTTTAAACGCTTCTGACGTAAACGATGAGCCTCTATCCGACACGATTTGTTTCGGAAATCCGTGCTTGGTAAGCAATTCCTCATAAATTGCCTTTATCGTGGTCTCGGATTTAGTGTCGGGTACGGCTTTCGTGATCGTGTATTTTGAGAATGCGTCCACTAGCACGAGGAAGTATCTCATACCTCGTGGAGTTTGTGGGAGTGGCCCGCAGTGATCTACGTGGACCCGCTGCCACGGTCGTGTGGCCTCTTCGAATTTCCCAATGGGAATTTGCGCAAGGTAGGGTCCCTTCTTTCGGGCCTGGCATTCTCGGCAGCTATTTACTATAGCATCAACTTGGCGTTTTTGATTGTTCCATACGAACCGTTTCTTCACGAGATCAAGCGTTCGTTCGGCTCCTGAGTGTGCTCCCAGATGTGCCTTCGTGTGATAGTAGAGCACTATCTGTTTGTTCCACTCGGAGTCCTCACGCATAACTGCTGCTGGAGTAGTCAAGGTGTCCGGAGGTTTTATATAGACAATCCCTTCTAAGACACAGTATTTTTCTCTCCATTGTTTCACACGCTTGATCTTCATCTTGGATTGGTATCCTTTAACTGTTGCCTCCTTCACGATCTCTTTTGCCCACGGCATATGAGACTGGTCAACCCTGATTTGGTTGTTGTCGGGGAGTTTCAGCGTTTTCTCCTCCAAGGCATGCACTTGTGTTGCTTCTGCTTTTTCTTCTTTGGGCTGACCATTTTCCTCTGGTGGGTGTCTTGATAGGCAGTCTGCCAGCTGGTTTTGTTTGCCCGGCTTGTACTCCCATTCGATGTTGTAGCCCTGAAGGATTAGTTGATATCGGGCAAGACGGGGAGTTAGTTTCTTCTCTTTTAAAACCGTAACCAGCGGGCGGTGGTCAGTTCTGACCGTGATCCGCGCGCTTCCCCAGATATAGGAGTGGAAGGCCTGCATTGCTGCACAGACCCCACAGGCCTCCAGTTCCATGGCAGCATATCGACCTTCAATTGGGGTTATCTTCCGACTCCAGTACGCAATGGTGCGTTCTTCTCCTTCTTGGAGTTGGAACAGGATCCCTGCTAGGGCGATTCCTGAGGCGTCGGTTTCAACAATCCAGGGCAGGCCTCTCATTGGTGGAGCCAAAATCGGTGAGGAAACCATCATTTTTTTCATCTTTTCAAAAGCTGCTTGTCTTTCTTCTGTCCAGGTGAAGGTTGTATCTTTTCGAGTCAGCTCGTTGAGAGGTGCCGCTATCGCAGCGAACCCTTTGATGAATTTCCGATAGTATCCGATGGCTCCCAGAAAAGCCCTAACGTGGGTGACGTTCGTCGGTTGCGGGTATTGATCAATGGCGCGCGTCTTCTCGGGATTTGGACGTACGCCTTCGCTTGAGATTATTAATCCCAAGTACTCTAGTGTGGCTGTTGCGAATCGACACTTCGCCATTCGAAGTTTCAGTCCGAACTTCTCGAGGGCTGAGAACACTTCTTCCAGATCTCGTAGGTGTTCTTCAATCGAGTCGCTCCGTATAGCCAAATCATCTAAATACGCGACTACCTTGGCCTTCAATCCTGCTAGAGCCTCCCTCATCGCTGATTGGAACGTATTCGGAGCTCCGCAGAGCCCCATTGGCATCTTCAAGTATTCAAAGAGGCCTACGTGCGTGCCAAAAGCCGTTTTGGCACGGTCTTTTTCGTTGAGAGGGATCTGGTAGAAAGCCTCTTGTAGGTCCAGGGATGTGAAAAATTTCCCTCCCGCAAGTGTATTGATGAGGTCGCTTATCAGCGGGAGGATGATTGTGGATTTCATTGTGATCTTATTCAGCTCCCTGTAGTCTACTGTGAACCTCCATTTTGTAGAATTCTTCTTGGTTACGAGAACCACTGATGCACAGTAGGGTGACGTCGACCGTTTGATCAATCCTTGTTTAAGAAAGAGATCGACCTGTCTCTCAACCTCGATTTGCTTTTCAATCGGGATGGGGTACGGCCTTCTGCTGGTCACCAAGCTCTCATCTATCAAGGGAATTCGATGTTTGGTTCGTCCCTTGAAGTCTCCGTGTTTGCCATCCGGACCCATAAATGCTCCGGCTTTGTTCCGAATCAACTGCATCAACTTGAGTCGGTCCTCCTCCTTCATTTTGCAACCTTCCCAGCATAATTCTCTTCGCATGAACTCCTCGAAGTTGATGTCTTCGGGTACATTCGGTAGATGTTCTTCGAAGTCTGCCTCTTGGCTGGGAAATAACAATTTGTTGTATTCGTCGTCCTTGATATGATGTATCTGTTCCACGGGCGGCAAAAGGGTCGCGATCCCGATTGCTTCGCCTTTTTGGATCTGCCTTTTCTCTTGGGAGGGGTTGTTGATTCTAATCCAGCCTCCAGGCTGTGCGGGAACAATCCGGTGGCTTTGCTCAAATTCCATTCGTTCGTCCTCTTCTGGATCACCTTGCAATAGTATTCGGCTGTGTGGGACTGGAATCGGCAGTTCTGCTCGTATCCATGCTGCTTTTCGTGGTGGGATCATGACATTTATCGGAGCTCTGACGGTGAACGTGACTGCTTGTGGCTCGGCTTGTTCTCCCGGGGCGATCATTCGTAATCGATCTTTCCCAATTTGAACGATCTTCTGATCGTAGTCAAATGCTAGTAGCATATTTTTCTTAGCCAATTTCTTGAAAACATCATTTCCTAGTAGAATTGGCAGTGGGCAGTGTTCGTCGTTAGCCACCTGTAGCACAATGTGAGTCGACGTTTTTCCCAACGTCATCAAGCACGTCAGTTCTCCGATGAAGTTGAAAATCGTCCCATTTGCCGTTCTGGCTGGTCCTTTCGAGCTCGTTCTGAGTCGTCCTGCGTTTCCTAGTTTCCGGAATAGGGCCAGTCGTATATACGAGACTGTAGAGCCTGTATCGAGCAATCCTAAGCAAGCATATCCGTCGATGTTCAGTTGCACTATCGGTAGTAACGATCGTGTGTTCACGGTATGTACTGCATATACGGTAGAGTGGAATCTCTTCCATTCGGACGAGTACGTTCTGTTCTCTCGTCCGGCTTGGCTTCTCGCGGCTGTATTCTTCCTTTCCGGGGCATGATATCTTTGTACGGGTTCGACTCGGCCTTCTTCGGCGTTGAGTAAGGCGTTTATACGTTCTAACGGCATTTCGTCGAGTTCTTCAGCCGTTAGCGAATTCACCCTTGGAAGTACAGCCTTCACGATTCCCGTTAGTGAGCTTGTCGAAGTCGAGATTACCCATACTTTGAAGTATATCACCGCTAAGCTGATAATTATTGCTAATCCAAGTACTGGGAAACCTATCCACAGTACTATCTTCCAGGCTATCGCTTTGACCTCGGATATGGTGTCCGTGATCACTATCCGGCCTGATTCCACGACGTCAGCTGCCTTCTGCTTTGCACTTTCGTATAAGTTTGATGTTGAGTTTTTAAGCGTAGAAATATAATCTCCTGCTTTTAGTGATGACGTTCTCACATCTATTATTACATTCTTCAACCATCTGGACGGTGTCTCCAGCCAATTCGTGACTTTGTCTGTCGTGGTCTGTCGAGCCAATCGTGTCCTCATTGCAGTGTGCGCCGGCGGGTGTTTGTGGTCGAGTTCCGGTGCCTGATTTTCTAGAAATAAGGCTTGTGGAATCAGTCTTTCTCCTAGGCATGAGATCTCGTCGCCTTGAGGGACGATATCCTTTGTGGAAATTTGGATGAATTGGAACTCGCCGTTCTCCGTCTTGAATGGCAGTTGCAGGAAGCATCGTTCACCGATGCGGTGATTTTTAATCAATTGGCTCTCTTGTATTTCAAGATCCTTGCATTCGTGCACGAGATACCTTCTGGCATCCACTTGGTGTACGAGTAGATTTGGTCGTTCCAGGATTTCTCGGATCGCAGTCGTTGGATTTATCAGTATTCTGGTGTTCCAGTGTCTAAATTCTTGACGATGTGCCAGACATACTGACGTAAATTCTGACTCTTCTTGATTTGCGTATCCCAGTTGCTCGACCCGTTGTCTCAGCTTTTCTAGTTCCTGCTGAAATCCTGATTCGTTGACCTTCGGGCGGGCTTCCGCCGTCTTGATTGCTTCGAGCTTCTCCTTCAGCTCCTTGATCTCCTGTTGCATTCTTATGTGAACCGGCTCCATGCGTGCTATTGGCTTCTGGATCTCCGCTACTTGTTCCCTGATCGTGCCAATCAGCTTGTCGAGTTTTCTGGTTTCGACTCCCATTTCTTGTAGTTTCTCTTCCGTAGCCTTCTCAATTTTCTCCCTCATCGTTTCTAGTTGTTTATCTCTTTTCCCATTGTCCGCGATGATGGTGTCGACCTTTTCGTTGTGCGTTTTTACTTCTTTAGCATCTTCGAGGTTTTGTTTTTCGATTGTCTGTTCCAGCATTGTGAATTTCTTTTGCAGGTCGAATAAATGACTTCGTTCTGCTATCAGTTGGCCTACCGCTCGTTCTTGTGTCACGTCTAGTCGTTCTAGCTTTTCGATTTTCACATTGAAGATGTGCATCGTCACGTTCAGATCCCTTTTCACGGCGCTGATGTCTTTTCGAATCTGTTCGATCTGTCCTGAAAAGCTGGGAATCCATTTCGCGGTAATTTCGGTCTGATTTTCTGGTTTTTCTCCGATCAATTCCGCTTTTGGAATCCATTTTCGGTCTCCGTTATCCGCTGGATCTGGATCTGGATCTGGGCTTCGCTTCGCTCGCTTGTCTTCTTCTCGCACAATTAGCATTCCTGCAGCTGTCAAGAAGCCTACTTTGCCGCATTCTTCGACTGGTTCGGACGACAACAGCGTGTCGATCCAATCCAGTTGCTGGATGTATACGGTATCAAAGTCGGTGAGGATCTCTGAGAGTCCGATAAACTCCCAGTTACAAGCGTTTTCAGCTAGTTCTTGCCAGATCGTAATTCCGCCACCTGTCCGTATGTAGTTCGACTCATCCAACGCAATCCCGGGTGGGACGGTCATTATAACCTGATCGGCAAAACGATGGGCTTCGCCCTCCCGTACGGTGAATCTAGAGGTGTTCTCGCAATTCGTGCCAAACCAAGGTTTCTTGACCGGCGGTGCTTCCACTGTTTGCCATAGGCCATTGCCTTTTATTTCGAGGAGAAGTTCTCCAACTCGACCTTGTTCCAGTGCCCTTTTGCATTGTTCCGGAGAGATTCCCAAGGGTTCTATCGGTAGAACTGTGGACGATCCCATGAGGCCTAGCCAATTCTCAACGCATTTTTCAACTCGTTCTTCCACGCAGTTGATTGCTTGCGTTTTCTGAATGGCTTCCTTTCTCTCGTACACGCGTGCGGCTTTCCAGCGTACCTGATTGTGCATCTCGCAGCTTGGCTCCACAGGCAGCGTCACCAAGGTAGGGGGTCCAGTCATCCTGCAGTCGGTGACCCTGATCGCCGATGTCGGGGCGATGAGGGCAGCCAGCAACATGGCAACAATCATCAACAGTGGGAAGCCGTTCATCGAGGTGCTTCCTCCGGAGTTGTGGTCTTCGTGATAGACCAGATCATTGTTGTTGATCGCATACGTCAGCTGCTGTTGCTGTTGTCCCTGCTGCTGTCGGCCTTGTTGCGGTAAGTATTGCTGTTGGGGTTGCTGGCGCTGTTGGTTGAACGGCCATTGCCATCCAAAGGGGTTCCACCAGTAGTTGTTTCCGCCTCGGCCTCCGCGGAAGTTTCCTCGGAAGAATCCGTTGCCTCGGAAGTTTGTACGGAATCCTCCTCGGTTCCCTCGATTAGAGCCTCGTCCGCCTCGGTTGCCTCCTTGGTAGCTTCCTCGGTTTCCTTGGCCTCCGAATGTGCGACGAGGTTGGCCTCTTCCGTGATTGGGTTGGTTGTTGTGTTTTCCCAGAGCCGACATCCTTGAGCAGATTTCTTCGAGACGCAAGGCGTTTACATCTTCATCTCCCATGAGTGCTAGCTCAAGTTCTACTGCTGCTAAGAACTCCATCGTCGGGGTTCTCTCCGTTACCTGAGTAGACCGTAGAGTTCTTCTTATCTCCACCGGTAACAAGTTGAGCAGCTTTCTACGAGCTCTGGTCTCGTCTCCCAGTGGAGCGCCAAGCGCCTCTTCGAGTATCTTTATTTTGTTATAGAGAGTTTTTAAATCGCCGTCCTTCCGGAATTTTAATTTCTCGAGCTGTGCTCGTGCATTTTCTTGTCTTGCTGGAGTTGCAACCACACGGTTTGCCCAAATTGCCAGACTTTGAATCGGTGGTCGCGCTCGTTCCTCGTCCGTCATGGCTGTCCACACCTGTTTGGCGCCATCCCTGAGCAAAATAGGGAAGTATCGGTTCACTTCCGCCTCATTCAAGTTGAACGCTTGGGCCGCATCGAGGTATTCGGATACCGCTTCAAACAAGTTGGCTTTCAGGTCTCCGGTGAGTATCTCGCACTTCGAAAGTGCCCAATCGGACATCTTTCGAAGTGCTGGGCGGCTTTGGGCCTAACGCCTGGCTTGGCTTGGGCCTGCGCCTTCCCTTCTTCCGGTTTTCGCCCTTTTCTTCTTTGTTCCTCTTTCCTTTCCTTTTCTCTCTTTCTCGCTAGGCTGCTTGCTACTTTTGTTTGTTTTGTCGATTACCTGGAATTTCTAGTGTTTTTCTCTTTCTAGAGTAAAAAGCGAAAATTCAAAATGTATTGCAAAAATAAAATAAAATAAAAGAAAAGATACTAAAATGAATTGATTTTAGTTTTTAGTCATTCTTTGTGACTATTCTTTTGATGGGGAAAATTTGTTTTTGAAAACTGAAAATATTTAAACCGTTGCAAATGACCGAAAAATAATTTTGATTGTTGAAGGTGAAATAATTTAAGTTTGAATCGAAACAAAATTCTTAAGATGTTAAAAGGAAATTAATGACACTTTTTAAAACAGAAAATATTTAAAACTTATAAAAGAAATGTTATTTTGGAAATTATTGTAAGCATCCTCGCGTTTAACTATGGCATAGCTCCTTTGTTTACACCGCTTGTTGTGCAAAAATGTAGTTTTAATTTGACTACAGTTAACACACAAAAAAAAAATAAATTTAATTTAGTTTTCGTACTTTAGGTTTTAGTCTAGGGCTTAATTATTAATTAAAGTTAAAAGAGTTTGCAGCTTCTAGGTTTATGTTTTGCTTTATTAATTTCTAGTTTGTCCCCTTGTACCATTTTGGCAAAATTCTATTTACGGCTAGGGCTTCGGGGCGGGGTTGTTGACAGGGTGCGTCTTTGTTTACGCTGGTACGCGGCTAGGGTTGTTGACGGGGTGCACCATTGTTTACGCTGGTGCCTTGAGGGTATTTGATATGGGCTTGCGGAAAGGGTGGGAATTGTTTATGGCTAGCGCCACCCGGCTGTCAGCTTGTTGTGGTGGTGCGCCATGGTACGTGGCTTAATTTGTTTGCGGGGTGCGCCAGGGTGGGGTCAAAGTGTATACAAAAGGTGCCCGGTCCTTTGACCTAATTTCGATTATAATAATAAACTAGAAAGACCACAGTAATAAAAATAGTCGGGTTTGCTGCAGACTCACCCTTCTAAATTCTAATTTAACTGGGTATAAGTTTTAGCTAAATTTTTGGGCTTAGATGATTATAAAGAAATAATATATAGTTGCTTTTGCTTTTTATAATTTTTAAAGACAATGCATTGAAATAATAAAAATGAATAGCATGCATCAAAATATGAGGAAAATGGAAAATATTATTATGAGTTTTTAATTACTCCATGACTTAATCCCTTACATGGATTTTCGTAGTTCGATAGAATTAATTTACTTGGATTTTAATGGTTATAAAGCTTAACAGGCAAAAATATTACAAAATATTCATAGCTTAAAGTATGAATTACCCGTTGCATTACTAGGTCTTGAGACGAGTCGGTACTATCCGAAAAGCGAATAGTATAAAGTCGGGGAGGCAAAAATTTGAACGCCGTGGCTTCACCTTGGGCCCAGGTTAGGCACTTGAATTTATTCTTTTGCCGACTCGCTCTTATCTAATTACTTTCTGGCCCTTGCGCGCTCTATTTCTACCATCCTTTTATTCTATTAGTGCGGTCAGAAGACCAATTTTGAGGTTCTGGATCCAGAAACGGCGTTTCCCCTCTAAGCGCAAGGGTGACCTAGTGGTTGGTAAACCATCAAGATTTGAGTGGCAATTAGAAAGTATGGGGTTGAGAGTGGAGTATCTCTCTACTTCCTAACTAAGCTAGTCTCCAGATTAGAATTGGTTGGTGCCTGAATTCTGAGGTAGAGACCTCCATGTAAACGAAAGATTATTATGCTATAATTGTGTGTATCTCTAAATGCCTTAGATGTTCGTTTCTTAGATGTAGCGTTAGGACTGACTGAATTATGTTAAATATGAACCTCTTATATCTCTTGAATTCCTTACGACCAGCTACCGACCATTTCTAACCTGACCACTCGAACCGGGTCCAACGATAATTTACCGACCTGTATTGCGAACTCCTTCGTTGGACATTAGAATAAGAATGGGGCTTTTATTAGGGGCCCTACAGAAATGACATATAGTGAGAGGGGGCACACATAAGGGCAGCCCGAGGGGGGACCGCAGAGGGCGGAAGGTTGGGGAACGGAGAATGGACCCCCTAGCCTTAGGGGCTAGGGTTATAAAGGAGCAAACGGCTCCGCCCCTCCTTCCGCACTCTGCGCTCTCCCTCCGGGTAGACAAGGCTTTTCCATCCATAAGTCTGCATGGTCGCTTACAATAGATAAATCAGTGATCCGAACGATTTTAAAAGGGTCTTTGGACTATGAGTCAGGGCGAGAGAGAGAGAGAGAGCGCGAGAGAGAGAGAGCGAGACAGAGAGAGAGAGAGAGAGAGAGGAGAGAGAGAGCGAGACAGACAAACTGACGAACAGACAATCGAAACACCGGCCGTAGACGGGCAGGTTGGTAGAACCCTTTTCGAGGGGAATGGTCCCCTATATAGTCAAGGCCATTTCCCCCTTCCGCTTTTCGCGTTGGTTTCCCCCCGAGGCCTATGCCCTCCGATTTCGTCAAGAGGACAAAACGTTCCGAAATTCCTGAATCTCCGCTTATTTTGCCCCAAAAACAGCCCTGAAACTACAAAATACGACTATATTACAAATATATTACAACTTCAAAACAATTACGGTCTAATTTTTGTATTTTATTCTATTAAAACACGATATTATCTAAATATTATTGTATTTATATTATTAAAGCTACCTGGAATCAAGCCACAAAACTACAAACTACAAAAACGGATTATTTTTACCGCTGATGACGAAAAATGCTGCTAATATTCCTCCTATTTCCTTTCGCCGCTGCCTGGTTCGATTTCCGCTCCGTCCAGTCGGTTAGGTGAGTTTTTCTGCAAATTACGAAGTTAAACTACCAGCTATAAACTACATACATTTTTAAGCTAAAAATTCCCAAAAACCTGATACATTTTTAGAGCGACCGGCCGGCTGCTTTGATTGATGATGAACCCGACGTATCTCATCAGAAAACGTGCCGGTCAGTTACTGCGAGAGTGGGAGAGGGAGAGCGAGAGAGAGAGAGAGAGAGAGAGAGAGAGAGACAGAGACAGACAAACAAACAATCGAAAAAACCGGCCGTAGACGGGCAGTTGGTAGAACCCTTTTCGACGTTTTTCGATTACGTTTTCGGGATTACAAACTGCCGATATAAACTAGAAGCGACCTTTTAAATTTACAAAGATTGCGCAAATCAAGCTTTGTATTTCGGACTTTTCGCCGGTGGAAAAGATTTGGACGAGCGCGTTAGAAATTCAATACTCTTTATTAATTCTCACAGATCCTGTAAAAGGCGTAATTATTGTTTGCGTATACAAGGCTTGAATTCATCGACGTCAGGCAGGACACCACCTCTCTCCTCGAAGGCTCTCGCAAATCGGTAGGCGTGCAGTAGCGCAAAGTCCACCTGAAAAGGAAATTTATTTTTTCATTTAGGTATTTTCCTGGTGTTTTGATAAAATCTAGCTAAATTTCCAGCGGATAAACCATTTACAAAAACCTCGAAAAACGCTTAAAAAATTTCAAATTCTGTCGAAAATCAGTATTTTATATTTTCACTGATAAAATGCTATAAAGGGATAAATTAAAATCTTTACGCCCTTTTCTTTATTTCAATAGCAGTTTTAGTAAAATTACGTTCAATTGAAAGTAGAAAACCTATTTAAAAACTTATTAAAAAAAAAGTTAATTTTAAATTTTGGTCGAAAATCGATATTTTTTGTATTTTCAATCAAAAATTTGTATATTTTTACGCCTGGGAAAGTAACTAAAATAGTGTAAACCATTCCTCAATTTCAATTTAAAAAAAATCAGGGCTAAAAGGCCGATAATTTACCCGATTAACGTTATCATGGAGGATGATCCGATCAACGAGTCCCCACGGCGATCGACGCTCCCCTTTCGGACGCCAGATCTGAAAATCGTCATTTTCTAAGATTTTTATGCAAAATTCCCACCCAATCCGTCATCAAATCGATCGTCGTGGCGCCGTTGTTGTACGCGTTGAACTTGAGACACTCGTTTTTCAGCTTCTCGCTCGCATTTTCGGCCAATTCCGCGTTGCGATCGAGCAGCTGCTTTGACAGGCTCTAAATCGAACATTGAATCCTGTTGTAAATTAAAAAAAAGCGGATTAGAAAACGGACCATCAACTGGCGAATCCGCCGCAGCGAGTCCTCGTTTCTTTGAAAACTTCCGAGGCATCGTCCCCTAAAAAAGCGGATTTTTCTTAGTCTAAAACCGTGCATTACCTCCTGTAATTATATTCGCACCGTATCAGATAGAAAAAGCCGTCGGCGTCGTCCCAAAATACCAGCAACGCTTGTCCCTAAAACGTGCTGACGATGTTGGAAGAAACCGGCGGTTCTTTTAGCTTTTCCTTTACCAGTATTCTCATCAACTTTTCAGCAAAATTTTGGCACAAGAGGTAAATTATTTTAAACACTTTGAAAATATTTAAAAATTGCAAATTTTGGTCGAAAAATCGATAATTTTGTGGTTATTCCATTTAGGAAATTGAAAAATGTCTGAAAATGTTGAAAATTGGGCATTTTTGCGGAAAAATCGATTAGTTTGAATTTTTTTTTGGTAAAATGTGTGCGGTCTTTTTATGATTAGGAATCGTAAAAACACTAGCAAGCACTAAAGAACCAAATTCCCACATCACTGGCCCTGAGAATGAGCTCCATTCCCTCGTACGTGCGGTCGATCCACCCGATATCGCTCGTCATCCTCGCCGCAACTCTGTTAACCACTAAAAGCCATTGAAATTCCTAATTTTTCAGCTCACAGCGCCCGAAAATCTTGTCGGCCTCAATGTCCTTGCCAGCGCATATTTGGATCTTGTCAATTTCCTCGTCCCCGTGCAGCCAATCCTAAAAACCCATCCACTAAAAGCTACGAATTTTGCGGTTCTGGACTTTTAGCGGGGGAACCAAATTTTCCACCGTGCTTCTCTACGGCCCTATAACAAAATATAAACCATTTTTATAGCATTTTGCATAGTTTTAGATTGAAAAACGGAAAAAATAATTCAATTTTCGAAAATTTTAGACCTTTTCGTCAAAAATGTATCAAAAATGACCCAAAAACGTCAAATTTTCGAATTTTCAAATGTTTAAAACAATTTCCTATACCTTTCTAGCAATGAAAAACTACTGAAAACTATAAAAATACATAATTTATCATCAACAACCTTCCCCCCCCCGCTAACAGTCCAGAACCCCAAAATCTACGCCATTTACCGAAATCCTGCGCAGCAAAAAGGCGAATATGCTGTTGAGATGGGCCCTGGGGGTGAATCCGGTGATGCCGATGAGGAAATCTTTGGCCCGAGTCGATAGCAGACATTCCACATTTCCCATAACCGCAAAAAGATGCAGCTTCTTCAGCCCGCGGATCTAAACAAGAGGGGTTTATCGCAGCTCAGGGAGACTCACAAAGTCGCTCCTCAAAAATCGCTCGCATTCGGCCACCCGGGCAATGAAATCGACGAACAAATGGTTGTAGATGAGCTCGGTGGGTTGGAAGTGTTCTAGAAATAGAGTCTATACTCGAAAAGTCCGTAGTGCACAATTTTTGCGATTTTGCTATCTATAGAAAGCTCTCCGAGAGGCCAGTTCGGGTATTCTCTCCAATTTTCTAAATTTCAGAAGTTTTTGGGAAGATAAAAATGAAGAATGGATTAGGAGATTTAGTGCATCCGGGACAGTTCTTCGACCAGCTTCAACACATTCTCCGCATTCTGGTCAACCGGTTCCTCTGAAAGAAATAGGACGTTTCGATTGGCTCGTAGAACTTTAGGATACCTTGATTTGGGAGAAGCACATCTTGCACAATTTTCCTGGCCGTCTCGCGTGGCATGTCGAGCAGCGACTCCACCAGATCGCCATCCACAAATCCCTTTGACTAAAAAAGGGAAAAAGTGGTCATGGATCCTGAAATCTACCGGAACGACGATTTGGTCCTTGTCGAACGCGCGATAAACCTCATGCGAGATGCGCATCGCGTTTCTGCATTGGCCGGCGACAGCCTTTTGGACGTCAAGGGCGAATCTGAGAACAAGCAAGGTGCTATATATAGGCGAAATTAACTCACCGGTAGAGCTCCGGAGCAAGTGTTAGCACAGCGCCAATAGCTCCGTCGCAGGTTCCGTATAGAGTGGAGCTGTGGCTGAGGAGACCTCGAATTAGAAAATGAAAATACAAAACACAAGCAAAAAATACCTCCGTCGACGACCCTGGTGACCATCGAGCCTGTCCGGAACACGTTCACCAGATCGCCCAGATAGAAGCTACCAGATTCCTGGATGTGGAATATATGCGGCCGAGAAATGACAAGCTTACCACGCATCTCTGATCGGCATTCAGGTTCGTCTCGCGCTCGTTGGTGAAAATGTTGAAATTGGTGTCGGCGCCCAGGAATGTGTCACTGTCGATGATCTCAATCGCCATCATCCAATGGGTTTGCGGGTCGGGCCTGAAAGCTTTCAAATCCAGTCTGCACATTATTAAAATTAGCATAAATTCATTTTTTATTTAAATATTTGAATCGAAATTATTTGCCTGTTAGTAAAGAAAACGGTATCCCATTCTATCTATATTCCCTTCCGGGCCTTATATTGCTGGCGGCTTTTGGCCTACTCGAAGATGACTGAGAAACCGGGCAAACCCGTCGTCCCACCAGCCAATGGTGAAGCTGGCAAAGCGGAAGGCGGCGAAAAGGAGCAGAAGCAGAAGAAGCCGAGTGTGTGGAGCAAGTTGAAGACCAAGGTATCTTCACAGGACAGCATTACGTTACGGATTCGCTAGGTCGGCACGAAGATCGGCCTTGTCGAGAGGACGACGCTTGAGCCGAAGTTTGTCGAGGAGCGGCTGAACGTTGAGCGCTACCGTGCCAGGGTCGACCGGCTGCTCGACGGGTTTGAGGCTGTCCTTCAGGTGAGGACAGACTAGACTAGACCAGACTCCTACTACTGAATTGCAGCCAGACCCGAAAGTGTTGGCCATCCCGTCAAATGGTGCACTTCCGGTGGCCGGTGAGCTGTCGTGGGAGCTGCTGGCCCGTGCGTCAGGTGCTCTCCACTGCTGTCTCACCAATGACTACCAGGCACGATTTTTAATGTAGTTCTGGATGCCCCTATCTTTCTAGCAAGGTATGATGTGGCTGGTCTTGCTCGCCAACAAACTCGCCTGTATCGAACGCGAGGGACTGACGAGAAGTAAGCCGGCAAATAAAGCCATGAAAGTCGACTTTAGTGCGCGGCTCCATTCGCCACGTCCGGCAGTTTGTGACGACGGACCACAAACGGATGAAGGAGATGGTGGAGAAGGTGGACGAGTGTCTGCACACGATGGATGCCACCAGGCACGAGGTGGAAGAGTACATCGGTGGTTGCAATCAAGGGCCCTCTTCTTCAGATCAAGGCGGCGAAGGCGCCCGATGAGCTGGAGCGGGTTGGAAAGATCTACGTGCGGTCGATACGCGAATTCGACTCGACCTGCAAAGAGATCAACGAGGTCATCCAGACCCTCAACGATACGCGATACCGTCATCAAAAGAACACGGTGGCGGTAGGTAGTTCGGCATTGACAGCGACAGAGAGAGAGAGAGAGAGAGAGAGAGAGAGAGAGAGAGAGAGATAGAGAGAGGTAGCTTCCTTCTAGTTCTACGACATGATGGAGCAGTACCATCGGCGTATGGCCACGGCCATCCACGACGCCCTCAAGGACGTCAACCCGGACGGCATCCACAAAAATGAGCCAAAGCCAAAGGAGCGCCCGACCGCGGCCCGCCATTCGGTAAGAGCGAGGCTCTGGACTATTAGCTAATGTTTTTAATTCGTCATTTATTTTAAAAATTTACAAGTCTCTAAGACTGTCTGATACCTAAAAACGGCGCCTACAGTCAGATAAAAGCGTGTAGCGCTTATTGGGGCCGCTATGGCATGATACGCTAAAGTGTCCCCCTATACTCACCCAAAAAACCCAAGCTAGCTACCTGAAAATCCCGCATACCATCCCTAGATGATGAACCGCGTGGCCGTGGCCGCCACGTCGACCGAGCAGCACACGAAGGAAAAGACGACCGATGGAAAGACAGAGGGAAGGACCGAGGGCAAGACCGATGCCAAGACTGAGACAAAGGCCGACGGAAAGACCACGACTGAAGGCAACAAAGAAGACGTATGCCCTTATCATAAGCACCTTCTATATTTATTTAGCACGAAGAGGAGAAGCCGGAGTAGCCGACGAGCGCCACCACCATCAATTAAGCCCCCCCTTTTTTTTGACACCCGTTCCCTTACAGTATCCTTTTTCCATGAATGTATATGAACCGTGAATTTTCCTGGGATAAATGGTATTAACTGGATGCTAAGTTGATGCATAGAAGAACATACCGTGCCGATTCCTCAAATGACCCTTCGACAGCTTTGTAGGTGAGCAACCCCATCCCGCGAAGCATATCGCCCACCAGCAATAGATCTCCCTAGACAACGATTTAGAACATAATCCCAAATCCCACCCTGGTCTTGACGTACAGTGCCTGGATGTACTGGAAATGCGAACAATCCAGCTTCAGCTCCTTGTCACGATTCCATTCGAAAAGCCGAACCGAGCTGAAGCGAGAGGTTAGATTTTCTTAGAAAGCCAAGTAATACCTATTAACCGCGGCCAGCAGCTTTCCATTGAGGATTCCCATCGAGTAAGTGCAGCCCTTCATGTCCTTCTCGCTGATGATCGACATGGCCGCCCGGTCGTCCTGCTCGCAGTCGAACACGATAATGCGACCCTGAAATAAAAGATGGATTAGAAAATGGTGACTGTGGAAACCCACCGCCTTGCTCTCGGTTTCCTCAAGCGCAATCATCGTCGTCCCCACAAACACATACCACTTCGGGTCATCGCCGAGACGGGCAGCTAAGGTGGATACTGTAGAAAGTAAGAACGATACCGATCAGTGATTGTGCCTCCTCGTTCGGACCAAGCTCGTGCGAGTGCAGCACCTCGAACGTATTCCCGTCTAGCACGACGACGCTGTGGGTCTGAAAAGTAGAAACAATTATTCGGATCCTTGGTATAGAGGAATTGCTAGAAAAACGCGAAAAATTTGAAATCTGGTCGAAAAGCCCATACTTTTGAAATCTTTAACCAAACGAAGCAAAGTTTCTGCGTTTAGGAAAATCAAAAAAGAACAACGTGGAACTCCTCCCATAAAAAGCGGGGCAATACGAAAGAATGGATTAATAAGACCAAAACTACCTCAAGCGGCGTGCTCCTTGTGGCGATCTGCGGCGGTACGAGCTTTGAGGTTGAACTCCGGCTGGCCGTACGGGAGATCGACATTGCCTCTGAGGACTGCACAGAATTTGTCAAAACACCGAGTTCTGCCTACCTTGTCTCGGCATACCAGCAACACAATCTTGTTCGAATCAGGCAGATAGGCCAGTCGGGATGGCGATTCACCAAGTGGTACGGTTCTAGGTTACTATAAGAGCATCGCTAGCGCCCCTACCGGATATGCAGCTTCTCAATGTCGTCGACTCGACCGATGACCATCGACTCTTCCCCACACATCACCATGCAGTTCCTAGAAAAATTATCTTGAAATAAATTCTCTTTCAAACTTGTAGGCCGCTGCGTTTATCGGACACATTTGACGCACGGTGCGCACATTAATGTTGGAGAAGATCTGCAAAACACGTAATTTTTCCTTCTCAATTTGCTCGCGAATCGACTAAAGAAAAGAACTTACCAATTTCCCATTGCACGCATAAATAATAGCCGGCCGATCAGAGCAGACGAAAACATGAGATCTTTCTTTGGCCTTGAACGGGTTCAGCAACAAGGGAACCGTTCCCAACGACACCTTCTTGCCGTCGACGAGAGCGCCTAAAGAGAGTCAGAATATGACAAAGCGGCTTTAACGATCCACCTTGTGCCGCTTCGTCAACTCGGAAATAAAAAAGTGTGCCGTCCCCCAGAGCTACCAGCAAGAACAGCGTTTCGTCAAACCGGGAGAGTAGACAAGACCGCGGAAGGACCTTTCGTGAGAGCTGATCTCTAAAGGCAATTCCTAGAGGTAGTCTAAAATGGTCATTACGTTGAAAGTAGTCGCAGATCGGGAAGGGTGCGCAGCTCGCAACTGTTCGAGGTCCACAGCCCAATTGCTGCCAATCGAGCCTCGTCCGAGTCGTCTGAACTTAGAAGTGTTATTCCCAACACAACTACAGACCGATAGATGAGATATCCAAGCAAGCCGCTTCTTGCTCAAGCTCCAACGAGTTCAGCTCGCTGATCTCAGTTCCGTCAAAGTTCAAGTAGTGAAGGTATCGACCAGATGCAATAAGCGCCTAAAGAAGAGGTGCCAAATGAGGGTATCGCTACCTTTCCAGCCCTAATATTTACGGAGCTGACACTGATCTCGCCGTGTTGAGAGGCCCATTTGATTAGGACAGCTCCCGCCTTTACGATGCGGATGCCGGTTTGGGTGATCTAAAACGTATATAATGAGAAAAGATTTTTTGATCTTACCTGGATTATATTGCCTTCTTTTGTACAAGCAGCGTAAAGGGTATGTTCGTTTGTCTCCAAGCCTGAAAAGAACAGCATTTTTTTTGCCATAACTTGACGGCCTGGAACAAGGAAAATTCGCCGTGCCTAGCGCATCTTCAAGCTGCTCCAACTCTTCGCCGTCAATGCGTAGCACGTGCGTTTCATCGGAAGTGGAGACGACCAGGTGGTTGTCGAGCTCAGATTGGTAGGCCAACGTCGAAATTGACTTGATTCCTAGAAGATGCAATGCTTGACGGTGACGGCAACAAAAATCTACCATAATAGTCCACCGACGCCCGTTCATCGATGCCAATACCAGTCCTGATGATACGCATCGAACCGTCCTAAATGTATGGTTAATAAAATGACGTTAGTCCAACCTTGTAGGCGCCAGAGCATGTAAACAGTTGACTTTGCCCATTTTCCGCTTGCAAAAGGAGCATATCCCGGACGGGGCCGACATTTTGGAATGTTTCGATCACAGAGACGAACGACCCGTTGACATCAGGTTCTAAAAACAGATTCAGGATCTGCATGGTCAAAATACTCTCGTTGAGGTGGATCAGCTGCGAGTCTCCCATACGAGAGCCAATGAAGACAACACCATTGTCAACATAAGTCACGCATTCTGGCATTGAGCAGCGTCCCAGTGTTTCCACCTAAATTGCCGAGATAAGATAGGCAAAAGGATGTGGCTTACTTTGATTCCAGATACAGTTCCCTCCTTTGTGTCCGTGTCCAGCAACAGCATAAAAAGCTCTCCAGGCTTTGCGCCGAGCAGAAAGCGCTGTCCATTACTAAAGAATTCTATAACAAAGTTGATATTTCCTTTACGGGTCGATTGGTGCCGAGCAGGTGATCAAGGTGTTGTGCATGATGTGTGGCGCAATGACGATCGCAGGCTGAGCCGGACGTTCGCTGAATATCCGTAAAAAAAATGCTGAAGCGTCCTTACAATCTGTGATACATGATGGTGTCGCGGCCAATGGCGATCACCCCGCCGTAGGGCTTTGGGACCGGGATTATCGTGTGCGCCTGAAAGTTGAAAATTATTGGACTGATGTGCAACATCAAATGCGCTTTGAACTAATTAGTGAAACCGCGATAAAAGTTATAGAAGTCGAAATGCAAAACAATACCTCGGCCTCAATATGCGCTAGTCGTTCTTCGGCATTCTCTTTATGATGTGGAACAGCGGCATGGTGGCCCGTCTCGACGGGGATCACTTTGATATGACGTCCAAGTGGGTCCTGGTAGATGTAGGCAATTTTCGGGGCTGAAACAATTAGAGGAAGACAAAGTCGATCGTACTGTCAGTGTCCAGGAAGGCCAGATCGACAATGGACGAGTCTTCGATGCGCATGTTGAAAGCCTAGATATATCCTATAAAAGGAGCGGAATGGTATCACCGTGATTCCCTCGGTGGTGCTGTCCTTCCAGGTGATCACTTTCAATGAACCGTCATAGATACGGATGACTATCAGCTGAATCAATAAATAGAACGAAAAAAATCTAAATTTACCCCCGTGCGCTTATGTACGAGCATCTTGATGCCGTATTCGGAAGGCCGGCCAACTTTCTCGACCAAATTGCCCGTCGCCCGGGTCCGCTAAAAAAATGGATCTTATTGAGAATAGAAGTTATTACCAATTCCCCATTCTTCCAGTCCAATATCGAGATATGAAGCTTCTCCGTCAGCACAACCAGCAAATCGGTTGGCTAAAAGGAGTCGCAATTTAATTTAATTATAGACGTTTGCAAGAAATTATGCGTTAATGCCCTACTTCTTTCGGAGGACGCATAATCGCGATGGCAGCAATGCGGCCAAAGATAGGGACCTAAATATCTGTTGTTGCTACAGACGCGCCTGACAAGCACCTCTTGAACCAGCCGCAGACCATCCTTTGCCACAGCATGAATTTCGATACGAGACATCTTGGACAAGAATAGGTTCAAATCATCGGGACCTATGATACGTCAAGAGAAGACAAACCAAGCAACCTGTGAAATTTCCCAGAAGAGCCTGGGTGACCACAGTGGCCTTCTTACACGTGACGACATAATTTGATGCCATCTGAAATTACTAGCCCTGTAAACAGCGTTTGCGTCTGGTGACAAGCTAGGAAATAAACCAGGTATGGGCAAAAAGAAAACCTCGGTGCACACTTATTTCCAAAAAAGCCAAAATTGTTTATTCGTGACCGTCAACTACGCCATTCGGCAAATTTACAACATAAACGAGATCATGTCCTAGGGATATCTATTGGATTTGCTGGAGCTTCGCCAGTTGTTGCTTGGGAAACCGGAAAAGTGGGCCCGCGCCTCGTAGTAGAATCTTTTGCAGTTGTTTCGTCGCCTTTATCGACCCTCTTCTTGAATCGCAAAAGGCGCACCTAAACAAGGAGAAAAATTGTTAAACGGGTATTTAAAATAATACGTACCAGCGTTGCATCGGCTTCCAAAAGCGTCAAATCCTTCTTGGATCCCAGGAAGCGTTCACTCAATTCATAGGCGTGAAGTCTATAAAAGAATTGGCGGCTCCAAATGAGAACTCACCGTAACAGCACCCTCGAGCCAACAGTATAATCGTCTCCATCTTGAGCCGGCGCTTTGCAAACGGCATTGAATTTTAGGCCAACATCAATGTACAGGTCATCCGCAACACTAAACCAGATTTAATTTGAGAACCTGCAGGTGTTACCGATGAACAATTTTCCCGGTAACCATTCGCCCATCGAAGTCGCCGAGCTGGGCAAACTTGGAATGCCTAAAAGTGTTTTTTGAAATCTAGGAAAATTTGGATACCTAAACATTTCAGCAAAAGTCTGATGCTTCGCGGCTGTACTAGCCTTCAGTGTGTCGACAAAGTCGTCGAAAGACCCGGGGTCAGTCTGAAAGGTATCTATAAAAAATTTAAGGGGCTTCACCTGATTTTTCGCCTCTGGGCCGGAATTTGCTTGGTGGCGGGACAAGCATAGCCGACGGAAGGATGAGCTGACCATCATGGCACGACACGGACCTTGGATTCGAACGATCATCTAAAAAAACAGCTAATCAGTCGGATCAACACGAAAACAAAAATGTAAGGAATCTATTGGAAAAGGAGGAAACCATCGCTCTTTTTTTGAAAATAAAAATAGAGAGTCCACAGTGCACCAAATTCCGAACAATCCGAACACAGGAAGTCTTATAAAAAATTTTTAGACAGAAAAATAAAGTTATTTCCGAAACTTCCCTCTGCGGCGGCTGTTTTTCAAGCTTTTTTACTGTTTTCAGCTATGTTTTGCACTCTTTTCACGAATTCTTTGACTTGATCCAAAGCAAGGCGGGTCCTGGGACGCGGGCCCTAATGTTGTGTGAAGGTCGCAGCGAGGAACGAGGCGCCCGTTGTTTCGATCGGTCCTTTGGGCGGCGAAGACTCGGGAAGTGTGCCCGGGGGGAACTCGCGCCCGCTGACTGCGGTCATGGCCATGACACCACTTTATTTCCGCATTTGTCTAGACGGCTGTCACCAGCAAGGGATTGCGTTCGGACCGAAAACAGCGACTTCTTCTCCTAGCCCGACCTCTAAAACTTGAGATATTGATCATAGCATTTTGACTTTTGCTTAGGGCTATCGACTTATGCAACTTCATCACGGCGTCATTAGTGCTTAGATTTCTCGTTCCGGAGAAATTTCTGCTAGCGGTTGAATGCTCGGACTAGCTGTAGAGTTCCAGTACACGAATCTGGCAAGTCGTGCCCAAATCGATCGCATTTGGCCGCTGTAAAGCTTTCCCAACGCCTGTGGCTGAAAATGCCAAGCTCGTTTTACGAGAATTGTTGGACGGCGTGGCGGGATAGCAAGTTTCCTAATTTTTAGCTTAGCTATACAGTTCGCGAATTTGGGAAAGCCGATGCCTTGTCTGGTAGCTTCCCTAAATAGATTGCTTGTTTTGACGCCTACTGGCCTGGCTTGATTCCGTTTAAAAGGGAGACCTGCGCCTTTGTTGATGTTTTAGCAAACGTGGATGTCAAGGGTGTGCATGACATCGATTCTTTTTTATTCACGCGGTGACTGGCCATTGGGAGTAGTTTTGCAACAAAAATGCGCCCAATATGGTTGGGAAATCTCCACCATCTACAGCTCTTGTTTTTACCCGATCAATACGACTTATTTTTGACCCCGGGCCCTGCACGTGGCGTTCAACGTCACTTGAATTTACTGCTTCTCTTTCGCCCGTCCCCTCTCTTCACCCCTCTTTGTTGATTATCGATTGACACGGGTGTTCTGTTCAGACTCGCGCTCGCTCTCTTTTGCCGTGCAAGCCTTTTTTCAACGAGATGTCGTGTAGCAGCGATGACCAATCTGATAAGGAGGTAAATAATTTAGCTGTTTTTGATACCACGTTTTTTTAGTGTCCGCTCTGCATGGAGGTGCTCGAACTCGATGATTTGGATTTCTATCCCTGCAAGTGTGAGTACCAGGTGAGCATATTTTTATGTTTTTGAACTGGCCATAGATTTGCCGTTTCTGCTGGCATCGGATTCGCAATGATGAGAATGGGCTTTGTCCCGCTTGCCGGCAGCCCTACCCCGAGGATCCCGTCAACTTCAAGCCCCTCACGTCTGCCGACTTGAAGAAGATCCGCAGCGAGAAGAAGATGAAGGCTCAGGCGGAGAGACAACGTGTTTCCGAGGGGCGGAAACATCTCTCGAATTATCGTGTTCTCCAGAAGGTAGAATTTTTTGCAAGATATGAATTTTTTTCAGAATCTGCTTTATGTGGTCGGGTTGTCTCCGCGCGTTGCGGATCCGGAGATTCTGAAGAAAAGCGAATATTTTGGGCGTTTCGGCAAAATCATTAAGGTAGTTTTTGTAAGGTTTCGCCACCAATTCCGGTAATTTTAGGTTGTTGTTGGTACGACGACTACGGCACCTCCAAATCTAAATTCTAGTCACACGGCTTATGTGACCTATGCCAAGGTCGAAGAAGCTTTGCGGGCTATTCAGGTGTGCTTTCCTAGTGGACTGTATTTTCCTTGTAAATTTTTAGTCCGTAAATAACGCGGCCTTGGATGGTCGGTTGGTGCGCGCTTCTTTGGGCACAACGAAATATTGTTCTTCGTTTTTGCGTGGCCAGCTATGCTATAAACAGGTATTTCATCCTCGGTTTCCGTTTATTGATTTTCAGGAATGTATGTACCTCCATGATGTTGCCGATTGTGACATTAGTTTTACAAAGTATGGTTCGCCGCTTTTCATTATTTTTGTTTAGGGAAGACATGCACCAGGGAAAGCACACCGAATATGAGCGTCGTCTGATCGAACAGGTAGTTTGCCGAAGAAGATTTGGTTAGTTAGCTTTTCTAGACTCTGCGTCCGATGCCAACCCCGGTTGCTGCTGTCGCGCCAACGGTGCGTACGATAAACAGTTCGACAAGCCTGACGTCGGTTGGCGATGACCGATTGATGAAGTAAGACAATTATTCTTGAAAACGTCGCTTTTTTAGCCAACGTGTTCAAAATGACACCTCTTCGGAGAAGGAAATGGAGGATGGTAACCTCTCGATCGATGATGTCACGTGTGAGAAGGATACGGATGTGCTTACAGACCAGGTGAGGCAGCTTCGGTTGAATTCGTTGTTTTGCTCCTTTCTTGTCATTTTTTTTGTAAAAGACATTGCTCTTTTTCAGATCTCTGAGGATGACCCGCCAGTGAGGGAGTGCAGTTCCGAGGCGCAATCGACACTTGAAACATACAATGCCCCATCGATTGGAAGTGGTGTGACCGATGGTACAGTCCTGGCGACTGGGCGTAGCCATTCGCAAGAGGAGACGCCGCAATGGGAGCCTGACCAAAATACGCCAGCGCAAAGCTCGCGTCTGCTGTCTTGGACGAAGAGCGCCCAACCAACTACAGGTTTGAATTCTTTCTGCAGCGCCTATGTAAATTTCAGTTGCTTCGGACATCTCTTCATCTGCAGTTCCCACATGGCAGCGGCTTCTGGGAATGGACGGTTCGTCCGTGTCGGTGGCACAACCCTACGTCAATGGTCATGCGCATCTCAACCAAACTACTGGGGACGCACTGCTGACCGGTGCTCCGCCCGGGTTATCCCGTAAGTTGTTCCCCTTGCCTTTCATAATAAACTTTGCTTTTCAGCGATCCCTCGCCCTGTGATGAGCAACTCTACCCAGGGCTTCAGCCGGCGCGGCCCTTCGCCGCCGCCTGGCTTGGGAGGATTTGATTCTGACGACGACCTTGGCTTTGATCCGATCTTGGAAAGCAGAAAAGGATTGGCTGTCTTACTTGACGAGGTTAATCAAGCTTATCGTTTACAACATTTTTTGTAGGAGAAACGCTACCAGCCGCCCATTGTTAAACCTGCGCAACCAATTAATGGATTCAGCAATTATCCGCCTGCCCAGTACGCCAACACAAATTTTTCGAGGTTGTGTATTTAGGCCATCGAAGCAGCCGACGATTCCGCACGAGGAGTTGCAACGGCAACAGTTCCTTGCTTCGGTCCATCTGCGGCAGCAGCAGCAACAAGCTGCCGCACTTCATGAGCAACAACAAAGAGCCCAGCAGCAACGCGATCGTCAAGAATTGTCGGCGGTAAGTATTGACTTATCGACTATAGGCTCCAGAAGCTCGTTTTTTTTTCAAAAATACGGTTGACTTTTGTAAAACATTGATTTTAGGCGCAAGAGCAGTGGCTGCGTTCGATGCACTTCCAACAGCATTCGGCCCCTTCACAACCACAAGCTGACTTCCCCGGACCACAGCATCACGCTGGTCTTCCGAACATTTTCCAACACAACAACGTTCCGAAGAACCATATCAGCCCCTACGACCTGTTCAATCAGAGGTGAATTTTTTGCGCGTTGGTCAATCCCGTTCATAGGCCTGAGCCAGCGTCTGTGGCTCCTCCGCCTGGCCTGCACCCGTCTCGACAGTCGCCCCAACAGAGCAGCTTTTATAATGCTTTCGTAAGGACTTTTAACCGAATATTTATTTTCGATTTAGCAAACACCTGGATTGCACTCGTTGGCGTCGGCCAATAAGGGAAACAGCAGCGAATGGCAAGATGGATTGAGAGCTCTTTTGCCAAACGTCAATATCCGGTTCGCCTCCGAGCACGAGCAGCAGCAGCAGGTGCGTTTTATTTCCTCTTGTAAAAGGAATGGCCGTTATCAGGGATTATCATGCTTTTCCAGAGCCAAAACCGCTGGCCGAATGGTAGCGTAAACGGGATGATGGGGATGAACATGCATCAAATGGCGACGTCTTTGATGGGCGGAGACCCGCGGCGTGTTCATCATCACAATCAGCACATCCCTCCACCGCCCGGTTTCGCGACGCGTACTGGCGAGCGTTAAATTTCCCCGTGCCCCCATCTTTTTTGTGATAGATGGCCTATACTCGAATGCACGCAAAGGGCATTCCTGTATAGCCCTCTCGCTAAATGGTCTTTTCCGTCCTGGTTAGTTTCCCCCTTCCCCCATCTCCTCCGGCTTCGTATCGGCGTTTTGAGAATTAACATTTCCTTCATGTCAGTGAAGACTATTTTTTTTTGTTCCTTTACGCGGTGGGTTGCAGCCCAAACGATTCTCGTTTTGCGATCACCGTTAAGACTGTGGCCATCCCCCGATGTTGCTCACACTGCATAAAGGAACAGACGAGTCATTGAACTGGAGTGTTGATCTTATCCCCCGGAATGCGGTACCTCTGGCGATTGTTCTCTGGTCCTTTTATACACCCTACTTGTACGAGAAGCTCCCCACGTTGGGATGACTGGCTCGATTTTTATCCCCTTTTAAATCAAAGTCATTGACAGCGTGTGCCTGTTCCGATTTGGAGGGCGTGCACCTTTTGGACCGCGGCGGCCGTTCGTTAAGGACGGACGTGGGGATGGCGTTAAGACATCCCACTCCATCATTCCATTTTTAGTTTTACCTGGGCCTCGCTATTAATTTTAAATAAACCATTTTATCAATGCATGGTGGACAGCAGTGTAACATTATCACATTAGTATACAGTTAGCCCGTCATTTTGGGTCTGCTTTGACAGAGCACCGAGTGCTTCACAGCCGTTGCTAGCCTACAGGGGGCTCCAAGGGACGAGATCCCTTTACCGACGCGTCAAAAGGGACCGAGGCGCAGGTGTGAGCACTTGAAATGCGAAAACTTTGGCTTGGAGGCTTTCTATCGTTTTGGACCGTCAAAATTAAGAATTTTTCTGATATACGAAGCGTTCCAGCATACCCACCTCGGGTGATGTCCTGCAATGGAATTCGATTATAACGAGCGCACATCGAAAGGCGGTCTGCCTTCGCCTTATGACAACGGACCAGATGGTTGGTATTTGCTAATTATCTTCAAACTTTGCCTACCATTGATTCGTAAATATTGTTAAAATTTTGTTTTTTCAGAGGCCCCGGTCGAGGCTCACAATGGTGGGTTTATCGCGCTGGCCAAGCATGATTTGTTACGACTCGTGGATTTGATTGCCATGGAATTGGATAAGCGGGACGATGCTATACAAAAACTCAAGGTTTGTTATGCATAGCTTTTGGCCGTTCTGTTGACAGTTAGTAAAGACTAAGCCATTATTTTAGGAAGAACGGGCCCGTCATTTGTACTTCGAAGCCAAATATGGGCGAATAGCCGCAAACGATCCACTGCAAGCTTTGAAACGGGACAGCGAAGCATTCAGCGAGAAGATCGACGAGGAGCAAATTGGCAGGTGAGCCTTTTGAATGTTTAGATTAGGGCTTGAAGTTACGTGTATGATTGTATTAACCACACGTTATAGACTCTACGAAAATCAACTCGCCCAGCTTGACAAATTGATATCAACACATCGTCGCACACATAATCGCTCGAAGATGGTAAAACTAGGCACGCCCTCAGGAGACCAGTTTTAGATTCTCGCGGCCACGGAGCGGAGACACAGCAAGGCGCTGCGGGAATTGGAAACGGAGAAAGAACGGAATTCCAAGTAAGCACATCCTTGATATTTTGCTAAATTCATATTCAGGAATTCGCAAGGCGACGATGTGGTAGCTTTTCTAGAAAAGGAACGTGACAGGCTGCAACAACAAGTGCGTTGATTTTGAAAAAAATGACCGCTGCTGTTGATTCATGGAACATATTTTTTTCAGCTGGACGCCCAGCTAGATGAAGTGGAAAAGGTAAAACAGGAGACGGCAAAATGTCAGCAAGAATTGCAAGAGGACAAGGAAAAACATAAGGTAAGCTTTTTTCTACATTTCTGACGCCGGTTTCAGACCATGATTTTATTCCTGGTGAATGAGAGAAAACAGATGCTATTGAGAATGCAAGAAATGAAGCTGCGGTCGGATTCGACGAACGGTTTGTTTTTAAGAGGCCAAGCTTTTAAAGCTTCAACTGAGAGCTGGCTGATGTTTTTGTTTTCAGGCAGTGATTCAGCCGCCGCGTTGAAAACCGAATTGGAGCGGTTACGCATTGATCGGGACACCCTGGCTGCGTCAAATAAGACGCTTCGGGCGGAGAATTTATCATTAAAGGTGTGTGCTGTCGAGGTTCAAAAATGTCGTTTTAGGAAGTGGTCAAAGAACAGGATGCCGAGGTGCAGCAGCTCCGACGGAATATGGCGCGAAATCCGAACGATCAGGTGAGAAAATTATCCTATTGTTGTTCTCATTTTAATATACTCTGATGATTCGTTTCGTAGGCTGCCTCGACGGCTGAGTCATCGTTGGTGATGGCAAATCGTATGGCCTCGGGGACGCATCCGGGACCCGCGTCTCGTGCGACCAAAATATCTTCATCATCATCATTCCCCTCCACATCTATTCCATTTCCCGAATCGCGTCTACCAAGGGCGCCGCCGCAGACGACACCAGCCAGGCGAGTGCTTACATATTTGCCTTAAAAGGTTTTCCCCCACTCACATAAAGGCTGTTGCTGCTGTCCAACATTTTTTTGATAGTTTCTCCACTTCAAATATAACTTAAAAATACCAATAATGGCTGGAAATCCTCTGCCCACCAGAAATACTCAAGAACCGTCAGCTTGATTCTGCGTTCACGAAGCTTCCATTTCAGACCAAAAACTATCACGAGATTGCCGACAACTCCTGCGACCGTGCGTGGCCCCGCTTCACCCACCAAAAAGACGCCGGCGATGGGGTTGAACAGCGTGCGGAGGTGAGTAGCCGTTGTATTGCCTTTTTTTGTTGATAAATCGAGTTGCCTTCTTATCATCATTCACTTTCCAGACCAACTAGCGCAAACACCCCGGGCCAATCGAACGCATCGAAATTCTCCGCCGACCCGGAGCTACAACAGCTAGAAGATGCGATCAGTGAACTGGAGAAGACTGGCATCAGCCATCAAGCGAGCCGGCAACAGACTGGCGCGCCGATACCGCCACGTACGACAATGACAGCTACTTCCCCTTCTACGAACGCAGCAAGCACTGCTGCAGCCATCCGGTGCGGTTTACGACGGCTTTTTGAATATCCCGATTGCAGGAGTCCGAGCGTGCCTTCCCCAGCCGCTCCTCGAAAACGGAGAAACCGGTGGAGCGCAAATTGTCCGGCACGATCAAGAAAAACTCCTTCCTGAAGGCGTTTGGTGGCGGAGGGAAATAGCCCTGCAAACGTATAGAGTATATTTTTGTATTTCCCCCCAGTTTGTACACACCCTTGACATTGCCCAGCATCAACTAGTCCTTGGGATAGTCCCGCTTCCTCCCCCCTTATTTCGAGATTTTTCTGAATAAGTTCGTTCAGTTACTGTACCCCAATATTGATACCCAGGCATAATTCATTCTGTCAAACACGAAACACGGCTCCTCTCTTATCAATCAGTTACGATTCCTGTTTTGGTCAGTTTGTGTGCAATATTCCCCACGCAACTAAACAGCCTAACGCAACAACTTTGCCAGTCATCTTTTCCAGTTGCCCTCCCCCCTTCGATCCCGTTTTCCATATGGAGATTTGTGCCTTTCTCCCCTTATTAACACCCCCGATAACTATAGTCTATTATATGTGTAGATTATGGAGAAGAATACACGTTACGTTATACCGTGGTCACAACGCGCGTTTTATCATCTTTACACGAAGAAAGCGTAATAAAATCACTGCCGATATTTAGATTACCCGATACACCCTGAGAACGAAGCGACCAGATAATCTACAAAAACTATTGTGGGGGCCCTTGGATGGAAAATGAGGTGGGGACGATACGGGGCAATTGTTCGAGGGTGAAGCCGTAGGAAAGCAGCTCTTCCTCCGTGAATGGACTTCGACGTCGCTGCAGCTTCTTTCGATTGGTTTCGCTGGAATATGTATGTTCAATAACAGTTCAAAAAAACGTTTTGGAGCCCGTGTATCTCTTCTACTCACATCAACGTGTTCGCCATCCCTTCCACAGCTACCCGAATGTCAGCCTGCGGGCTGGGGAACCCGAATCCGGACGACAGGGCGGCTAAATGCATTTTAAAATTTTCGATCATTTTTAACCCACCAGAAGCAATTGGGATGAAGCGCAAGTTGAGATTGAAATGTTTTGTCGGTCGATTCGAGGGCGACACGCAGCAGGCGATCAATTTTGTTGGTGGCAGCACCTAAAATTCCTTGAAAAAAGGTTTTAAAAACCAACACCTGCTCAATCAGCCGCCCAACGACATGCTCTAAAATACGATGCGACGGCATATCCTGGCTGCCTAAATATGGATATAAGAGCGTTGCGTTGAAGCTTACTTGCTAATAGCTCCCAAACAATCTGATAAATATCGACCCCGAATGAGGTACGATGTGGTTCGGGCAATCTTTGGGTGTCGACGAGCAGGTTATCGAGATCGACTTCCGGGGGAGCGGCTACGGTGGACGCCTTCTTACGAATCACCTGAGCACGACCACCATCGTCCTCTCGACGAAGCACATCAAGGCGACTTTCTAGCTGAACGGGCTGTTTATTTAACTTTCCAAAAATCTGGGCAGCAACTCATGAAAATAAAAAATTTACCATCATTTGGCCACACAACAAATCATCCAAAATCGAGCACATCAATTCGGATTGGCCCTGTTGACGGAGGGTGGCGATGGCGCGACTCGTTCCAGCCAAATTGCAGCTACTTGTCGGGCTAAATGTTTGAAAAATTTTTTTTGCTTAATTACTGTAAAATACGTAATCAATTACTTAACAGACATTAAGTTCTTTGAAAAAATACCTATTGTGGTCGGTGGTTGGTGGATAGACATCGTCGCCATCATACATTTCATCCGCAGCTGGCCCTTCTTCTTTCACGTTTCTCAACAACTTCTTGATTTCAGCCCTTTCCGCCTCGGGCACAAAGACCGAAAGCAGTTCCTCGATCTCTAAAATCAATCGTCACATAAAAAAAAGAGATCCCAACGTTCTAGCGTCAGTCGATGTTTTTTGATGTAGGTAACTTTTTCCAGAATTGATGTCGATAGGTGGGCCAAGGGGGATGGTGTTTCTATAACGTTGCCATTAAAAAAAACGTGAAATCTTACCGGAAACGTCCATCTTGACGGGTTGCAGGCCAAATTGACTCTCAGGTCTGGGCCTTTTCGCGGCCATCACACAAGCGGCTGACGAATCCACCGGTAAACAAGCCGTTGTTTTGAAACAGTTAGCGGAGAGGGGCCGGTCCAGCAGGACTAAACAAATTTTGTTGTGATGCTGCGGGAGGCGGTGGTGTGTAGTTTGTAGGGGGGTGGATCCGCGCGCGGTCCAGCTGCGTTCCGGCTGGATATCTTGGGGACGGGGCACGATGCACGACTCGGAACGTTCTGAAATTTAAAATAACATGTACAAAAGGGCCAGAAAAGGCTATTAGAACAAAAATGCACCATTGTGGCGGAACTAACAAGCTGTCAAAAAATTTTTGATTTCTATGAATTTCGCCGAATTTCTAGAGCATTACGGTACCTACCCAAAGTATGATTTAGCGGAATTCGCCACCGAAACGACTCCGAAGGCACGCCGGCCGTGATACCGATCAAGGACCTGTCGGAGGGCGGGGCGAGAAACGAAAGCCCTACAAAAGCGCTCCTTGAAGTTGTAGTGATGCCGGGAAGGGAAACTACCTTAACTAAAGCGTTGAAATTGGCATTTTCAGCGAGAGTTTAGTCTGGAGCAGCGCATACAGCAGCGTCGCGTAGCCGTTTTCCGTCGAAATTTTCCTAGTTTTATTTTATGTTATTTGAGTTTTCGTGTTTCAAAACCCATCCAAAAAGCATTCCGCGAAATTCCGCCTTACGAAATCCATCGTAACCACGTTTTCGGCTAAAGCGCCCTTTCGCAGTGTCAGACCGAGCCAAGATGTTCGCATTTTCTCGCTTTTCGCATTTTTTTGTGCACTGGTTTTCGCCTGGATTTTGTCTGTCCTGATTTTAGATTTTATGATGTTTTGTATATCCACTGCTTCAATTTTTTGTTCTTTTCGGTTATTTTCCTCCATTTTCGCTTTATTAAGGCCTTGTATCGCTTCGTATGGACTTAGATTGACCCTTAACTTAGCTTAGGATGCGCGTAGCTTAGCTTACGGCTTGGGCCTAGCTTTTGCGTCAAAATTTGCGTAGCTTTTGCGCTTTGCTTGCTCACCACCTTTGCTTGTCTTTGCTCTTGCTCGCTTCGAATTGCCTCTGGTTTTTGTTTTTCCGTTTAGGTCGTATTTTGTTTGATATTTAGGTCTTTAGATTTTCGAATAACTCGCGATTTGCTATTTTTAGTGCGTCGGATTTGTCATTTTCTGCTTCAGTTTCTTTGCGCTAAGGCTTTGTTTAGCTTCGTATTGGCGTAGCTCGGGCTTTGGCTTAGCTTAAGTGGCTTGGGTTTAGCTTTTGGGTAGACTTAACTAACGTAGCTTACCTCCCACTGCGTATAGCTTTGCCGTAGATCGACTTGGCGTCGTCTTAGTTTAATTTAGACTTCGCTTCACTCGGCCTCGACTTGGCTTAGTTTGGAAATGAGTATTGAGCGATATTACTCGCGATAAAATGACCGAAAAACATTTTTCCGCCCGCACAACCTGAATGGAACCAGATATAAACATATAAATATAGTCTCTTTTGGACGTTTTTGGCTTTGAACTGGTGTCTACACCTCATTTGACTATTATTTCTCGTTTTCCGATTCGAATACTCATTTTTACCTTTTTCCACTTTAGAACCCTTCATTTTCAGATGGAAGCGATGGATGAGGATACGCCGGCCTTCTTCTGGGACGCCGCCCGCTTCGTGGCCATCAACAAAGAGCTCTACACGTCGAAAAGCGAGGTTTTGTATTTGATTTTGTCTTTAATTTCCTTTTTTCCAGGCTCGGGCCGCCGAGGTGCTGGCGCATGTCGCCAACGTGGACATCGAGACCGTCGACCCGTAAGTTTTTCACTTTTCTCGCCTTCAATTCCATTTTAGGGAGGCCATCATCGACGCGAAGGACCTGATCCTGCTGGCCATGCGGACGATCGGCGCCGAAGGACTGCTCGCGCGTCATCAAGTATCATTTTTTCGGGCTTTTTTGCTGGTTTTCTTGCGGTTTAAACCGAACTTGTTTTGTGGAAAAATTTTTACTAACATTTACTACTTTTTCTAAGGATTTTGAAGTCTTTTTGCATTAATTAGGTTCTTTTTGGGTTTGAAAACCATAAAACTAACTGAAAAGCTAGAAAAAACTAACTTTTGTATTGTTTGTAGATGAAACAGGTTTTTATAGATTTTTCGTTGTTTTGCCAAAAGAAATTGTAGCATTTTCAACGTTTTGATCGATTTATCTAACCCCTTCTTTTAGATGGAGCTTCTGAGCGCGTTGAGCAAGCTGCCGGCGGCGTTCGTCGACGTGATGGCCGCCTTCTTCGTCAACGCGCATGCGGCCCGCCAGATGATCCCGCTCGGCGCGCTGGCCGTCGCCATCGCCTTCGCGCGCCGCGTCCAGGAGGAGGAGTGCGCGGAGAAGGTACTTTTATTTTTACATTTTCTTATCTCCCATTTTTTTTAGATCGCGGAGTTGCTGGGCCCGATCGCGCAAGTGCCCGAGCTCCACCACGAAATGATGCACCAGCTCGCCAACACGCGCAACGCCGAGCGCCGCTTCCGCGTGTATGAGGTATTTTCTAGTTTATAAAGTTAATTCTACCTTTTTTAGGTGCAACTCGCGGCCTGCCGTGCCTCCAACGTCTACCCAGCCATGGCCGAATACATGCAGCACATAATAAAGGTAATTTAAACCTTGGTTTTAATTTAATTTTACTTATAGGAACTCGAAGGCGACGACGTGCTCACGCAGCTCACCACCATGGACTTCCTCACGTCAATCGCAAGTACGTTTACGCTTTTTAAACTTGAATTTTCTCTTTTTAGTGACAGGGCCGCTGGGAGGCCGGCTCTTGAAGGAGTCCGATGCGTCGACCGTCGTCTACAAGCTGCTGCTCGCCTCCAAGGAGTCACCCGACGGCGGATTTGTGTATCCAGGTATTTTTATTTACTTTTTTCTTACTTTATTTGATTTTTAGGTTGCGTGCAGTACTTCGGGCAGCTCGGGCGCATCTCCCCCGACGAGTTGGGCGAGTACCCGGTGTTCCTCGACACCGTCGTGGATATGGTAACTTTTTCTCGTATTTTCTTATTGATTTTCGTTTTAGGTAGCCCATTTCGATCGTCTCGACCCGTCGCTTCGAGCCGCCGCCTTCGACACTCTCGCCAACATTGGCTACAGCGACAAGGGGAAGGCCGTCCTCGAGAAGCACACGGGTAAGGATTGAGTTTTTTTAGTCATTTTTCTTTTTAGGCGCCCCCCAATGCCAACGCCTCATCGAGCACTTTGCGGTGGCGGTCAGCAACGGGCCCGTGGATCTGCGTGTGCGCCATCTCGAAGCGTGGACCCTTCTCTTTGTGCAACACCCACCAAAAGGTAACAGTGAACATTCGGCCTTTTTTAGGTATTCTTTTTAGCCGACGAAGCCGTGGCGAAGCGCTGGTTTGAATGGCTTGGCCAGCCATTCGCTCGGCTCTTCTTTGGATACCTTCAGGTAAATTTTACTGATTTTCGCTTTGATTCCCTCATTTTAGCAACCGTTCGAGAACATGAGACGTGCCGCGTTCACGGCCCTCCACGCCCTCATGGGCTTCGAGTTTGGCAAGGAGACGATGTTTGAAGTGAATGGGTACGTTTATAATTTTATACTCTAAATTTCGAATTTGCAATCATTTCAAAAGTTTTACTTTCACTTCTCCTATTTTAAACTTTCGTTTTCAGCTTCATCGATTGGCTGTGCAACCCGGGCACGGAGACGGTGTGGGAAATCTGCCAAGAGAAGGACGACCTCGTGCGCGCCCTCATCCAATCACCATCGCCCGCCGTCACCCCGGAGCTGCGCCAAAAGCTTACTGTAAGATTTTCGCAATTTTCTCTTTTAACTCCTCCTTTTTAGCGGTACTTCGTGAAGGAGAAGGCCGATCCGCAAGTGGCCATGGCGAACATCTGAAGGACAAGCCGAAGACCCGCCCCCTACTTCCACGAATTCGGGTATTCGTCTCCATTTGTATCAATATCTATCTATTCCCCATTGTTTGTTTCTCATTTCTGACCCTCTAGCGTATCATCAATTCTTATCAATTGTCTTTTCTTTTCTCCAAAGTCGATCCTTATCCTTTTCGCCCGCATGATCTTTACCAATTGATGTCAATAAATTCTGCAATTCATTTATTATTGCAAAAAATAATCTAAATCGCAAAAACAAGAACAAGTGCGAGAAGAAATCAACAACATAACAACGATGCGCATTCACGGAGGAAATGGGTCAAAACAATCGTCAATAAGAGGCTAGAGGAGAGTATAGTTGGAAAGATAGGAAGTAGCATAAAGAATTAAATGTAGAAGGAAAAGAAGCTAATATAAAGGGAGGACTGTTTCAAGTGTATTTTTATCTACTTTTCGGCCCACTTTGGTTGGGTATTTTTGGATGGAGAATTCGGCGTCACATGTCGACTTATTCTGATTTCCGAAACGGCGAAATGCCGGCGTGCCATTTTTTATTGGTATTCGTTATTCTCATTTGTCGCCTTCTTAACTGGTTAGTCAGCTAGCAAACCTCGACCCCGCCTCGCGTTCTTCGCAACACGCCTTTTTCCGCTGCATTCATACTCGAGCCCCGTTTTACACCTCTACCCTGTTGTGATGCAAATGTGCGGGTGGTGGACGCTTTGATGGCTACTTGCCCCAGACAACACAAACAGTCACACTTTCTCGTCTTTTCTGGGTTTGGAGGTGCCAGGGAGATAGTTTCGGTAAACGTACTCGAATTTCTCCTTTAAATAAGCGTTTGTTGTATTTCGTCGACGCTCTCTTCGTGTATGGCGTTGTCAAAATATCAACAATATTTTTTGCTTTGGTGTCAAACTTTTTCAAAGATAATTAGAAAAGGAGCTTGAAACCTTCTTTGACTATTCCTATACGTAAAGCTTTACAAATTTATAAAACTTATTAAAAATACAAAAATTTAAAAAAAATTTGGCTAAATTGATCGATTTTCGATCAAAGTTGGAAGTATAAAGTTTTTCAAGTTTAGATAGTTTTCCTACTTAGGAGTTAATCGAATTTTTTGTCGAAAAACATTATAAAAATGACTATTAGGCTACTGCCATTCCTGAGAATATTAGAAAATCATATAAATATTGGATTCCTACTTTAATTTATTTTAGCAATGCACCGTACCTTCGGTGTGTTTTAACTTTTAAGGGCCGGCGGCTCCGTTCCGCGCCTGGAAAGAAAAGGTCTCTGCCCCTCTCCCCGGCGCGCGCTCTCTGCCCTGTCCTCTACTTCCATTTTGTTTGGTGGGGTCGACGCTGCCGTCGAGCCCTTTAATGCTCTACGCTATCGCAAGCTGACTTTCACAACTTCCGTGTCGCCGCGAAGAACTGTTGCCGTGCGCCCAGCCTCAATTTGGGGCCGTTGTGCGCGCGTAAAAAGCGTAATCGAAGGGAGTTCCCGAGTCCCCCCAACCCCGCACAAAGATCATCGTATTTTCCCTTTCCCTCTGCGAATTTCCTTCGATTTTCCCTCGGCTGCCTGTACTTGAGAAAGGCCGTCTAGAGTATACTCGCGTAATGCCTTGACATTCCTCCCGTTCTAGTCATTCCAGTCGGCGAAGATGATTGGCTGGAGAGGCTTTATCACTTTTCTATCCAGCCTCTCTCTCTCTCTCTCTCTCTCTCTCTCTCTCTCTCTCTCTCTCTTTCTGACGGTCATTTGGTCGGCGTAAAAACGGTAGCCATGGAATGCCGTTTAACGAGAACACTTTATGCCCAATTTTCCATAAATTTTCAGTTATGTGGAGCGCTCCTCCTATCGTTTTTCCACTTTGTCTTCGAGATTTTGGATCGAGTTACTTTTCAGGAAAACGTAAAAAATCCTGCAGTGTTCTTCGGGGGATCGCACGTGGAAATTGGCAGAACGCAAAAAGTTGCATGACTTATGGCCGTACCTGGGCGGATTTTATCGTAGTTTCTCTCTCTCTCTCTCTCTCTCTCTCTCTCTCTCTCTCTTTCTCATATCCCTCGACTTTTTGTGGCAACTTTTGCACCGATGGATACCTGAGATAGCGCTGTAGGTGCCATGTTGTCGTGTACGATGATGAAAATGCTGCGTGAGGTCTAAAAAATTTGTCAGAGTATGTGGCGTGTACACACGAGGGCGCAGGCTAGTAGAAATTTGGATATTATTCCAGTTAGGGTCAGGTGCAATTCATTTTGGTGATTTTGTTTCAATGTTTTCTTTTCTTTGGCTTGAATTAAGCTTCGTTTCTGGCTTAGGCTTCGGCTCTGGCTTAAGCTAGGCTTAGACTTACGCCTAGGGCTGAACTTGGCGTAGGCTTAGACTTAACCTTATGCTTTTTCTTAGGCTTGGGCTAAGGCTAAGCTTAGGTTTCGGCTTGGGCTTAGGCTTAGGCTTAGAGGACTTTTTTAGCCGCATGGTTTGAAATTTGTCCACGAAGCCGGGCTATACCGAAAACCAAATGAACCCCGCATTTTCAGGCCGCCACATTACAAAACAAAACAACTATTGTGAAAATTAGGCTTGAGGGTTCTTTGTATATCCATTATTTGATGAAGAGCTAAAAAGGGGCTCAGGAGTAATTTTCGCGCATTATTCTGTCGCAATGCAGTTGCATTGCATCATTGCACCCCACCGTCCCGGCCGGGGATCGAACCCGGGCCTTTTGGTGCATGGCGGCGGCACCCTAACCGACTGCGCCAAACGTGCACTAATGACAGGAGCCAATAGTACCCTCATCCCCAGTCACCCTGCCCCACCCCCGTAGTGAACTCCAGAAGTTTGGCATTTTCTGCGCCATTTTACAACGATTTATTCTGAAATTTTTACGAATGTCGTGGAAAGGGGAAAGCTATCTGCTTCCAAAATTCAAGGCGAAAATTTTGCAAAACAAAAAAGTTATTGCCAAAAAGAAGTACCATTAATACTTTGTGATTATACTATCCGGGGTAAAAGGGAACTCAGATTATACTTGTTACGCGCATTATTGTTTAGGATGATCTGTAAAGGGGATCACTGCCCCCATAGTTTACTGCCGGGGTTAAACCCGGGTTTGGTGATTTTCTGTCACATTGGCTTCAATCAATTTTTTTTTGGACTGAGTCCGGCTCAGGCTTAAGCTAGGCTTAGGCTTAGGCTTAGGCTTAGGCTTAGGCTTAGGCTTAGGCTTAGGAAAAAGAAGCTTTTTTTGCTTGTGCGAAAACTTGAGCATTACCAAGTTTATTTGTAGGCGATTTCACCCCACTCCACGTTGACAAATCCCTTACGACACTGTTTCTGCCCCCGGCTGAATGAGGGGACGCAAAAAAGAGGAATTTGCAAGGGTGAAGGCAGAGGTCATCCAGCCGTTGGTGTGCGTGTGTGTGCAAATGGCTATCCTAAAGGTATGTCCCTCCTTCCCTCACCCCGTCCCCTCACTGTATTGAGGAGTCGGAGCACAGTCCAGATGCCTATCTGTCTGTTTCTCTCAGCTGTGTCTGTCTGTCTTTCTGTCTGTTTGTGTTGCTCCTTCTCTGTTCGCGCGTCCTTGTGGGAATTAGCCCTCGACCCGGGCATTCCATCCCGACACTGTGGACACGCTTTTTGAAAGGGCCTGTTTTGGCGACTTTTCCTATCCTGGTTTCTTTGAAAAATGATGTCCTTTCGTTTAGGCTATAGACCACTTTTGATTTAAAGGGACGGGCAAGGGGTGGCTAGGGATTTGTCTTTCGCGTGATACTAACTTGTCAGTAACTAGGCATAATCTATGCAGATCACCGTGTAGTTTTATCGTCTTTTTTGGAGCGCTTCAACAAAGTTAAGTTGTCTAGACCTAGCCGATCAGAGGGGTCGATTTTCACGCTTACCAGTCCCAGTACCAGGCAGTACAAACTCTGCCTTCCGATTACTTTTAAAGGGACGCTGAAGCGCCACGACCAGAAGCTGACAACTACACGTTGCGCCAAATGGCGCCCGTAAACCGATCTTGGAGCGAAATTCAGGAGTGACGCGTAGCTGTCGATACCAAGCTGATAGAATCGGTCAAATTCCGGCGTTTCCTAGCCCCTTTAGACATTTAGACCCAAATATTAGAATGTTCCTCTTATTCACAGCCTTCACATTGCGGGCATACCCAGTTAATGCCTGCCCTTCCCCGCTTTCGAATGCGTGCTTCTTACCCCGCCGAAAAGTGGCCCATATCGTTTCCGTCAAAGGGGAATACCACGTACAATCTGTCCCAGGCATGGCAATCGGCCCGGCCGATCGGCTTTTTCGGCCGAAATTTGAATGTCGGCCTCTTAGAATTCGGCTCGGCCGACAATTTCCGGAATCGGCCCTGTTAGGGCCGATTTTTTCGGCTTCAGTCGGCCCGGCCGATCGGCCGCGTGAGGCCGACACATCCGATTTCCACATATAACACAGTGTTAAATGCGCAAGATTATGCATTCTCTTTGATGCTTTTGCCAATTACCGCCAAACCAATTAGGTTTGGGGTGAAGAAGATCAAGGTAATTTTCGAGGTGAAATGATCACCATATTATTAATGGATCAAGTCAGCTAACTCCTCGAAGAGTGGAATGACAAGTAGATGACCAGCATCTTCGAACAGTTATTACCGTTTGTTCGAACAGTTAACCGAATTTGACGCTACACTAAGATCATCATATCCCATGTGAAGTTGAGTATTCTAGACAGTCAAGGATTTCATTGGAAAGAGCGCGAAAAGCTCCATTTGATTCCCATGTGGCAGCTGTTGTGCTGCCTTGAACAGGCTGCTTAGGCCCTTACAGTAAAACGTCACGAAATCGTTCGTAGACCTGAAAAACCTTGAATGAATGTTAACAAAAAACCTTAAAATGAATAGCGAGCTGATTGGCTTCTAAAGGCGAAAACTGATGGTCGAGATTCGTGGTCATCTACTTGTGGACCCACTGATTTACGGGTTTTTTTTTTAATTTTGACATAAATGGTCGGCCGGGCCGAATCGGCCCGGCCGATTCACCCAAAAGTCGGCCGAGCCGATCGGCCGGGCCGAAAAAATTAGCATAGGAAAATCGGCCCGGAAGTGGCCGATTTAGTCGGCTTTCGGCCCGGCCGATCGGCCGGGCCGACCGAATTTTCCATGCCTGATCTGTCCCCATCCACGGGAGGGCTCTCTTTGATTCGAGCCCGCGGCCGCCTCGTTTTTGTCTAAACATTTTCACCCCCGCAAATGACAAAGAACCGAACGGCTGAAGTACGTAGAAATTCCTGTTTGGATCGGGGCGACCCATTTCCCGTTGGGTCGACCTACAGCTGATCGCCTTCACAGGGGTGAACCCGTTTAAAGGAGCCGACAAGGCCTATGGATTTTGGGAGCTATGCATTCTTCATGGATTCATCATTCTAATGGACACGCAACGCGCAGCCGTTTGGCCACCTTTTCCTTCGTGATTTTCCCACGTTCCGTAGTAGCCCAAAAAACACGGCCTCGCGTTTTTGGGGATGGGTGACCCCGATAGAAATCTTTTTCTCCTCCCGAGCCAGCTGATCCGATTCGTCACCCATCCCCTCCGATCCACAACCCGAACTTCCACTTGTTTTCTGAAATATCTAGTCGAAAATCTTGGACGATGAGTAACGCGCTACTGTATCTAGTTATCTAGTCATCTTTTTCGACGTTAAATTTCTAACTTTTTCGACGTTTTTCGACAATTTTGGTTGTATTTCTACATTATTACTTTATAATATTTTCAAAAATCATTTCAGATGCGCCTTCCGGGTGCCTTCTTACTTTTTTGGCTTTCCGCCCAGGCCCAGGGCGACTATTCGACGGTAAGCTGAATGTGGCTAAATCATGAGCGATTTTTCACCTAGGCATGTCTACCGGAAAATCCTAGAACCCGGGGGGAAAGCCGAGCTTTTTCAAGCCCAATAAATAAGCCGAGGTGGGTTTCACGCTTTCTCGCAAAAGATAAGTTTGCCGCCTTCAGATACGGCAGCGAGAGCAGACGGCGCTCAAAAGACAGCTTTTGCCATCAGCCGTTAGTTACAGGTTTCGTGGGGTAGGGTTTGAAATCTGGAAATTTTTAGATCGTCTCCCGGGTCCGCTGCGGACGAAAGTTCGGGCGATTTGGGCGACATATAAAACGGGGGCTGGGTGTGAATATGAGGTGGCCAGGACGAGGTGGGTCAAGTAGGAAAGTTCGGTTCTTTCACGTTATCGGGGGGGGGCAAGATTTCCTCTTAAGATCTAATTTCCAAATATAAATAGTGGAAGTGTTTCTAAGTAGTTTTTAATATTCCGAAAAAGGAAAACAATACAAAGTTTTATTTCAAAAAATGCTAAAAATAGCGATTTTTCGGCCAGAGATGGCCGATTTTGACCAAAATTTAGAATTTTCAGACCTTTTTTAGATACTTTGCTAGTTAAATATAGTTATCTTCTTACAAAAAGACTATTAAAACACTTGCCATTAAGTTAGTAGACATTTCACTTTAACAAAAAAGTTCGGTCCCCCCGCTAATGCGAACGAACCGAAAAGTTAATGACCCGTAGTAAATTGGCGTAATATAAAGGGGAATTGGTATTTAGAAATCTCCTAAGCTCGATTTCTCCAAAAATCCGGTACTCGTTGATGTCGCGGTCATCATCGTCGGCATGTGAATTACCAGCCGTTGCCGCGCATTTGCCCAAAAAAGTAAATTAAGTTTTTCGAAATTTTCGCTCCTTCAAGGTGCAAATTCCCGAATTCCTAGGTGCAACTCCGCATCATCGCCATCTGGCAGAAACGAGATCCACACGCCAGTTGCGAGGAGCAAAAGCGGAAGACCAGGTTTGAGCCCGTGAATAGTAGCCTAAAGGAAAGTTTAAGGTTAATATTACTGAATCTGCCTGCACATCTCCGTGCTCAACTGCAACCACCGCCATTCCGATGTGAGATGCCACATTTTGTGCATCGGCTTGAGCAGCACGTGCAAACAGAAATACAGAAGATATGGGTCGGATATCACGATGGGCAGCCGTGTTTTGATGTTGGTATTCGTTCTTTATTTGGTCGGTCTCTCGCTCTCTCTCTCTCTTTTCTCTCTCTCTCTCCCTTCATCTCTTTCACTCCCTCTCTCACTACTTTCCTCTTCTCTCCCCTCTCTCTCCCCTTCCCCCTCCCCTCCCCTCTCCTCTCCCCCCTTTCCGCTTGGCCTCTTTCCAGCAATAACATTCTAAAATTAGAAATCCTTTTCGAAAAAATCCCTATTTTCCAGCAAGTTGATCGTCAACTGGCCGTCCTCCAGGCCAACGAGATTTCCCTCGGCTCTTTCCGCTACCCTCCCGCCAAGGCATTCGACCGGCTTGAACTGCTCCAAAAGTTCCGCCGGGCTTCGGTCGCTTGAAAGACCGATCGGGTTCCGTACTGCACCTTACCATTACTTTCGGGTTCCAGATAACTTTTAAGAAATTTGCTTCAGAACCGGTAAAACCTTTTCCGGTTCCCATCTTTTTTACCCAATGTTTTTATGTGTAAAGTATTATGAGTAAACGTTTTGTAAAATAACTTCAGTTTCCCATTAGTCCAAAGGTCACCACCACTCTTTCGTCTTTCCCATCCCTTTAGAAATCGTAAAGCCTTAACTTTTCGACTCGCCCCTTTCCACGTGATCTCATTTTGCTTGTGCTATATAAATAAATCTTTATTTTGGCGCAAAAGTGAGAACATTGCCGGTAATCTGTTAAGTGAATTTAGCACCCGATGGTGGGGGATAATTGCGTGGTTGGGCTGACTAAAGCTGACAACTGAAAATGCACAGAAAAATTGTATCGCTAAGAAGATTCATACATAACTATAAATTAGTAAAAATCAGGCTTGTACATGTGAAGAGCAAAGCGAATGGTTGCAACGGCGCGTTGTTTGGTATTCGAAGCTGAAAAGAAAAATGTTTTCGAATTTTCTTCAGGGCTTTTGCATTATCGGGGGTGCAAAAATATTTTGTATAAGTCTAGCAATGCCTAGTAACTGAATAGGAAGTATTTTAATGGTATTTTTAGCAAATCAAAACAATATTTCAACTAGAAAATTTTTTAAACGTTTTGAAAAAATCGAAATTTGTAAAGTTTTTACGGTTGGGAATAGTAAAACACAGTTTAAAAACACGCACTATTTAAATTTGAAAAAATGGCCCCACCCCCCCCGATAATGCGAAAGATCCTTCTTCAGCAATACCTGACGAATTGGCCAACAGATCGATTTCTTTCCGGACGGCAAATGCCCCACCAGGGCCCTGATTGAAGAGATTTTGGAAGGGCAACGCCGTCTCTTCTGAAAATACATAGGTTTACGATCCATTCTCGCTACTAGCCTATCAACGGCACATCCGGGCAAAAAACCCGCGGCTCGACCAGCAACAGTCGAATCATGCCCGTCTTCTCGGTGAATAGGAATTGGCATGAGTCCTAGAAATATGGTCTGGCCATTTGGTATTCCACCAACCACAAGCTCTCCTTTTTTATTCAAATCGACGAGGAACGTCTTGGAGTTGTCGTGGAGGGAGACACGCAGTCCGACCTGTTGCACCGGCATTGACGTTTTCACGTTGACGATGCTAAGGCTGACGAGTTCGACGAGTAGCCGACCAAGGACCTCCTTTTTGTTGGCCGGGGTGCGGAGCTGAGAGCGGGTAAAAAGTTGGGTCCTTGAGGCTTTACCCCCTCTCTGGAGATGGCCTCATTGATGGCGGGTCTGAGGTGGGATAACCAAAGGCGAGACGCATTGCCACTGGTTGCACGGAGGGATATTACGTCGTGGTCGCCTAAAAACTCCAGAATAATACAGACGTTTAGGTTCTCGTTCTCAGGCATAGGCTTAGGCTTAGGCTTAGACTTAGGTTAGGCTTAGGCTTAGGCTTCGGCTTAGGATTAAGCTTCGGCTTGGACTTAGGCTTCGAATAGGCTTAGGCTTGGCTTAGGATTAAGCTTAATCTTAGGCTTAGACATAGGCTTAGGCTTAGGATTAGGCTTAGTCTTAGGCTTAGACTTAGTCGCTTAGTAAAAAAAAACATCTTTCCTCTTTTTGGGTCCAACCAGCTCATAAAAATTATTAAAATTTTCGAGCAGTGAGGATTTTTGGTCAGAATGTATGAAAAATCGTCAAAACTTCCTTTTGAAAAATGTAATAAAACTGTTAAAAGCATTACAGAAATGATCGTCGTTTATTGGATTTTTCCTACTAATCCCCACCATGCTTGAGGGTGATCTGCCCCTCAGTCTCCGTCTCTCGATCGTTGATCATCAACCTGTGCAACAGCAGTGGGCTACGGTAGGTGGTGAGCGTCAATTCGGACTGGGGAGAAAGGCGAAAACCGCTCGTCTAGAAAAATGGCGTTAAAATTGGCTTGAAAATACACCCACATTGGCCACAGTTTCACTCGGTGTAGTTAGCAATAAAAAGTCGTTAAAGAGGATGGCGACGAGTTGTCGCCCGGATCGCGCCTTCCACAGGATTCCACTATGCAACAGCTTACGGGACCCCTAAAAACGCGTTGAAAAACGGCCAGTACGCCACTGACCAGTTGACGGGTGGGCGAGGCGAATTCAAGCGGTGGCTGTACGGGGACACGAACGTGGGATTGGCACCATGCCAATAGACACATGGTTTCTGACTGAAAGGGGTTCCCAGAAACTCCTAACCTATGTATAGCCAACCTCGGCAAGATTACGGTTTATACTGTCGAGCAGATTTACCGTAACCTGGTGAGCAGCTTCTAGGGAAGAAGCCTCTTCCGGTACGCATTCCTCGATCATCTTTTCAAGCAGAAGCGGGTATCTACATCTATTTGTCAAAAGAATGATGTAGTACACCTCGTGATCCTCCCCAACGGTACCAAGAACAACGTGTGGAGACTCATGCCACGAGTCGCCGGGTTGCTGCAACATTCCGCGTAGATACGCTGCACGTTCGGGTCGCGCAATACGCGCTCGATATTCGCGATAGCGGATTGTTGCTTGAAGCAGAAGGCCGGGAATGCTTGTAGGCCGTCGAGTTCGGAGAGCAGGGCTTCGCCTAGATACCGGTTTACACGAAAATCGAGCGATTATGAAAACCTGGGCCGCTGCCTTGATGAAGCCGCCGACAAATGTTTCTCGATAGAGCCCTCAATTCGTCCCAATTCATTCGGAAGCTAGCGACGTCGTCTGCTGGGATGACGCCATTTAACGGTCGCACAAAACCCTCCATCGCCAGCTCGATGTCGGCCAGGTATCGCTCCTCGGATGACGCGAATTCCTATGTGCGCGCTTTTTTGGAGCTTTTTCGTTAGCGGGGGGGGTAATACGGTGTCCCAGGGGCGAAATTGATAGAAACAGGCGCATTTCCAATAGGCAAGTTTGACTTTTTGTTCAAAAGGTATGCCAAATTGTGTAAAAATTCAGAACTTTATAGTTTTTTTAGAAAGCTATTTTTTTTTTTTTTTCTTAATAAAAAAAAAAAAAAAAAAAAAAATTTTTTTTTTTTTTTTTTTTTTTTAATTTTTTTTTTTTTTTTTTTTTTTTTTTTTTTTTTTTTTTTTTTTTTTTTTATTTTAAAAAAAATTAAAAAATTTTTTTTTTTTTTTTTTTTTTTTTTTTTAAAAATTTTTTTTTTTTTTTTTTTTTTTTTTTTAATAATAAATTATTTTTTAAATTTTTTTTTTTTTTTTTTTTTTTTTTTTTTTTTTTTTTTAAAAAATTTTTTATTAAAAAATTTTTTTTTTTTTTTTTTTTTTTTTTTAAATTTTAAAAAAATTTAAAAATTAAATTTTTTTTTTTTTTTTTTTTTTTTTTTTTTTTAAAAAAAAATAAATTTTTTTTTAAAATTTTTTTTTTTTTTTTTTTTTTTTTTTTTTAAATTAAAATTTTTTTTTTTTTTTTTTTTTTTTAAAAATTTTAAAAAAATTATTTTTAAAAAATTTTTTTTTTTTTTTTTTTTTTTAAAAAAAAAAAAAAAAATAAAAAAATTTTTTTTTTTTTTTTTTTTTTTTATATTTCCCCCCCCTTTTTATTTAAGACCTTGAAATCGATAAGAATCAAAAAACTACCAAAAGCACCGTACATTAATAAAAATAGTTTCTGTTTTAGTGATATGCAAGTTAGGTTGAAGAAAGGAAATTGGGTCCCCCCTCCCCGCTAATGAACCAGACCCTGTTTTGTTCTCTGTAGGGTTACACGCAACACTCTGCTCACTTAGAAAATCGGTGTCTGTATATGGCGAACGCGAAAAAGCAAGAAAAACCTTGACAAGCTGCTGCATCTTGATAGAGGCCTTCGAGGCGACGGGGTGATGTGGTGTGGAGGTTCCGGCCGACACGACACGACTACAAAGAAAGGAATTAGAAAAGAATGGCCGGACGAGAAACGAGCAGATTAATGTAATGTATCACGAGACAGGTCGAGAGGACAAGGACAGAAGCGCGTACACCACCATACTACAGTCATGCCCGAACAATTTGACGCGTGTGTGTTGTCGTTATTTTGTATGTGGCAAGCGAGTGATAGCGGCTAAGCAACTATTTATTCGGCTATCAACCAAGGACCAATAAATAATTTAGGGGAAAAGTACGTATAAAATTCTGTAGGGCACTGTAGTACGGGGGATGACGTGGGGATGGCTTTGTGGTTGGCTAGGGTTTCTTGTGAAAAAGGCTACGTTCGTGAAGCTAAATAAGTATGGGGGAAAGCTGACGGAAAAGCTTATTATGCCAATGGAAGAGGAGAGAGAGAGAGAGAGAGAGAGAGAGAGAGAGAGAGAGAGAGAGAGAGAGAGAGAACGTGAATAGCCACAACCGACCAAATTGGGCTAGGGGACCGGTCTGCCACGGGAAACTTGGTAAATGGTTTCCAATAAAGCCTGGAGGCGTTTTCTACTTTTAAAGAGTCACTAATTTTAGCCAATACCGTAACCCAGCTTAAAATGTGGTTCTTTCCCATTATCGTGTGGGTGGGGGGTTCGGGGCGGCCGAACTTTTTGTATATCTTGAAATGCCTAGTAAGTTAATAGAAAGTCTTTTAATAGTGTGTTTAGTAATATCTATACTTCAACTAGAAAAATCATTTAAAACAGTTGTTGCTGAAAAGTTGAAAAGAGCAATTTTGGTCAAAAATCGGCCTTTTTGATCGAAAATCGATATTTTGATATTTTTTATCAAAAAAATTGTAGCCTTCACGTTTAAGAATAGTAAAAACAATTTAGCAACACCTCAAAAATTCAAATTCGAAGAATTGGATCCTAAGAAAAAAGTTGTCCCCCGCCCGATAATGCGGAAGAACCCAAAATGTAAATTTCTCAATTTTTCAAAAGCTGTAACCATAGACTCACCCGGGAACCGGCCCCCGGATCGAGCAAAAGCGGAAGAAGCTGACCGCAAAGAATAAGTGAATCTGATTTTGTATATGACCTAGTCAATAAATAATGGGGACAACATTTGGGGCGGATTTTCTCGTCTGTTCGTCTGTCTACCTGAGGTCATCAACGGGACTGCCGGCCTCGATTTGGACATAGGCGGATGGGAAGACGCCGGAATGGGTTGGCACATTCTGTAGATGACCCGTCCACCAGTCCGCATCCTGACGATGTGTGACGATCACCTAGAAACGCCGGGGTTTCTTTTAAAAATTGAATCCTTACCCGGTCGCCAACCTTCAACGACAGCTCGTCATGCTGGGTGGCCTCGTAGTCAAACTGGGCGATGGCCAGGGTGCCGCTCGGGGATGTGACGCCATTTGTCTGAAATTTTTGGCTAAGAATTCAGAAATTTTTAAAAATTAACTATAATAAGAATTCCGATATTTTTGTATTTTATTTTTAAGTAAAGTTTGGTAAAGTTTTTATGTTTAGGGATACTAAAAACACTTCGGAACACTTCCGAAATTACTTCCTAAGAAAAAATTTTCTTCGTCGCCGTCGATAATGCGTAAGCGCCAATTCCCCTGCAGAGTCAATTTTGTAGTCAACTACCCACCATACTCTCGACGTAGTCGCCAGGGAACCATCCTTGCGTTGAATGGCCATCCCTGACAACCTCTCCATGCCACCATCCCTGTCGACTCTTCTCTGTCACAGTCACCGTATCCCCTTTCCGGAGTGCTAATTGGCCCGGTGATGAAGCCGTGAAATCGACAATGACACGGGCCCTCTCCGAGCATTTTCCTAAAGTATGCTATCGACAGTGGCTTGCTATAATTACCAGGCGTCACGGCACCACTGCCCTTCTCTACATAGTTTGCCGGGAAGACGCCTTCGCGTCCGTTGGAAACGCCCTGGAATCAAGATTTTTGGGCCTAATGATTTCTTTTATTTCTCTATCTTGTTTCTCGAATCCGGAAAACGCCTTTTTATTTAAAAAATGCGTGTTTTCGTAAAATTCTAACTATCGTAAAACTACCGTACCTTCCACCATTGATCCTTCTGCTCGAGCACGAGAATGCGATCCCCGGTCGTCAATGGCAGGTCTCCTTCCTCGACGGCTTCAAAGTTGAACACGGCCACAAACCATTCACCGTTCGGCTGAGCACCAGTACCTCCGGCTGGCGTTTTCCAAGCTGCTGAAAAACATGGGATGTCAGCCTCAAAAGCACAAGCCACCTTCGGCCAGACTATGCTGGCTGGTTGATGAAGGGACATCACCCGGTGGTGTATCATAGGCGGGAGCGGCTGAACCAACTTTGCAAAATCTAAAAACTGCCCTACTTACCGTAATCACCTGGTGGGGCGTCGTACATTGGTGGGGGTGAGGTGATCGAGTGAGAGGATTGTAGAGAGGTTTCTGAAACTCGGAACTTTCAAGAATCTAAGGAATTAAGTTACGCTTGTTGAGAGACTGCTGGCTAGTGGTGGCGGGAATGTCGCCAGGGGGTACATCGTAGGCTGGGGCTTGTTGAGTGTGGCCGTTTGACTGGGGAGCCTGGAAATGATAATACAAATGAGTAAGGCTGAATGTATTTTTGGTATTTTGTATACGGCTGAAATATCCAAAAATCCTACCGTTTTCTCGGCCGTCATTTTCGCATAGCTCTTCGGGAACCATCCGACGGTCCCATCAGTTTTTCTGCCTCTCCATTTCATCTCTTGCTGCTCAATCACCTAGATTTTACTATAAAAGAACTAGAGACAGTATACCTGAATGACATCTCCCTTCGCAAAGCTCAGATCCCCTTCATTCCGCGCCTTCCACGCGAATTGGGCCGTTGCCACGCCGATAATCGCCTCGGGGGTTGAGGCTAGAAAAATCGGCTTGGAAAAAAGAAGTAAAAGTCGGAAGCTAACTGACGTCCGAACCACAATACCTGGTTGTTGTTGCTGCGCTTGTGCCTGTTCTTCGGCAATCCTCGTCTTTTGCATCAACGACGCGATCGTCTCGTGGGCCCCGTCCTCTTCTTGAATTCGTTCCAGGGATGGGGAGGCGACCACCTCGGAGACAGATTGAATCGGCTATACAAAAAAATTTTTGCTCACTAGCCTTTTCCAAACCTGCGTAATATTGGTGTTGACCGGGGCGAGGGGCTCGGCAAAAGCTTCGGGGAACCAGCCGACCTTGTTCCGAATCTGTCCGGCCAGCCATCCAGGCTCGGAGGCATGACCTTCGAAAACGAGCACAATTTCACCTAAATGGATCTGAATGCAAGAACGGAGGGTCGAACCTTGTTGGAAGGAAAGCTCGTCCTCGGAACGGCCCTCGAAGTCGAACTTGGCCCGATATTTGACGGTGCCGGCGGAGGTGGTGTTTGATGGGAGAGTTGTCGACGAGCCTAAAAATATATGTATCTGATAATAAAGGATGCAAATCACCAACCGTGAGAGTGCGACTCTTTTTGTCCGTTTTCTTGGGCAGAAAATGGGTTAGCTTGTGCAGCGAATGCATCGTGTGTTTGTGGGGATTGGATGGAAGCCTGAAAATGATGATGATATGTCGATACTGCTCTGGAACTAACCTGTCTCTGCTGCTGCTCTTGCCTCTTCTTTTCGACCATCTGCCTAGCTTCGGCTTGCAACTGTTGCAGCAATCTGAGGCCCTCCTTGTAGTCCACGTTGAACGCCTCGAACTTGGGTTTTTGGACCGCGTAGGCTTCTTGCTTCTAAAAAGATTTAGCATTTTAAAGGGGAAGTTCATGCTCACCTGTGCGAGAATGCCATTTTGGGCGGCCGTTCGTGCTTTGGCCTCTTCCACCTCGCCACGCAGCTTTTCGAGGAGAGCCCGAGTTTCGGATGCTTTCTGAAATTATAATTCGGGGATTGGAACTGAAACGGGCGATGGATCACACAGCTCACCAAAATAAACTAACCTTTTGTGTCCTCTCAATTTCGTCCAATTGTGCTGTTGTGTCACGGTTGGCCGTTTGAAGTTGCAACAAGGCGTGGGCCAACTCCTGGCTTCGCACGGCCGCCTAAATAATTGAATCACCCCCCCCCCCCCCCCCCCCCCCCCCCCGCCCCCCGCCCCCCCCACCCACAAACCCCCCCCCCCCCCACTCCCCCCCCCCCCCCCCCCCCCCCCCCCCCCCCCCCCCACCCCAACCCACCGAAAAAATTAATTTTTTTTTTTTCTATTTTATTTTTCCCCCAAAAACCAAAAAAAAAAAAAAAAAAAACAAATTTATCTATTTTTATTAATTTTTTATTTAAAATTTTATTAAAAACCCCAAAAAAAAAAAAAAATCCACCCCCCGAGTGAAGGAGAAATTAGGTATTTATGCAAGAACCCCCCCAAAACCGGCCCTCGGAGTTATACCCACACACAAACACAAAAACCCCCCCAAAATTATAAAAGGTAGGATATGTATAATTTTTATCTGCTATTAAAAAGACGAAGACTGAGGCACTAGACTGACCTGTTGATGCTTCGTCTGCAGCTGTTGTATTCTGGCCACCTTCGTATCGCGGCTCTCCCTCATCCCTTCGATCTCCTTTGTAATCAGCTCAATTCGGCCCCTGGCCTGCCCAATTTCCGATTCGACGTCCACCGCCTTTTCGTCCAAGGCTTGCAGCTGGAAGCCAAGGGTCTTTTGGCGCTGCAGGCGTTGTGCCGTGTGTTCGGCTTCTTTCTCTTTGACCGTCTGAAAGCGTGCATTTTTTACAGAATCAATTTTTTATTGTCTCTCGGAGCTAAAACGATCACGTACCTGCATCTCCTTGAGCCGCGTCTTCTCCAATTCCACCATCCGAGCCTTTTCTTGTTCTTTCCGTATGGCTTCCCGTTCTTCTTCCCGTTTCCGCTCCTCTTCCATCCGCTGTTCGTACAAAATTCTCTGGAAAGGCGCAGTAATTTTCCGTAAGTCTTTACTATATTAGTATCATCATAATCATTATAATCCAGTCTCAAACCTGTCTCTCAGCCTCCGCCCTCCGCTCTTCCTCAGCACGTCTCTCTTTCTCTAGCCTCTCCCTTTCCTTCTTTTCAAATTCTTCGCGTTCTCGCTTTTGGATTTCGGCTTTACGCCGGTCTTCCTGGAAAATGCGTAGTGTCAGCTTCAAAAATTTAACGTACCTCTTCCTGCAAAATCTGTCTTCTGCGGTCGAGTTCGGCCTGCCCTTTGTCAAAATTGTCCTTCCGTTTATCCTCAAACGTCTTCGGGGTCGATGTCTTTTGAGGTGGAGGAGCGCCCGGTTCCTATAGCAATGGCAATTAATGTATCCTCCATATCATTATTTTCCATGTTTATTAAGACTTACTAAATGTGGACTGTCCGCTTGACTTCGATCGCCGCCACAAAGCTGAGCCAACTCCGGAGGTGTGGTCACGGGAAGGGCGTACCCATCCTACAAACGGTCCGAGATTTCTGAATTTCCGAACCTTGTGCATCTCGATGAGAAAGCTGGCAATGCAGAACTCGTCGACGTTGAGGCGCCCGTCCTAAAATCGAAAATTCACTTTTTGGGGAAAATTTAAAAGTATTCAGAGGTTCTCCCCGATTCCGACCTATGCACCCACCTTATTTACGTCAGAAAGGTTCCAGATATGCGCCAAGGTGGGCATCGGCAGTCCGCTCAACCCCATAGCGTTTCGGGCAACATTTCCCGCTAGCCAGCCGACACGTTGCTGAAAAAAGCTTCGATAACGGAAGACGAAATGGAAAATGATTGTTATTGTGCCAAAGCTAACCTTGTCTAGCTGGTTGAATTGCTGGGCATGGTGAAGCTTTTTCTGGTGCGGCATCGACCAGTCACCAAGCTGACGACCTAAGAAAAAGCATTTATAGAAGTCGACATTTTTGTTTTAGGGAGAATTAAATAGAAACAAACCGGTAGACCACGTTCCGGCTGAAAACCCGGTTCTGAGTGCATTCTGCATAACGGCCGGCGGAGCTGTGTTGTATTGGGGCACTAAAACGGGGGTTGGGACATGCGCGTAGCATACTTGCTGGAAGTGGGGGCACCATTTGTGGCATCGACATTTGGGGCATCTGAAAATGTTAGTGAAAACGGACCCGTTTCCCAACCTGCAGCATGGAAGGAGGGAGCTGCGGCGGCATGGCCATCCCCGCCATCGCATTCCTCGTCAACTTCATCGCGATCGAGAATTCGCGTTCGTCGAGCTGGCCGTCGCGGTCCAGGTCAGATAGCGCCCAGATCTGGAGCAAATCGGTTTTTGCCAAGAAATTCGCCGACCTGTGCGAGGATTTGCTGTGCCAATCCTGATTTCACGAGCACTCCACGCGCCGCCATCGCCGTCAATTTGCCATTTTGCGGGCCGGCGGTAATAAACTAAAAAAGTGGGATTTAGTATTATTGCGCATTACCGTTTGCTTCAGCTAACTTTTTATAGTGATAAACTTTTAATTCAACTATGAAATAAACACCGTAAATTGTAACTAAATGTTGATAATATACGTTGCATGTAAGAAAAATATTTTAGCGTCTAACTTATGATGAATGCGTTACAAAAAGAATGCCAAATAGGCCGTGTATCTTTTGAAATCGGTCGAATTCCTAGATTTTTTTAATACAAAAGCAAAACAGGGTATAAATACTGACTTGGACCCTATTCGCAGCATGTTCTTCAGGCGAAATCTCCCAAGGGGACGACATGGCCCTGGAAAATGGCTCAGTTATGGAATGAGGAAGATTTTGGCAAAGTTCGAGCCGGAAATCGATATAGTGAGAACCGGTCAGCGGATGAGTCACAGTGTGTGTTTATACGATTGGAGGTCAGCCGGTGATCATCTGGAATAGGGAGGAGACACTGAACTGACCCCGGGGGCACCTTTTAGACGAGACACAACACCGCGGGGTAGATTACGTCTCGTAAGCGGTTATATGACGCGGACCGGAAACCTTTTTTATACCCGAAAAGGTATAAAACGGTGGTTGGGAAAAAGCGTACACGTTGACTTCTGGAAAGAACGCATTGTATCTATTAAAGGCGTTTTTTAGCATGGAATTTTAGCAGGGATTGTTTTGATTAAAAATCGAGCGCTTATATTATTGTGGTAGTAATCGAAGTGTTGTTAGGACCCATGGACCGGTCCCGTTGAGGATTTTAATAGCACGATTTTCGATATTCATCAGGAAAGCTATAATTTTTAGGCCGAAAGCTCAGTAATTGGCTTAAAAATGGGGGATTGCGAGCCTAAAACTCACTACGCCGTTTTAATCACTCTTCCAGACCCACTCGATCACCTACAAAAAAAAATCAACCACTGAAAAAGGGCAAAAAGAAACCCCGGAAAAAGTTGTTGGGGGCCCGTTTTGGCAGGAATCCGTAAAATATTGGAGCCCCAGCCTTCGGCTCCCAGGGCCCTAAGCGGTGGCCCATCGATCCGAGGCCGTGAAGACGTCATCTCTCCCCTTCTCCTGCTGAAGCCCTCAGGGGCCCCTTTCTATTCCCTCTCTTTCTTGCTACGTTCTCTCTCTCTCTCTCTCTCTCTCTCTCACTCACTCACTCTCTCGCTGGCTACTTTGGGTTCAACAAGAAGGGTCCTTCTCCTCCCTCTTCTACACAAATCATTCCCCGCATCCCATCCCCCTCTACCCACATACACATTTATGTCCTCGGGCTATCCGCGGGTAGTCTTGGCGTTGCTTTTCTTACATTACTCATCTGATAGTGATCAACATACCATGTCCAGTACATCATTCGACTCGCAGGGAAAAGGGCTTTTCATCTGACTTCCTCGGAATCAGTTGATCCGCTCCTTACGCTAGATCATGAGCCAGTTTTATTTTTGTAGTTTGGCTTGGAGTACGCTTTTGCTTCTCCTTCCCATTTCGGCATTACTCGATATACACCAAATTACATGAAGATACTGCGGCAAAAATAACGATGCAAATGTTCATAGGTGTCTACGTACAACTCCTTGAACATGCGCTTTAGTGAATATCATCTCCTCCGCGCCCTATTCTATCCGTCGAACCCTATGATCCCATCTTAGCCATCCCCTCTCCAGCAACGTCATCCCAGTAAATCGGGTTGTCCCCCGCCCGGTCGTGCTTCTCATTAGATCCGAGAAGGCCCGGGGCCAAAAGCCGATATTCCCCACATATCCCCCTCTATCTCCACGACCGGAAACCCTCATTTCTCTGTCGGTGGAGCGGATGTATGCGTAACGTACACGCTCGATTCTGTAAAATTCATTAATGCAGGTGTGCTCAGAATTTTCACGAAGCTCGATAAAGATTTTTACCTTTGGGTTTGTTGAATGAGAGCATGTTTTTTCCTGGTAAACGCGTAGCCATAGCTAGCGGCTTTTCGCGGAATTTGATTTTGTCGCGGACCTCAATTTCCGCTGGAACTCTGGGGGGTAGATCCTTTTTGTGGTCTTATTTTGCGAGTCTAACTACCAGAAACTCAGCAATTTTTATCAAGGAAAAAAATTTGCCATCATTTCGGAAATCATTTTGTCGAAATTTCAATGGTTTTTTGGGCAAAATTATTCATCTCAACATTTCGCAAATTGACATTTCAGCGGATTGAACAAAACTAAATCTCGACAAGATTAGATGTCGACAAATGAAATGTCGACAAACTGAAATTTCGACAAAATGATTTTCGGTTCGCTAGTCGACACTTACAATTGTCGACTCTTTTTCTGCGTCTGCACAATTTCTACCACTTGCCCGTGCCAAAATTCAGCCGACAGTTCGGCTTCCCCCCTTTTTCTTCGCCACTTCCAATTAGCAGAGAATTCCTGCCCCACCCCGACGAAGCCCCGGGATTTCAGCCATGTTTTTCGTTATGGAGCGACTGCTCCCGAACCGGTGACCGCCCTATCTAATGAGGACCAAATCGAGGGGCCCAGGATTGGCCGGCGATCGATCCGTTTCTTTCTTATTTCTCTCGTTACCAACGGATTATCGAAGATGCGCCCCAAAGCCGTGGGTGATTTGCTCTCCCCATTTACGCGGCTTTCGTGCAAAAATTTGCCGATAGTAGTGATGGCGTTTTGAGATCTTGCGCATTAGTACCGGAAATGCCTAGTAACGCATCGAAAGTATTTAATAGTATCTTTGGTACAATTTCGATAATTTTATATGGCTCTAAGAAACTTTAACAACATTTTAAGTTTCAAAAAATGGAAATTTTTATTTCGGAAAACGAAAATTGTTTTTGCTATACGCTAGTATGTTTTACGTTTAAGAATATCAACAAATAGTTCGAAAAACTCTCTATGATTTTAGAAAAATTCATGCAAAGAAAAGAAGCTGGTACCCATAGCCCCCCCCCCCCCGATCATGCAAAAAATACCGCTTACTCGATGAATTTATGGCACTCTCCCTTTAGCCGTACGCGTTTATTCTAGGCCAACCCTAAAAATGTTGTTCTTCAAATTAAAGCCAACTTCAAATCTGAGGATTGGATTAAGTTTTTGGTTCCTCTTAAAATCTCTAAATTTTCGAATACTAAACATCAAAACGTGCATTTGATTTGAATTAGACCTGCGCTACTTTATTATGCTTTAGCTATGTACTCTCATCGAAATTTCATACGCAGATTCGGGCGCCCAGTTCAGGTGTGAAATTCGATCCGAATGCTTTTCGCCCATTTCGAACCGCGGGCCCCTCGTCAATTCCAAGCAAAGCCAGACCTCCGCCGGGTCTGAATCTCCATTTCTTATCTATCGCTAATACATGCTAAAGTTCATAGTATTCTTACGGAAACCTAAGGGTAATAAAAAACTCAATTCGCCGTGCCGGCCCCATCCCATAAATTCTGGAGGGTCAAAGTGGGGTTGGGTGGGGGAAGCCGTTTATATCTGGGCCGGGGATTTGAGAAGAACCAAATCTCTGGCCTCAACACCAGCCAGTACGACCAAGCATTTTCGTAATAACATTTTACACGCACTTTCTGGGTAAAAACTGGCTGCTCCCCCCGGGTAATAGTCCCGTGCCATCAACCATCCTGTCGTAAGATTCCGTTTTCAAAGATATTTTTAACGACGTTTCCATTTTGTCGAAATTAATTTTGTCGAATATCAATTTGCCGAAATTCCATCTTGTCGAAATTTCATTTTATCGACATTTCAATGCCCATTCCGCCGCGATTATTCTTCTCAAAGATTCCTCAAATCGAAAAATTAGGGTATTGAAATTTCGAAAAAATGAAATTTGGACAAAATGCTTGTCGACAAATTGATTGCAAATCATTTTTAACCTAGCGTACAGTCACGGAACTTGCTCGCGTCGCTTCGGTTTTGGTTCATTAGCGCGGGGGGAATACCCGCTTTCCCTTACCCAATCGACCTATTGGCGGCCTAGGGCCCCCCCCCCCCCGCTAATGATCCAGAACCATTGCTTGCCAGGTTTAACGGCTTTGATCTGATTTAATTTCAAATTTTCCTTTAATAGGTGATTTAAAAACTAGCCATTTTCCAGACATCTTGCATGGACTCACCCGTGGATGATTGCGTCGTGCAGCACGCCATCGCTCGCTCAACGGGTAGGCCATTTTGGACACATTTTGACAACTACGCAACGCTCCTCACACAACGGCCTACTACGATATTTTACAATGTACACAGGCGAGAGCCTGTTATTGAGTTTCTCGGGCCAGGGATGGAGCCGAATAGTCGTGACGGGGCCTCCGCAAATCCGCAAGGATCCTCGAACCAAGGCAGCTTACGGGGGAGAAAGTGCTTAAAAAGGAGTAGGAGCACCAATCTGTCGTGATGCACTTTAGGATTTCGAGCCCGAGAGGAGGGCACATCGTTACCTGGGGGACCGGAGCGAAAAAGTAGCAAAGCTGGGATGACTAGTGGAGGGATGGGAAGAGGAGGAAGAAACCTTTTAGAAATTAACGAAAATACGAAGAGAGAGAGAGTGAGTGAGAGAGAGTGAGTGCGAGGGAAGGGCTTTCGAGTGGATGCCCTCGGGGCAGATCCGCGTGGGAGTCTTCTCCTTCTGAAGAGCACGGGTTTGGGGTTAGGTCCACAATCCGATACTTTCCGCAGCCATACCCGGCTGGCCTATCGAATACTTATTGTCAAGTCCTAGTTGCTCGACTTCAATCCGCTAATTTATTCTTTTGGGCCCCACTTTTGGGGGCTGGCCTACGCAAAGGTGCCGTCGGAACGGAAAAAACGTAGGTGAAGGAAATGCTATTATTGTGCTAGATGTAGCTCATTGTACTCCTTATGCCGAATTTTCGTTTTCTAAAAACCATTCTCGTAAATTTTTCAAGATAAAAAGCTAGAAAAATTCTTAGGAAAATTACCGTACGCCCCGCTTCGGCGAACTTGTTCCCCTTTGTAAAATTGTAATTATGCTCTTTTTCGAGAAAGATAGGGTAGGTGGGGTCGGGTGGGGGGGGGAAAAAAACGTTTTTTTAAAAAATTTTAAAAGGCCCAGGAAAAACTAGCATAAAACATTCGTTAATTCTAAAATTAGCATAAATCTTCTCTGCTGACGCCCGCCTTGCCCCACTCTCTGCCCATTTTTTTACATTTGCATTTCCGGTTGGCTCGTTGCCAATTATAGATGGGCCCTGATCTATTGGGCCTTCCTGATCCCTTTAAAGTCTTCATAAACACTAAAGAACGTGGCATCACAGAACCAAATCATGGCAGCCCGCCCTCTTGGTGACTAGTATCTGCTGATGAGGACTAATTACAGCCAGAGCCCGGGAAAAGTCTTTCATCTGAGAAGAAGTGAGTCAGTGAATGGGCCGAGTACTTCCCCTGGCAACCCTGAGACCCTCCTCCCCGGTGGCCCACCTTTCCCCCCTCATTATTTCGGCCGTTTTCGGATGCACTATTTTATCGAATTGGCCGCCGGGGTCGGAATTTGTATCTGCTGACAAGAAAGCTCATTCCGCATCGGCTCGAGTTGGGCGTGATTTCCGAGGGGAGAGCTACAGTACCTTGTCTTCAAGGGTGTCGATTGCCCAGGGGTGTACCCTTTGTCGGGATGTGTATATGTGGCGCAGTGGGAAATTGTCTTGTTTGGCAACAAGTACCCACCCGAGGTAACCAAAAGCACTGGTTTTCTCGCCATTCTGAGAGCTTTTCAAATGTGTAAAAATTGTGACTCGATGGTGACCACGGTGCTTGTTTAGGGCACCTGCAAAAATTTAAAAATCTTGCGAAAAACTCCTGAAAACGGCTTTAACAAATATTTTTTTTGTGCCAAGCAAAACCTGGAAACACGAGGCAAGCCACAGACTGTTGCACTATTCCTATGGCACACTATCTACCGCAAAATCTTTAGCCGCAAAAACGGTGCCAGTTGGATCAGATAGCCAAAAGTACACGGTCCTGTTATTTTTTCGTAGATAAAGGTCAATTCCAGGAGCATCCAGCTCGTCCACCGAGGGGCCGATGGGTGCCGCTTCAATCGGAAACATCATCAGGGGCACCCGAGGCCATCTGTCCTCAATCATCGACTCCGTTTCACAGGTATATTTTGATTTTCCCGGAGAATATTGAACTTCAATTGCACGAAAATTATTTTCGAAATTTCTATTTGTCGAAATTTTTGTTACGACGAAAACTCTGTAACTGTCGTAAAGCTGGAACGCCACTTGCGACCCGACGAAATTTTTGACGGAAAAGTGCCAGTTCCAGTTTGAGCAATATTTTTTATACCAATATGTTATATTATTCCTATTAAGCGAGGCATGGATTTGAAAACTTTTTTCAATAAGCCTAACAAAAGTCCTAAAAAGAAGTTTTCGGGTCGCAAGGGTGGAGGCGTCATCCAGAAGTGGAACTAGACATTGTAATTTTCGCCAAAATGAAAATAACACGTCTGTTTTTGTTGAGCCTGGACATGTTCACTGACTAGCCGGCTAGCCCTACATTTCTCTAAATTTAACCCTTTCCTCCGCCTATTTCCCCATGTTTCTTCTATTCTAAACCCTGCCCCGGCCAGACCACCATAAAAACCAGCTGGCGGGGTGGCCGCTCGCCGTAGCCCCTGGAGGCGGCGGTAGGTCCATTTTCGGCCCACTCTTCCCGTCGAGCCCCTAATCGGTTTCAGGGAGATCATTTGAAAAAGATACTTTACGAATTGTGGATAGCCATTACCAAGTTTCAAAAATTGAATCTGGATAGTTGCTATCAACAATCTTAATAGTCATCTCAACCGAAACCTCTAACATTCTTCTGAAAATTTCGAAACGGATGTCTAAGAAATGCTTAGTTTTTTATCTAATCGAACAATTTTTGATGCTCCGCAAAAGTATTCTTTCTCCGTACGCTCCCTATTTTCCCACCGTACGGCAGATTACCGTGCTAGCTGAGTCATCCGCCCCCGATGAGTCATGTTTTTTGCATTCAATTCTGAAGCAGGGGACCGCCCCCAGTTTTGGAATTTTGTAGGGTTTTTCGGCATGTCATCGACCTATGTGCCTCTAAAAACCTTAAATTCCTTTGCGTTTTTTGTTATTGTGACTCGGAAGGCGTTTTAATAGATTTCTTGGTTGATAATTTTTCGCATCTGCGTTTCTCCTTAGTTTTCTAGGCGTAGAAGCAAAAGCTAATATTTTTTTCGGCCGTCCCCTACAAACTTCGTGACTATTCTTCGCCGTCACTCGCCGATTCTGTTTGAATTTCCATTTTCCGGGTTTCACACGGATTCCAAGGACTTTTTCGCTGAATTTAGACCATATTCTGTTGTCAGCCGAACAGCTTGAGCATGAGCATGATGTCGGGAATAAGGGGGAGACCAGAAAATAGAAAGCGGGCAACAAGGGGGACAGACAGACGACGCACAGATCGATGAGTTGTGTAGCGGGGGGAGGAGGGCTCGCGAAGGGTTAGAGAGAGGCCAATGCCCGTGCGCTGTCCCCTCCGCTTTATCCTGTTCCCTTGCCCATTCCCCAGCTCCTCCTCCAGAATTCGGCCTCTGGTGCACACACCCCACGAATTCGAATGCCCCCCTAGGGCCCAGCCCGAAACTGGGCCCTAAGGCTGAACCCAATGCCTTGTCCCCCTCTGTGCTCTGTGCCCATTTGCCTCTCATTTCCATACAAACCCGGGCCCGGGGTCGGGCCTCTCCCCCCTTCCAGCATTGATCCCCGGCGCTGTAGTTTTTGCGACATTGTCATCGACAAAGAAACGTCGCCACCGGGCGCTTGTCACTCTCTTTTAACGACGGCATTACAATAGGATTTTGGCTAGATACCCTCTAACCCCGGAAAATGCGCAGAATTTATCATCTCCTCTATAGACAATCTTTTCTTTGTTTACAACAACCGTTTCTTCATTATTTATTTCCAATTCGCATTTTAGTGGCTCGGATCCGGGGGTCGCGACGACGTGCCGATCTCACTGGACAGTTGCCCATCAACCCCGATCGGATCTTTACGCAGGTATTTTTTTCTCGTTCTGTTTCCTTACTCTAACTTCATGATTCGTTGCGCCCTTCCTTATTTCGCCGCAGATTGTCATTGCTCGGGTTCTTGCCTTATCTTTCGATTTTCAGTGTATCGGGTGCGACAATGGCAGCCACATCAACCGCAGACGATCCCTATTATTCTATGGAAATTGGTGCGTTTGATTTTTCTTGCTTGGAGCTACTGTTTCTTTAGGTGACACGCGATTGACCGTGCTCAAGCGCTATCAAAATCTACGCGTCATTGGCTCCGGGGCACAAGGGATTGTTTGGTAAGGGATATATTTTTTTTATCACTTCGCTCTTTCTTTAGTCTCTTTACTAAAGATACTTTTTTAGTGCTGCACATGATGTTATCCGGAATGAAGCAGTGGCTATCAAGAAACTGTCGAGGCCCTTCCAAAACGTTACCCACGCGAAGAGGGCCTATCGAGAATTCAAGCTTATGAACCTGGTTCATCATAAAAATGTGAGGAGTCGTTTTCCTTCATCAAAGATTTGTTTAGATTATCGGTTTGCTCAACGCATTTACCCCGCAACGATCCTTGCGCGATTTCAACGATCTGTATATTGTCATGGAGTTGATGGATGCAAATTTATGTCAGGTGAGGGTTTTCAACTTCTGGTTATAATCTTCAGCTGTTTCCGTCGTGAGATAGATACTATTACTTCCTTTTTTTTGTCTTTATAAACCATTATCCCTGTCTAAAAACTAGCAATAGCCTTTCTTTATTTCGTCTTTCAACTATTTCATCCGTTTCTTTTTGCAGGTGATCAACATGGATCTCGACCACGAACGATTGTCTTATCTCCTCTACCAAATGCTCTGTGGCATTCGTCATCTCCACGCCGCCGGAATTATCCATCGAGTGAGAACGCCTTACCCTTCTATATAGTTTGATTTCAGGATCTCAAACCTTCCAACATTGTTGTCAAGAGCGATTGCACGCTGAAAATTCTCGATTTTGGCTTGGCAAGGTTGGTTCTTAGGAAAGAAAACAGCTAAAAATCGTTTAGGAGTGCCTGTGAGTCTTTCATGATGACTCCCTATGTGGTGACGAGATACTATCGGGCGCCGGAAGTTATTCTAGGCATGGGTTATGTTGCTAATGGTGAGTTTAGTTATTAATTGTGATAGCCATTCAAAAACGCCGTTTTCGTTCTTTGATCGTTCTGCGAAGTGGCCTCATTCTTTTCAAATGTTCATTTTTCAGTGGACATCTGGTCGATTGGGTGCATATTCGGTGAACTGGTGAAGGGCCGCGTCCTCTTTCCGGGGACAGACCATATTGACCAATGGACGAAGATTGTTGAGCAGCTCGGAACTCCATCTAGGTACTTCTAGCCTTGTGCTTTATATTTATTTCATTTTAGGCAATTCCTCGAGCGTCTCCAAGCAACCGTACGGAATTATGTGGAAAATCGGCCCCAGTATCGGCCGACCTCGTTCGAGACGCTCTTTCCCGATACGATGTTCCCACAGCCTGCCGAAAACAACCGTCTAACAGGTGAGCATATCGAGGTCTCTCTGTCTTCATCATCACTTGACGCTTTTTTTTCAAAACCCTCGGATTAAAATATTGCCAGTCCACCTTTTATTCTCTAGCTTCAGCTGCCCAAGCCCGCGATCTCCTCTCCCGAATGCTGGTTGTCGACCCCAATGATCGGATTTCTGTGGATGAAGCCCTCCGACACCCCTATGTGAACGTGTGGTTCGATGAGACTGAGGTATATTTGTTTTTTTTGGCCTTTATCCAGAATTCAGGTGTTTGCCCCGCCTCCCGAACAATATAACAATGAGGTTGACAAGAAGGAACACACGGTTGAGGAATGGAAAAGTAAGTGGTGGGCTTGATGCCAACTCTATCTGCTTTAGCGCTCATCTACTCCGAAATTGCCCAATACGAACGGCTACACGATGTATACGGGAACAGCACCTCTCGCAGCTGACTAGGCTTCTGGCGGACTCTAGGATTTTCTAAATGAATACGGGCCGATCTTTTTCTTCCGTCTGAACTTTGCCGTAGCCCAACCCCCAACGTAGTCTCACTTATTCTCTAGTCGAACTCCAGTGCCAATTCCATTAGTCCACAATCCCTATCCCGATCTGCCTATACCAGTGCGAGATCGTTCTAACACAGCTTTACCACCGCCCCGTTGTCCATTCCTCGAATGACACTCATATTATGGGTACGCAATTCCTATTCCACCGTCCTATGCTCCAATATGTATGTTGATAATTTGTGTGCAATTCACCTTCCCATGGACGTTGTGCCTGTGTCTGGGATAAGGTCCGCTAAAAGCCTTTCAGTGCTCACGACGATAAAGGTCTATTAACAAACTGTCTACCAAGTGACGGCTACCACTCAAACGTATCCAAAAGTCATTCGTGAGAAACCACACAAGACTGGTAGTTGTTCCGACCCCAGCTTTTCGAGAGAATCTGCGTTCAAAGTTTGAACCAAACATTTTCAGGCATTTGCAAATTAGCAAACTAGCAACTCGTAGGGGGCCACCGCAAACAGGCGTCAGATCTTGGCATGCTTCAATAACCACAGGGCCCTGCGGCATACAATGGCATACCCCAAACTTGCTATGTATGATAAATGCAACTCCGATCGAAATCAAAATTTATGCCTCAAATTCAAAAAAATCATTCAACAATCTTTTCACAGGTTTCTTGCATTAGATCTTGTTGAACGCAACAATGTCGACGGATTGCACGTGGTCCTCGAATTCTTGGATCTTATCCTGAAGATCGTCCACGGAAACCTTCGCATCCTCGATCACGGAGATGATCTGGAGCTTCTGGATTCCGTATCCGATGGCGATCAACTTGCCGCCTCCCCAGACGAGCCCGTCCATCTCGATGCCTCGTACCTTCGCCTCCAACTCTTTCAAGTCCGTCTCATCATCCCAGGGCTTTACGTCGAGGATCACGGACGATTTGGCGATTGGGCCGGGCTTCTTGGATTTCTTCTCTTGGTATTCCTTTAGACGTTGGGCAACAATCGCGGCCTTCTCAGCATCCTCCTCATCATCCGAGCCGAACAGATCGATGTCCTCATCATCCTCCTTGGCAGCTGAGGCAGACGAGCCGGCGGTCGACCACGCCGATCGTTCGCTCTTCTCATAGGAGGCAACGTTTCTGTACCAGCGGGCCACGTTGGGGTGCTTCTTCTCATCGGGCTGCTTTCCGAGCTTGTCAAACAGGGCAGCGTCGTCACCAGATAGCGTGTAGCCGTTGGCGAACGGCTGGTCGCCAAGGGTGGCATTGAATCCGTCGAGGCCGGCGGCCGAGCTGACGTCGACAGTCATTGTATTACCTGAAAAGGCTAGTTTGAGCAGAAATTCGAATTTGTATAAAATGTATCGACAATGTCTACGGACATTCAAAGTCAAGCCTGCAATAAGAAGAGACATTCAACATTTATTTTCAATAACAACAAAAACAATTTTTATTTAGCCTTCTTGGCGCGGATCTTGCGGAGATAGAAGTCGAGCTCCTTGCCCTCGAGGATGTAGCCGTCGCAGCGACCGACTTGTCCGGGCGAGGAAGAGAGACGGGCTAAAAAAGTTTTTCCAGGACATCGAAAAATAAATTACCAAGCAGTTTTCCGGTGGCGAATTGTTCAGCAACGTTGGGGTCAACAGCAGCCTTCCTTTGCCTCAACAGGTATTCTTTGGGCAGCTTTCCATCACTAAAGAAAAGTTACAAGCAGATAACGGAATACGAACACTTTCTTGTCGTCGATGACCTTCTGCTCCTCCTCGGTGACCTTCTGGCCCTTCCTGCGGGCAAGAGCGAGGGCGTAGTGATTTTCATACCACTGACGGAAAGGAAGGGCGTCGACTAAAACCCAGATCTTGCAAGATGAAGCCGACTCACTTGTTACAATCGTCCCTTTGACGAGCGTCTTTGTTCGCACCAGCTCGTTGTTTGTGGCGTTGTAGACCGTGTCGAGAATCCTGGTCTTGCGGGCGGTTCCTTCGGAGGCCCAGGAGAAGTTGCCAGCATCGAGTCTCAGAGCCCTGTGCTTGATGGAGCCACCGCGGCAACTAAACCAAGATTAACGCAAAAATGCGGCGGCTTACCGGACTTGGTGAATCCTTTTTGGCCCAATCTTGGTGTTGGCGGAAGGACGACCGAGCTCGTGCTTCCTCTAAAGCAAGGGTTAGGAGACTCCAAAGATCACACCTTGTCATGAGGTTGAGGGCGGGCTCCTCCGGTACCGCGCCGCTTGTGCCAGCTGTCACGAGTGATACCCATGTCTAAGAAGAAACGTTAGTCGAAATTCCGAAAAAATCGGGCAGAGACCCAACAGAAAGCGTGAAAAGCAAAAAAGTCGAAATAAAAGTGAAAAAGAGAAGAGAAAATGCCCACACACGGCGATGGACGCAGGGCTCCTTTGGCCGTCCCAGGCCTGGCTACGGTCGATTATCCAGCGAATATCGCCGCACCGGCTGTCGCCACTGAGCCGACAGAGCAAAAACTCGTTGGAAATTCGATCTTTTTCGATAAATTATTATTTAGACCATCGGTGGTACTGAAAAAGTATTTATTAAACTTTTACGCAAAGGGCAGACGAGTAAATCACAAGCAAGGGGAAAATATGCTTCGCAGAAAATGGATAAGGAATTTGAAAGGTTCGGGTGGGGCAGGGCGTCCGTCTAAAAGTGTGTCTCGCGGAACTCGTTGACTTCGAGCTGAAAAAATGCAGCTGAGATTGGGTTCCTTCTGGGAAATTACTTTGGGAACCGGAAAATAGCAACGACTGGCTTGTGAGCGGGCGGTAAGGACTTTTAAACGATGGAAGGCGGCACCTTGGTGTACATCCAGTCAATCTCCATCTTATGCTTCTTGGCGATGATGGGGCGCTTGTTCTTGAGGGTGGGCGTCAGCATCTCGTTCTCGACGGTGAACGCTTGCTCGGTGAAGTAGAAGCGGGCCACCTTCAAAAATTGTGTTGAAAATGGGGCAACGTCAATTAGATAAAAGGTTCTCGGGTCTACTCACCTGTTCAAAAGAAGCCAGTCCCTTTTCGCGGCCCAGCTCGCGCAGGGCCTTGGCGACGGCGGTGCGTACAGCCCGGTCGGTGCACAAGTCTTCGAAAGACTCCTCCTGGATCTTCAGCTCGCGGGCGGCGAAGTTGATCAAGTACTAAAGGGGTTGGTTATCTGTTTGCATGCAGCTATCACATCCTTGTCGGGCACGATGACGGCCACGAGCTCGTTGCGATCGCCCTGGCCGTGGACATAGATCTGCTCGACGAACGGCGATTGCTGGTAGACACCCTCAATCTTCTCGGGCACCAGGAATTCTCCCTGATAAAGTAGGTTTTTAGACCTGTTTGTTACTCACATTTGGCAACTTGACGAGATTTTTGATGCGATCGACAAGGACGAGGCGTCCGCATTCGTCGAAGCGCCCTACAATACAAAAAGGTGAGTGCTTCGGTTTAGAGGTACGCAATCTCTCGTCCTGTACCTACCGACATCCCCGGTGCGCAGCCAGCCATCGGAAAGGAATGTCTCGGCCGTGATCTGGGGAGCCTTGAAGTAGCCCTGGGCGATGATTGGCCCGCGGAAGCAGATTTCCCCGCACGACGCGTCGACTTCTTTCTCCGGGTTCGTCACGGGCAACAGCTGCAAAAAATGAGTAGTCGAGCCGGAGATCTGGTTTTCACCTTCATCTCGACGGAGGTCACCGGCGGGCCAACATGACCGGTCGAATGGTCGCCCTCTAGGGTTACGGTGCCACAGGCCGTGCTCTCCGTCTGGCCATAGCCCTCGCGCAACACGCAGCCCAGCGTCGCACGGAAGAAAGTGAGCACCTAAAATATCAGAAAAAATTGTTTCCATCTGTTCCTTACTAAAATTACGTTCATTATGTTTCAAGGCAGGGTTTAGAAATGCACACCGTGCTAGCCAATAAGCACTGTAACCCACATCGGGATTCATCTGCGCCGAGCCGACGACAAGCCCGGTCAGCTGGCCGCCAAAGAGGTTTTGGACCTTGTGGAAGATCATGCGATCAGCCCAAGTGTCACGGCGAATGATGCCCCGACTAAGCAAAGCCTTCTTGTAGGCGAGTGCGGCATTGAACACGCCGAGCTTCAGGATGGAAAAGCGGAGCTGGTCGTAGATCTAGACAGTTTAGGTATCTAATAGGTTGATTCTGTAGATGTACCTTGTTGTAGACTTTGTTGAGGACTCGCGGAACCGTGATGAGGAATGTGGGGCGGAATTCCCTGCAGTCGTCGAGAACCTCTTGGGCGTTGCCACTGAAGCGGCGTGTTCGCGAAGTAACAGTTGAAAAATTGCAACCTGAAAAAGCCGATGCGGCCCCCGACGGACATGACGGCCGTCTGGCCGATGCGCTCGAACATGTGGGCGGCGGGTAGGTAGGAGAGGTAGCGAACCTGGAAAGATGGTACCCTGAAACGTAGTGGCACTACCGTGTCATCATGGGTCATATTCGAGTGGCCAAAGATGGCGTGCACGGCGGCGATGTTGCCGTGGGAAATTTGGACGCCCTTCGGCTCGCCGGTGGTGCCCGACGTGTAACAGATCGAGGCCAGGTCGTCCGGCTAAATTTTGCGGTTGGTGGGCCCCACTAGACCGGAAATACCTTTGGCGGGGTGGGCGGGACCTTTTTGAAATCGTGGCCGCGCTGCTCGAACTCGCTGAAGGAGAGGATCTGCAAGCTGGGGTAGAAATGCATTTGTTTTCTCTACCTGAATTCCCCTCTTTTGTCCGTCCTCGCGGAGCTGGCAGTCAAACGGTGCGCACACAACGATCACCTGCAAAAGGCCATGGAAGTTGACTTTTTCACCGCAATTTTTGCGACTCAAGTATTCCCTTCTTGAGCACTACCTTCAAGTCTGGCACCCGATCGGCTTGCGCAACCAGCGACTCGGCCTTGTCGACAGTATCGCAGAGGATGAAGGGCATCGCCGATTGCCTAATCAGCCATTTCTTCAGCAGCTCACCAAAGTCAAACTCACCTAACGATGAAGAGGCACTCCTCGGGACCGTGCGTAGCGTAGACGGGCACGTTGACCATGTTGTGCACGTAGCTCGCGTGTTCCACGAGGAACCACTGAACGGTCTGCGTCAACGGATATCTTCGGAAAAACGAACCTCGGGGCGGTTTGCCGAAAAGATGCCGATGCGGGTGTCCTGGCCGGGCTTGATACCAAACGAGAGGAGAGCCGCGGCCATCTCCTCCGAGCGGGCAACAACCTGGGTGAAGAGAGTGGCATAGGTAGAGAAACTTGCTTTTTTTTGTTTGATTATGACTTAAAGATTTAAAAATCACAGTAATCTTCTGAAACTCGTTCGGTTCTCCCAGCAGGATGTTTTTTAAACAAATTTTTATTTTTCGGGAATTCCGCAAAATTCCGATCTTTGCGCAACCACTTGTGAGAGCACCATTCCGCACAAGTTATGTTAAATATCACCAAAACCTGTATTATCAAGACTAAGGCACGATACCCACCTCGTCGTAGGTGATAAACTCGTAGGGGCTGGTGTAGTCATCTTTCGGCACACGCTGTCCCAGGCACTCGCCGTGCTTCGAGACTCGCTGGCCACGACGAAGCATCTGAATGGATACCCGAAATCCTTGAGCAATTGAAAACTCACCTGATAGAGGGTGCGGGCATCTTCGTGTAGATAGGTCTTCAACGGCGCGTCCGGCTTCAGCATACTATGGCGACGGCCCCCATCCTTGTGCTCGAATGTCTGATTGTTGATGTCGCACATCGGGTCCAGCTTGCCGGAGAAGCCCACCGTCGCCGGCGACTTCTTTTTGGTGGCGAAGCGGACGAGGGACTGCAAAAAAAGAACTTTTGATAGAACGGAAGGATGCCCCACAGCATGTTGGCTGTAGACGCGCAGCAGCCTCGGATCAGCCAAGCGCATCTGTGGTTGAGTGGAGGGGAGGATGGATGTTTTTTGGGAAACACCCTTGCGCTTTCGGGAGATTCCGGCTTTGACGCATGCTAAAATCTCGGATTTAAATCTGAGCCCCCTAAAAACTAGACGGACCCTATTTCCAAAAGTCGGTTCTGGACTGTTAGCGGGGGGGGGACAAATTTTTCCCCTACGACCATATAACGAAATATACAGGGTGTCCCAAAAAAAACGAACCATCTGGCATTTCGCCGTCTTCCATCTAATCGGCCCCAAATTTGGACTATAAAAACACATTATATATTATCAACAGGTCGTAACTAAAACTGGTCCCCCGCTAACAGCCCAGAACCAAAAAGTCGGCTTAAAGAATCATACTTTCCTCGTTTTAAATTGAATTACATTGAAACTTGGTAAAGGACCCGGGTATTGGGCGTCGGTAAACAACGTGTGTGGAATAGGGGATGAGGCTTATCGTATCACATTTCACCGGGCGGATAGGATAGGTGGTTTGGAAGGGCAGTACGAGCCATTGCAAATGACGAACGGCGATGCGGAATCGGCGAGGTCGATGTCAATCTATACGCTGCAGAGGTCGGCAACGAACGTCTCGCGGAGGTTGGCTGAGGCGGGGGAAGCTTTTCCTTGTTCCACGCATAGGTCCGACGGCTCTTATTTTAGAATTGCTGTGTCCGCTCGCACGAATTCTGAATCGACAACAGCAGTAACCCCACCGACCGTATTTCCCGAGAAATGCTCGTGTCGGTATTTATGGCGAAAGGAGCTGCATGGTCTCTCACAGTTGATGATGGTCAGTGACAGAAAAGTTCTACGATACACCGATAAACAACAAAACAGATTTTTAGCAAAAGTATTTTTAGAATTTCAGAAGCATTCACTATTTTTTTACGAGATCAGTCCATCACTACAAAAATTCAAATCAAAACTTCAGAGCCACTCCCTCGAGATGCGCCTCTTCTGGCTGCTGGTTTTATTGGGCTGTTTCGGGGCGGCAATCTGGAACGCGCAGTACATTTTGGGGGCATACGTCAGTAAGGATACGCAAACGAGAATGCGCATCAAACAGGTTAAATTTTTGACCAAAACCGTTGATCGGATATTCCAGGTAAAATCGTTGCGCTTTCCAAACCTAATATTCTGCCCCAACAACCCGGATGCCCTCCACCACGACGATATTTTTGAAGGTTTGCTGTTGCCTCTTCTCCAATCTCTTCAGATATGAAACGCGAGATTGGAGGCCATACGCAGGTCGCCTACCGAGACCTCATGAAATACATGTTGGCCGGCTCGGGCTTCGACTACGTCAATGTCCAAAATTTCAGCGATTCCTACACGTTCGATTTACCTACAATATCCCATTCAGACGCGTTTTTAGACGCACTCTACAGCTAAACCTCGACATCTGGCAGGCAAACCGCACCACACAGCAACTATTCGATTTTGTCTTTAAGAAAAACTCGATTAATTGTTCAGAGGTGGGGGCGACAGTGAAATTGCACCTTTTTACATTGGTTTTTAGTACGTTTTAACTACATCGAAAGTAGAAAAACTTTCAAAAAAGTTGAAAAATGTTTGATTTTTTTACCTAAAAATTGGCAAAGTTTTTAAGCTTAGGAATAGGTAAAAACAATGTAGAAATTTAGAACTGCTCCAAAAAATTTGGTAGCCCACCCCCCGGAATCCTAAAGCACCATTTCAGTTCTTCAAACAATGTACCCAGGGCGCGAGAGATGTGAACTGTTGCGATATTTTCGAGCCCACATATGTCATGCTCAGAGGGAGGTGGAGCTCCCGGAGTTTCGCCAAAACGGGAGCCTTTTAGATGCTTCAAGCTAAAGTCGTACGAACAGAAAGATGCGGACGAGCTGGCCAAATTGCGACTCTTCATCAATAATATTCCGAGTCCAATAGTGGCTGACGGGTGGCAGGTGTTTCAGATTTTCCAGTGTTTCTCACACAAAAGTGCTTTTAGCCAAATCTGATCATGTACCTCGGGGACGAGAACCCGGAGACGTCCACATTCCCGCGGTACTACCTGAATCTAAACAGCTGGAACAAGTTCCGCTTTTCGCTTCGGCTGTTGATTAGCCTTCCGGATAACCCACGTTGTTCCACATCTACACGGAATCAGGGTTAATAGTTACTAATCACACCTGGTAGAACGGATACTTTTCAGGATTTTACACATGCTATGTGTACACGTGGGTGCATAGTCTCGTCGAAAAATATGGATGTGCGCTGCCCTACTACAAGGTATGGGACAAGGATGGCGGTATCGGGAAGCAAAAACCCCCTTCAGGAAACGCTTGATTACCTTTGGAATGTGCCAGTATGTGACGTGGCCACGGTTGTCGCCAACTACTCTGACATCAAATGGCCGCGACTCGAGAGATTCAAGGTTTGCGGCTTAAAATGCATTTGCATTTGGCAATTTTTTTTGTAGTGTCTACCCGCCTGCTCCAGGCGCGAGATTTCAATCGATTGGACATCAGCCCCAAACAACGCCATCGACGCTTCCGCATATGGTTATCGGCTGGAAGCGGCCTTCAATGAGCTCCAGGTTTCCACGCATCAAAGAAAACACAGGCAGTTTTAGTACGAAGAATACGAAGAGCAGCATACGACCACACTCCCGCATTTCATTTCCGGTAAGAAAACATTTCCCGAAAACGCGGTGAGTCTAGAGCTCGGCGGGCAGACAGGACTCTTCCTGGGCACTTCACTACTGACTTTTGTGCAGCTGCTGGTCGCGGTCTCGACCTTCTGTTACGCCAGGACCTCAAAGTTTTTCTCTCGTCGTTTTCTGTGAAAAAAAAGTAAATTCGAGGCAAGGGTGTATGTATTGTGTAAATTGATAAAAAATCTAAAGCTTCGAATTTTATTTGCACCCCCAAGCAAAGCACCCCCGGCAAGCATACATCATAGAGGCAGCGTGGATGATTTACAAAGAACAGATGCAACAAGTAGTTCATACCTGGAAAAAGGCAATTCGTCGCTTGACCCGGACCGAAAAACAACGCAGGAGTACAGGATGTGTTTTGAAAAATTATTATTGTTTCGGGGCCGATCCTCGGTTGAAGTTGACGGGTATCGAAGGTAAACTGAGCACAATAATAGAATGAAACTAGTAAGTACCTACTTTTCTTTTGGGGCAGGTTCTGTGTATTTTGCGAGAAGTTGTTGCTGAGGGGAATTGCGGAGCGGAGTCCCCAACTGGGTGGCAGTGAACTGAAGATAAAAACCCTCAAATCACTTCCAAGGTCATACATTTCTTTGTGTTGACAGCAATGGGCCCAGGACGCCAGTGGGTGGTGGTCTCAACGCAGGTACCTTAAATGTGTTGCCCAAAAATGCAACAATATACTTACCATAGCTGGTCGGAAGGATACTGGGCTCGCGCCGATGGCCGGATTCCCAAATGGCGATGGGTGAGCGAGACGGTTCGCTTGGAATTTATCCATCACTAAAATGAAATAATAAGCCGTTCATCATCCAAAAAAAATGGCTCACTCTGTTTCGAGTAATGCTGCTTGGCCTGGAAATCTTCCAGCTCCTTTTGCCTTGCTTTCAGTTCCGCTTCGAGCTTTTCGCGTCTAAATGGGTCCATTTTGCCCAATTTCAACGACCGCTCACTCAACGATCATGCCAGCCTCCTTTTCGCGCAGCTCCTTGATTGTCTGTTCCTTAGTGGCCACTTCCGCCGTCAGCTCCTTCACCCTTACACGATCGTTGTTTGGGTCCCAACGAGCGTCTGCTTCCTAAAAAAATTTCGAACACAAACCACCCTCAATTACCACTGTCTTTCTCAAGATTTGATTAGCTTTTTGCAGGTTCCGCTCGGCGGTCCTCGTCTGCGTTATGGCATCTGCTCGCTCCGCCTCGGCTCTGGCTAATGCCGGCTCCAACTCGGCGACCCGTTTCTTGTATGCTTCTAGCTGATAAGATCCTAATTTGCAGGAAAAATTAGAAACACCTCTTTTTCATAGCGCGCCACCTCATCCACTAGAAAAGCTGCCTCATCTTCTAGCTGCGCCTAAAAACGTGTTGCAAAAAGCAGTGGAATCTTACGACGTGGTCATCTCTATCGTTCAAATCCTGGCGCAGGTCTTCGATTGCATTATTTGCTACTTCCTTCTCCTCAAGCTCCAGCTATAATGCGCGGGTTGTAGCAAAAAAAGGGCCATAACAAACTCTGTACTCGCTCTCCAGTTGTTGATTCTTCTCAGTCAGTTCCTAGAAAAATCAAAATAGAAATATTGGATGTATACCTGGCACTTGACTCGTAACTCTGAGGCCTCCTTGTTCGCACTTGTCCTCACTTCATTCTCGAACCGTCGTCTCGACTCTTTCTCTTCGTCTCGGCACTTCCTGAGCATCTTCTCGTAGTCCGCCGAAAATCAGGAATATTATTGAATGAGCTGATAGGTCCACTAACCTTCATTTTGTGCAACGCCTCGATGAGATGGTTGTTCAGCTCTTCACTTACAACGCGCTTTAGCCCGATTGAGATTTTGGAGGTTTGTAGCGTTAGCTTGCTCACTAGCTCGAGACTGAAAGAGACAGGAATTTCAAGGATCAGTAGTTTTTCCTAAATCTAGCGTTAATATCTAACCTGCAAGAATCCGTGGCCGCGTCGAGTACACAGTTAATTTGAAGCGGCGGCGTAGCGGTCTCTCGGTCTTTGATCAGCTCAACAATGCTAAAACTGGTATGTACGAGGCGCACGTTCTGTCCTCGATAGTTTATCAAAAAACAACGTACTTCCTGGCGAAATTGTCAAAATCTGTGGAAATATTGCACCGCTCGCGCAGCTGGGTGAATGTATTCCTCGTGATGCCGTCAGCAAACAGGAAACGATAGTCGTCAGGGCGGTAGATTTCGATGCGTACTTCCTAAACAATCTTTCATTTGAAACCCTTGATTCCATACATTATCGATGTTGGCTAGGCGGCGCTCGCCAATCCGGAGATTCAGCCGTTGTTGACTGGCCCTAAACGAAGGTTCTTGAAAAGTGCACGGAACCGACTGTCCATTCGATTTGTCCACTAGTGTCATTGCGATCAGCTCAGAAAATAGGAAAGAAGATGTGGCTGTCGGGCCCTCATCTATGATTTCGGTCATCTAAAGTTGGTGAGGTGAGAAAAGGAGAGCAATCTTGTGGAGACAAAAAAAGCAGCGCATAGTGGACTATCCGAGGGATGCTATTTTATTTAGTCAACAGATTTTGCTAAATATTTTGGTTGCCAAGCTTCTTCTTCATACTTTTTCGGACGAAGGAAAGAGTTACGCGGTCAATTGGACTGTCCGCGGGAACGGGGCGGAGCCGTCCAATAGACTAATTCAAAAACCAATGTTCGTCTGCAGTGTCAAATCTTCGTCCAGTGTTTCAAGGATCCACCGAAAACTTTATTAATACAATTCACAAGCCGAAAAACGCCAAACATAACAGGGTAAACACGATAGGGTAGGAGCGCCGAGGGAATGCCAAAAAGCCGATAAAACGGAGAGCCTAGCTTTGGATCAGCGGTGGCTGTAGTGGGAATGGTGGGCCGGACCGTTGGCCGTCCCTTTCCAATAATACCGCTATTGCTTGCCCCGATCTCCGCCATAAATTAGGGTCTATAATTTACAGAAAAACCGACGCATAGACACGTCGAGCAGAAATCACGTTGAAATGGATAAATGAAGATTTGAAATACGACTCCGAATCACAACCCAAACTGTTGTTCACAAATGCCATAGGACAGGAAACGCTTACAGGGTACTGGGGGACAAGGTGATATTTGGTCTACTGGGCCTTCTGCTTGCGCTTGCCGGGGCTCTTCTGTTCTGGGGTGACAGCGGCGCTTTCTTGGGCCGAAGATTCCTGAAAAACAAGGTATTTCTGAGCTCAGTATCGAATCAAAAATTAGGGCAGTTCCAAGTCAAATCGAAACAGACCGTTAAACTAAAACTCACGCTATCAGTGCGCTTGTCACTTCGCTTGACCGGCGCCTGCTTCTTCTGCTCTCCACCCTTCTTCCTGTTGCGCGCGTCACGGAGACGGCCAAAGTGGAAGACGACAAATTGGTACAGCATGAAAAGCTGCAGAGCCAGCACGGCGATCAACGAGTTCAATCTAAAAAGCCAAATATCCAAAACCGGCGCATAAACGTACCGTATGAAGGAGGTGTTGAAGTTGCCGGTGGCAAGGTCAACGTTGGGCACACCGCTCTGGCGGAGTCCATACCTAAAAGTTTTGTTACAAAGGGTTGAATGAGTTAAGGAATAGAGAAGCTTACAAGACGTGCCTAGTAAAGTAAAATTGACAAAAACAAATTGACTCACCAGAAAGTGGCGCCGGCCACTGCGGCACTGGCAGCACGGGCGACGAAGAAGGTGATGTTCCATGCCTTGAAGGCGGACTTGGCAACGCTGCGCTTATCAAGGAAGTGGGCGAGGCGGGCGATGTGGAACACAACGTCCGACAGGTACTGGATGGCCAAGAGGACGACAGCCACGCGCTGGAAGCTAAAAAGGTGCAATTTTTTAGGTGATCTAAAGTTCTAGGCGATGGAACCCGAAATAGCCAACGAAAAATCGGACGAAGTGAAGACACTTCTGGGAGAAGGAAGCTACCGGATAATACGTTTGGCCCCGTTGAGGCGGTTACTAGGGCGACAGCCATGAAAATCCTTCCGGTGTCGGGAAGATGGCTACGGATGCTCCAATATCCCCTTTCGAATAGATTGGGGGGGACGACCAGGTCGCAACTCGCAGTTAGCCACAAAATACCGACTTCATGATGTAGGCGCCGGCGATGAAGCCAATGTGGATGAAGGAGAGGAAGGCTCGGTGTTGCATCTCATCCTTTTTCATCTTGGCAAAGTAGAACTCGGGGAAATGGTGGACCCAATATGAGAGCTAAAAAAACAAGTTAAAATTCAATTCAGGGTGGCGACCTGCAGGATGAAGAAGAGCTTCGTGCTCAGGTTCATCTTGGCGTGATCTTCGGGATAACCGGCCCAGAGGTTCTTGAAGTCATTGTGGCTCTAAAAATGATAGCTGGCCGCGATCAGCAGACTCTACCGTAAAGAACTCATGGATGATGTAACCGGCGTGCGCGATCGAGTAGATGGCAAAGAAGATGTGGTGGCCAGACTCGCCAAACTTGTAGAGCTTCGATTTGGACAAATGGACCTGAAAAAAAACTCCAATTCGCGAAAATACTCCCACCTTGCGTTGAAGTTTATCGATGATGTACTCTTGAATGATGGCATGCATCGTGATCCATCCGATCGTGTAGAAAAGGACCGTGAACACATCCCGTACGCCACTCTTGTAAATTTGGGCATCGAATTGTACTGAAAAAAACAGAAATCATTTTGCCTACTTTGCATCAGCTTTTCGAGGTGATGTTCAGCGTTAGACCAACTACTGCTAATTCCAAAAAAGCATGGAAACACCGACCATTATGTACGTTGACCGCAACGGTTTCGTTGTACTGGGGGACCACAAAGATTGAGGAAAGGGGCGCAGTAGTCTGAAGCACGCTGTATATTAATAAAAATGTAGGGATCTCACCGGGAACATGAAGCCGACGACAACGAGCATCAGGATGCAGCTCATGATGTCCCCATGGTTTTGAATGATGAAGTCGTGTGAAAGAATTGGCGGGTTGCCCTGAAATAAGATGGAGTAAAAGTATCTAGTGATGCTGACAAATATCTCGTATCCGTATTGAAGCTCTGTGCTTCTGTTTCTGAACCCCGCTTCTAATCCCTGAAAATTTGAGAAGGCTAACGAACCTTCTTCTTGGCAGTGGCCGCTCGTCTGGCTTCAGCACCCATCCTAAAACTAGCTGTTTACTAGCAAAACAAGCAAATGATTGTAAAAAGAGGAGGTTGATTGACGAGATCCGCTTACGCCCCTGGCCCGGCCATTTGGGCAAACTGGGGAACGCGACCGCAACGCGGCGAGGCTTGCAGTTCGGGTGGCCCCCCTGGGCGAGCCATCAACCCCCTCAACTCGCTTCATGCTACCCCCAGCATCAAAAGAATTCAATAACAGAGCCCCGGTCGACGCAGAGAATTGGCTTATATACATGAGAAGGCCCGAAAGAGCCGGATATTAGGTAGCCGGCAACTATTTTTTGCCATTAAAATCTGGAAACCGTGTGGTGTATTATCCGCGAAGCGTGTAAAACTCTGTTGTAAGATAAAGCAAACGCCATTTATTGAAAATTCAACATAAGAACCGGTAAAACGGATGTCCAGGTTCTGGACAATGATGATCATCAAAGTGGAAAGATAGTAGGGGCTTAAATATGCTGGAGTTGGTTCCGCAGCTCAATAACACGCTCTCGGTCGCCGGATGGTAGCATGGCAATTTCTTCTGGGGTCAGTTGAAGTACCTGAATAGGGACAGGGCTTACAAGTTAGAAATGGGTAGGTAGGAAAAAAATCTTTTAAAAAAATTACCTGCATGAGCAGCTGCGCCTGAGCGCCATCATTATCCGGCGGCTTAGGGGCTGCCGGTGGCGGCACATTCGGTGGGGGTCGGCCGAAACTCGGAGGTGGAGGATTGTTGAAAGCTGGTGCGCCTGAAATCAACAAACCTAAAATCCTAAGCAAAAAAACTACGTTGATGAGCGGCCGGCGGCTGATTTGTATGAATTGGGTTAGGTGCGGCGGCTTGAGGCGCTTGGTGAAAGGGAACTTGAGGGGTCGACTGATCCCTCTGCAGCATAGCCATCGCAATTTGTGGGTCGACGATGCGCATCACCACTTGCGCCTAAAAAAGCGGTCAACGCGCGGCAAATGTACCGACCTGTAGAAAAGCATACGCCAATTGTGGGTTGTCGACCAACATGCGGCGGGCCTCTTGTGGATTTGTGCTAAAGCAAATTATATCGCGAAAGTAATGTACTCTACCGGCAAAGATCCTTGGTCTGCTTCATCAATTCGAACATCTTCTCTGGAGGCAGTGAGGCGACGGCTCTTGCGACAGCCTGAAACAAGACCATTTGAAGAATCAGGGGCGGGTCTCAGGGTTATAGTCCGTGGCATATAACAGAGTTCGCACCTCTGGAGCCTTTCCTTCCGATGGTACAGGGCCATATGGACTATCCTCTTGTCGGGCAGCGAAAGCCTGTTGCAACATTTGCAACTAAAACCATTTTGCAATTCAGTAAAAGAAGACAACCTCTTCCGAAGTCCTTTCACCCCCCGCAGCGCTATCCACACGCAGGTTGCGGCCACCAATGTCGTATCTGAAGCATATGGTCTTTTCATAGAACTAGTGCATACCCATGGAGATTTCGAATGGCCATCTCGGCTGTATTCTGGTCGGCAAACTCGCAGAACCCGTAACCTTTCGGCTTGCCCGTTTCTCGGTCTGCCACGAGACGAAAATTAATGACGGGGCCAACCTAAACCAGATTTTGTTGCCCTTAATGCACAAGTACCTGAGAAAATAGCGCCTTCAATTGGTCCTCATTGACATCGTACGAGATGTTGCCAACTAAACAAAAACAGTAAAAATTATAGCCCACGAAAACAAACCGAAAACAGAGCGCAGCCCTCGTTCTGGAGGTCCGGGTGGTAGACCGTATCGAGCTTCTGGAGGGCGATTCATCTGAAAATGAGCAGCTAAAAAAGTACGTTTTCGACGAGAAGAAAAATGAAGGCACTGCTGGGGGTGTTCGCATTGCTCCGGTGAGATGCGTATATACGCGAGTGCCCCCAAATACTTCAAAATAACCTGTCATATCGGAATGCGGTCTCCCAAATATCACTGGGCTCAATAAATAAAGAAAATAATACATCGCCCAAACGATCTATTGGATGAGAAATGCCATGAATGCCGTGAAACTTTATTGGAAACTCAACAAGTAAAACATAAACAATGGAACAACTATAACAATAAAAATGAACAACAACAACAACAAAAATTCTCGGTAATTTCTCAACGACGTCCCTTCCCGCGTCCACCACCGCGCTTGCCCTTGACGCCGCTGCGTCTGTCTTTGGCCTAAATTAGGGCTGAATGGAAAACAAGAGCAACAACAACCTTCTGGGCTCTCAATTCGGTCTTCATTCGGGCATCGACTGTCTTGTAGCGCCCATTCGGTCGGGACATGCGACCGCGATTCGACTTCGTGACCACGACCACGTTCTTCTTCTTATCCTCCTTCTTGTTTGCGTTGCGGTAGATCCTAGAATATATCAGCAGTTAGCACGGGTTTCTAAGGACCAAGCCCTGTGAAAACCACGTTCAAAAACATACTTTTTCATCTCGCGAACCTTCTCCGAGTGTTCGAGGTTCTCATTCTCGACGACGGCTTCGGCCTTCTTTTTCGCTTTCTCCAAACGCCGAGTGACGCGTCTAGCCTTTCGGGCTTTGGCTTCGGCCACCTATTTGCTGGTTACTGGCCACGAAAGCTAATCACCTTCTTGATTGGGCGAACATTGATCTCCTTCATCCTTTCCTTGTAGAATTTGACCTGCTCCTTGGTGACCGGCAGGTCCTTTTTGTAGTGCTTCTGCTCGTCCTCCACGAACCAATCCGGCAGATTTTCGTCATTGTTCGAAAAACTAAAATGACCAGACGTTCGCAAGCGCAAATTAATACTCACCGATGCCAGCCCCAATCTTCGAGATCACGTCGAGTCTTCGTGGAGTATATCAGCTGTTCGCCAAGTGCTAATTCTTCTGGGGTCAGCTTTCTCTTTTTCGCAGCTATAAAGGGCTATCAAAGGCGAGAAATGAATACTCACCCGCTTCCTTTTTATTCTTCTTCTCTTCCTTTTTCCTTTTGGCGACCCTTTTGTCCTCATCTTCGTATTCTTCTTCGCTTTCCATTTCAGCGTCGAACAATGTGGTGCCATCAACCTTCTCGTCATCTTCGTCTCCAAACTTCTCCACAGTCTTATTAGGTTTTGTTGCTTCGAAAGAAACTAAATAAATCGCAAATTCGCGTGCTAAAGACGAATCTACCTGTATTTTCTTGAAGAGTCCCCTTCTTTCTCATATATTTTTCGACCGCATCAAGTTCATCGTCGGAGTCGTCTGATGACAGCAATTCTTTGATAAGTGGCTGAAAACCTTTCCTCAAAAAAAGCGAAAAAATCTACCTGATTTTTCCATTCCCTAACTGTCGCTTTCTTCCTCTCATCCGGAGTCATCAAGGACTGTTCCGTGTGAATTAGTTCATTATCGTCGTCATCAGCATCCCTAACAACACGCCCGTATTTTTTATAATACGAAGTCTTACGCTGCCGCGTCATTGTCATCAGCTTCGTCTCCGTGTTCTTCCCATTCGCCCTCGCCAAGTCCATACTCATCGTCTTCGATGTTTGAGATATCCGGCACAGCCTCATCCGTTAAAGTTGCCAGGCTTCCCTGGACGACGCGGTAGGTTATAAAAGCAAAGCGTACCTTCTTGATATTCTTTAGGGCGAATAAATCTGGCATCTCCGCAAAAATTCCTGGATCGTCTCCGTGGATCATCTTCAGCTGCTTGCGCTTCAGCACCTTAGCCTTTTCGCGAAGCATTTTCTTCTTTTTCCTGCAAGAAAAAAATTGGTGTGGTATCAACAGAAATTAGGTAAACTTTATTTTTATAGCGTCTGACTCCTTAGAACGATCACTTACTTCTTCAATTCGGATTTCTCCTCGGCACTGGCGCGCGCGATCTCAGCTTCGATGTTGGCCAATTCCTGATCTTCTAGGTCTTCGGCAGATAACGGTTGTGGTTCAGTAGCTTCCATGTCCACATCCGCATCTTCAGCGGCATGCACCATGTCCAACATCTTCTTTCGCCACTTGAGCAGGATGCGCAGTTCGCGTGGACCGCAGAGTTTAATGTCCTTGAGGCATTCTTTGACCTAAAATGGGGATGCTGGAAGGAAAACGGACCACACCTCGTCCGTCGTTTCCGGTGCTTCGCTCCACTTCGGTTGGTCGAGCTTGATGCTGCTCGTTTGAGCAAGCAGATCCAGGGCGGAAGAGGAGTGAACGAACTGCAAAACTCTTATAAGAGTACCCCCCTCCCAATCCACCCTCCTTCCCCCTCCCACCCCCCTAATCCCCTTCACCTCTTAAAAAGGGGGGGCGCCCCACTATTTTTTAATTTTTTGGTTTCTTTCCCTCTTTTTAATTAATTAATAAAAAAGATGCAATCTACCGTAGTGGCATCAATAGTCTTATGCAGGGTCAGTCCATCGCTTTCAGCATAGCCCTCGGCACGCGCCTTTTTCGTCTTCTTGTTCAAAAGGAGAGCTTGGCTGAAATGATCATTTTTACAGAAAAGTCCTGGATTTATCACCTGTTGGGCTTGGCGGGGTCCAAGTTCGGTTCGAGGAACACCTTCTTCACATTCAGCAAATCGGGATCTACTTTGTCGGGCTTCGAGTACTTCTCGCAGACAACAAAGATTTCGGCAGATTCCAAACGCGAAGCAGCCGGTTTCCAAACATGCACCTGAAACGAAAAACTACATTGACCCATAAAGCCATACCTTCTTGAACAATTTCTCGAAGGTCGTAATCAAATGATGGTAGTCGTTGCTGCGGAAAACCTTTGTGACAAAGGTCCCGTTTCGCCGCAGAATCTGTGTTGCCATCTTCAAGGCCATCAGCGTCAGACAATTTTGTTGGAAGGCGTCGTGCGTCCAGTTCATACCGACGTTTGGCGCACCATCGTGCAACACGGTGTCACACTAAAATTTTTATCCAAAAAAGGAAAACTCCAACCTGAAAACCCTTCAGCTCTTTGCGGATGGCCTGTCGAGTCGATTCCTCGGTGATGTCTCCTTGCAAAGCGATGCAACCGTGGATTGGTTTAATCGGCACAAGATCCACGCCTAAAGTTTTTGACGTCAGTATTCCGCCTAACGCAACTAACCGATGCAAATGCTGGAGACAGGCATGTTCTGTTTCGCCACCTGCATCCATCCTCCCGGTGCAGCACATAGATCGACGACTGCTTTGGCAGATTGAAGAAACTCGAAGCGCTTGTTCAGCTGGATCAACTTGAAGGCGGCACGTGAGCGGTATCCGGCCTCTTTGGCAAGATGGTAGAACTTATCACGGCGCTGCTTTCCGATTTTCACCTTTTTACCCATTTTCTAAAATAAAGTTCTTCGCGAGTGGGGCAAGTGAGCAGGGAAATCGTGGTTTGGAAAAGTCATGGTTGAAGATAAACTGTGCCTGATATGACGGCAGAAAGAAGGCAGGCAATAGACTACAAAACATTTATTCAAAACCAGATAAAAATAACAATTGGATAACAGAATCATGAAAGGAAGGAGATCATTTGTCGAATTCGGCTCGTGCATTCCTCTCGCCCAAAGAATTCGTAAAGCTCAGCGATCGGCGGGCCCGTGGCATGGCCGGTGATGGAAATTCTAGGTACAGTTCTTTTTCGTCGAGGACAACATATACCTCAAAATCCCGTATATTTTCCTGTGGTTGCTCCCAAAGCGATCTGCCAGGTCGCGCAACGTCTTGAGGTTTTCTGGCTCGGCAAGTAGAAGCACCGCTTCCAAGATTTCCTTGGCCTCATAGGCGGGATACTTACAGGTTATCTAAGGGGCTATTTTTCCGGTGAGAATCTCTTACCGCGCTGGCATCAACTGGGCGCGTAAAGAAGAAGGCGTACTGCGGAGTGGTGAGCTCGGCCAGAGAATGGAAGCGCTCCTCCCGCTCTCGCAGAAATCGGATAACCTTCTCCATGTAGACCGGGTCGTCGCAAACGCTCTCACAGCCAGGCAAGTCATTTGCGACGCGATCACGGATCAATGGGATCAACTAAAAATAAAAAAGTTAAAACTAAGCGAGAGCCCATCTACCTGATTAATTGGAGAATTCTGGAACGCGAGACGGCCGTAGTGCTCAAGGCTGCTGGGATCTACCTATAGAAAATTACTTCAAAACAGATGGAAAAACTAAGCAACCTGTAAATTACGTTTCCCAATCAGCGAAGCATCAAATGATGTCACCATTTCTTCCAAGGTATATAGATGGTTGGAGTCGAAATTTTTGATTCCGCTGCCATTGCGAATCTAGGATGGCCGAGTTAACATGCCTGTTTCCGGCTTACCAGTAGATTCAGCACAGCCACGGGCAGAAAGCCCTTCTCTTTATGATAGTAATCGACGAAGGCGTCGGCATGTCTCTTCGAGAGCTTTTGTTTTCCATCTCTTGTCAACAGAGGCAAATGCACAAAGGCGGGTGGCTCCCATCCGAATGTTCTAGAAACAACAGCGTTCTTAAAACCCAATTTCAACCAAACCCACTTGTACAAAAGCACGTGTTTGCCAGTACTAGATAACCATTCCATGCCGCGAATCACGTGCGAGATTTTCATCAACCTAAAATGGAAGAATCACAGGGTCGAGCAATCTTCTCACCGATCATCAATGATATTCGCAAAGTGATAGGTCGGGTACCCGTCCGCTTTCACCAGGATCGGGTCAGATTCATCAAGCGTCTGCGAAATGTCGCCAAAAACACGATCCTAAAGCCAAAATAGAGCAACAAATATAAGGGACAACCTTGAACGCGACATCCTGCAGATCCAACTTGAACCGAACTACGAATTTCTCGCCCGTACGACTTCGTTGCATTGACTAATCAAATAATAAAGAAGAAGATTTGGCTGCTAACCTCTTCTTGGCTGAGCAACCTGCACCGCTTGTCATACTTCGGTACTTGATTCGTGCGAGCAGCCTCTTTCCGAAGCAATTCAAGTCTCTGAAGCCATTATCGTCCGCGACAAAGGATTCCAACCTCCGAACTGCAGAAACATCGGTAACCATGACCGCTTTCTATCAATCGGTGCGAGTATTCCTCATATATGCCAAGTCGTTGGGATTGGAGATAGGGCCCGTAAGCGCCGCCTTGCTCAGAACCCTCGTCTGGCATTAGTCCGTAGTGTGTCAATATACGGTTGATCTAAACAGGATCGACCGCCAAGATACAATCCAAACCGAGTCCGTACTGCCGGGGACCAGCCGGGTTTGATCAGTGTCCTCGATTCGAAGGATAAAGGAGCCTAAACAATGGGTTTCTTTTCAAAACCGCTCGAACCATTATGCGACTTGGCGAAGAGGTAATTGAAAAGCGCTGTCCGCAATCCACCAATATGTAGCTGACCGGTCGGTGATGGGGCAAAACGAACCTGAAAGTTATACTATAATACCTAGCCCATACTCACCCTCGTATCAGCACACGAAAAGCGTTGGCAAGCGCGGAGAGTATTTCGTATAAGCATTGCTGCGGATGGACATAGGTACCTAAAAACTAGCACCATCAAAAAAAGTTGAAAAACCAAGTAACTAAGAAGGAAACCTATTTAGCAAAAAAAGGTTTACAATTTAACAATTTATTGGTTCCTTCGGCTTCGCGTCGTGCTTCTTGCTCCAATAACCGAAGACGCGGTTCCGCCTGGCGCCTCCGTTGGCTGTGAAGACGTGGCCCTCAGCAGCCAGGGCGCGAGTAATAGCCGCAATATTCGTCACATCATCAATGCCACTGTGCTGTCTGCCCTAAACACAACTATCGAAATCGAACCCAAAACGGACCGTGTGCGTAAGGTTAAGTTCTTTCAGCAAATGCTTCATTCCCTGTGCGAAATGGCCTCGGTGGTCGCAAAATGACTTTTTCACGTTTATCCACTCAGCGAAGTAGCTGAAAAGATCGTTGCAAAAAGAACGGAACACACCAAAAGACATTAAAAAGGATAGAACCAACCTTGGAGTGATGATGTTTTTATGAGCAGCTTCTCGTGGTAGCTGCAATTGAAGATCCCAATCACCACAAGTGACGAAGATAAATCTGAAAAGAACACTTTTCGATGGGATAGCTTCAGGCTCTGTTTCTTTAGAGCAATCCCGCAGGTCCGTCAAAGGTAAGATTTCTAACCTGGAATCAATAATCCTTTGATTTTGCATCCATTCATCAAATTTAGAAAGAACTGCGGGAAGTGTTGGCTGGCCATCGACCATCTCCTGAAGGAATTGTTGATTGCTGAAAGTGCCGCAACCTGAATAATCCCGGTCAAGCGCGTGCAAAACGTTGACAATCGTGGATGAATGGTTGGTGAGACATACATGTGAAATCGAGATACCTAAAATAAATTGCAATAATAACGAAAAACGCACCTCATCGAATGTTTTTCCGTCTAATTGGATCACCGGGAATTCAATGATTTCCTGACATGGCTCCAAAGGTCCATTTTCGTCACAGGTTGCTTCGAAATCAAGGACAAGAAAGTTGTCAAATTCTTGAACAGGGAATGGCTGAAGGCCCGATGTTGTTGGAGTCATCCTAAAAACAGGTTTGTAGCTAAATAATGTTGTACTTGAAAGCTGTGTTGATAGGATGTGCCGGGTTGAAGTTGTTGTTTCTTTTGGCGGGCTGTTTTTGACGCGAAGACGCCTAATGCAAGCTTATAGTCCAGAATAAAGACTTACCCAGCAGCGTGACACCGAGACCGGCAGGATGACTCTCCTGGATAGCATAGGACAATCCTAAAGAGCGTTTTGTTGACGCGAATGAAGCAAAAAAGATGCAGGTGAAAACGAGCGTACTAATCGAAATCAAGGTAAATGTGCACAAAGACACAGTTCATAATGCGTAAACTTCATAATTAATTTTTATCACTGATGAGATCGAGAAAGCACAATTTTTGCCACGTGAAAGGTATCCGTATTCGCTGAGCCAGAAAAATCACATAACCGGTCGAAGACATCTATGACACTGTCTTGGCTGGGGAAACCCTAGAAGGTTCATTTCAATAAAAAAAATTGAATGATTACCGCCATTCTTGGCGACACATTGGGCAGAGTGGGCGCGCAGTCGTTTGCGAGATTGTCCACTTGGTGATGCAGTGGGAGTGGAAAGGATGCCGACACATCCCGACTACCTAAAGGAGACGTATGAGAGGAGCAACATCGCAACCCGGAAAAGATCAACAACCGTTGGCCCGAAATCTTTACAGGTTGCGACTCGAACCACTTACCAATGGGCAGTCATCGCCTGGCATCTTGCAATTGACACAGCATGCTTCGAATGCCATTTGGCAGATGCCGCAAGTATCGTCCCCACCCTGACGCCATTTCCATTCAGCCGCCACCTGAACCAAGTAAGATCCGGAATATTGCTCAAAGCCCACATGCAAGGCCTTCACTGTGATTCCAAGCCGCGTAGAAGTTGGAAGTTCCACCGGAGCCGGGAGGCTGACAAGTGGCGAATTCTGAACAGATTATTTGGGCGAAATTAATTTAAAACCTCGTCGTTCGTGGAATCCCTGGATCGAGCCGAGCCGAAAAGGTCGAAATTGTGCTTGGACCCTAAATTTTGCCGATGTGCGAATTGATTCGCGATTACCAACTGGCTTCGGGCTGCTATCTGATGGACTGAGAGCTGGAGTGCTTCCCGTGAACTAAAAAGACTATTCATAGAGTTTCATACATTTACCATGTGCTTCCCAACACTTTCGCTACTTGCGCCATCATTCGAATCGTCGCGGTTAGCAGCTGCCTAAGAAAGGAAACCTGCGAACGAAACAAATTCGATACGAATCGTTCCTCAATGGCAGCCTCGATAACATCGGCCATTAAAACGTCGTCGTCACTGAGCTCATTGTCCAGAGTTAGATTGCTGGTTTCGGCATTGTCAGATTCGTCCATCGTATGCCTAAAATTCGGTTAGCATGGACATATGACAGCAGAGCGTGTAGCGAAATTTCTGCGATATGTTCAAGAATGCAACTCAGTTTCACAAAACAAAATATATTTCGAAGTTTTATTCAGTCATTCTGTTGCCTTCGGTTCTTCTTTCACCCTGGCCATCTGTGCTTTCAATAACACCTAAAATTTGTTTTGAAATATTGCAAAGATCTACCTGAATCACTTGCTCCGGAAAACGTCGTTTTTCGCGAGCGATGCACAAGCCGCAAAATAAATGCCCAAAATGAACGGAGCACCCCTGTGGACGAGGAATTTGATAGCGTAATCAACGAGGGACACACCTTGTCAAAGCAGACGGGCTGTGAGCAGAGATGACAGGGGGACCCAAGAACCAAAAAATCGGACAGCAGAGGTTTGCGACCTAAATGCGAGAGGTTGAAATGTTTCAAGAAAATGGTAAGGTGCCTTTGACTTTTGGGCGCGGAGTGAACGGATCGCGCATGAAATAGACGGGTGCAGGATAACTAAATACTTTTGGAAAAAATTTTAACACGTACTAGCCATCAATTGTTTTTAACTCCGAAAATAGGCATTTCTCCGCGTGATGACAAATCGAACATTCGAAGGGCACGTACGGGTCGATGAGGAGCGGGTCTTCGTCCGGCAGAGCTGTGGCGCTAAAAATAATTATCCGCTAGCATCATAAGCAGTGGATCGTGAGTATAATCCTAAAGGCCCGGCACAACTGTCTCGATCAAAGCTTAGAAAATGGCGTTCGAATCGTACCTGTTCTCTGCATTTGCGGGCTCCTCCGACGTTGAAGGCTGTCCTGTTTTGATTTCCTTGGCCAAAGGTTCGCTTTCGCTCATTTCTACACCCATATTGACTGTAATCCATTGTGTCTAGTAGTTATGGCTGTCTCGCACCAAGGCGCTCTTTTGTGTCGTGTTCCAAAAAATTTATTCATAATGCACATGAGGACCCTTACACCCATTGAACAAACAATTGGATAAATAAATAATGCTAAGGCAGAAAAGTGAAGGCCAAGAAGATCAGAAACTTCACAATTACCAGTGAGAAAAGTAGGTTGGAAAAATTTGGTTATTCCTAAAGCTCATCGTTGCCGTCTTCTACGGGCTCTGGGGGAGGTTCTGTTGCAACTGAAAAATAGAAATGTACTCGAAGCTGCTAGAAATAAACATTATTTCCAGGATCGTTCCCCTTCACCAACAGTCAAAGTTTGAGGGATTATCGTTAGAAATTTTCAATCACCACCAGACCCAGGGAAGGTGCCCAGGAAATAAAAAATTACCAAACGAAAAGCCCACTATTACAGCTCAAAATGGTCTTTGAGTTGTTCTGGGACCGCGTCGGGGTTGATATAAAGCTCGATGATGACGTAGATAACAATCGTTGCGCCGAGGAGGAGAAGAAGTAGAGGAGATGGGCGGCTAATGATGAGCATTGTGGCCAGGAAGAGACCACCGAGGCTCACCAGCCGCAGTAGCAGGTTAGGGCGGATCAGCGGTTGTTGGGGTGGCGCTGAATTTGGGAGCGTCTGGTGTCAGGAACAAAGGGGACAGTAGTGGGGTAAGGGTGCAGGGTTTTATAAGCATATTTTTGAGGCTTAGATATGTTTATACCTAGTATATTCAGCTCGCACTCCTTGGTGACATCGTTTTTCTTGTACCCGTCCGCACAATCGCACTTGTAGCTGCCGATGTCGTTGATGCAACTAAATACATCGTTCGGAGGCAGAATAAACCTCGACTTACACTTCATTAGCCTTGGTGCAAGCATGGAGTTCGGGTTTAGCACATTCGTCCACATCTGTAAAATGTCAAGAAGCGCAGAATGAACCTTACCAACACAAGCGTTCTTCGAATCACGCTCAAAACCGACCCGGCATTCGGTGCACTCTGTCGCTAACGGTCCGGTGCATCCGTTACAACCACCGTAGCATTCTGAAATTGGATAACGCTTTTTTAGTAGTCGACCGCTTCCTACCAGCGCAATCCACTCGATTCTCTTCCTTCTCCTTGAAGTAATAATTATTCTCGCATTGTCGACAGAGTAACCCTGCATAGCCATTGTCACAGGCGCACTTGCCAGTCCCTGCGCGTGTTCCATCTCCCTAAAATTTGACATAGAAGGCCAATAGCAAACCCACATCGCATTTTCCATGACCGAAACAGGCAGCGGCTCCCTCAGAAATGCCAGGACAGGATTCACAATTCTTGCCGTATTTCCTATAAGAATCAAATTCAGAGGACTTTCAAACTCTCACCCTTTAGGGCAGCAAACTTTCAGCTCGTTTACACACAACCAGTCACGAATCGGGGTTTCCTAAACAAATATTTTTAGCTAGCCACATACACTTACCTGATTCTTATAGTACCACTTCTCCACGAGCTCTTCGCTCTCCTCCATCAAATGAGCGCACTGAAATTTCGAATTGAATAGCGAAGATAAAAAGGCAGTACCTTGAATTCGAGGTCTTTCACACTGATATAGCTGTCGGTAGAAGCAAGGGTGGACTTTTTACAAACTCCTTCCAAAGCCTCGATCAAACGCGTCTCACTAGAATTGAAAAATTTCCTTTAGCATCGAAAGACGCACCTCGTTGCATATTTGCCGAGATTCTTCTCTTCCCAAGCTGTGTCTCCGCCAGCGAAATGGTTTCGCTCGGTGATTTTGAGTCCCTGAAAGGAATGATAGGTCGAAGACAATCAACTAGGCCAACCTTCACGACCGTTTCCGTTAAAAAGTCGCATGTTAAACATTGTGGACTCGATAGGACAGCTGAAAGGAGCTGAAGTAGTGCGAGGATCAGCCAGCCTCGCCTGGGTAACATCACCGCATGCCTAAAATTACCATGATTAACGATGGCGCAAGAAAACAAAGCAAGGTCGATTTGAAAACAAGAAAGGTTGGAATGTGCTAATGAAAAGATCATCGCTTCTAGCGTTTTATACGGGTAAAAGCAGTTTTCTGAGGGCGAGCATTGAAAATCGATAAAAGGAGATGGTCAGGGCGGTCCATAGGTAGAGAGGAGTATTTGCGTTACGCTGACGTAGACTAACAGACCGATCGCCCAAGGCTATAAGACTGCGTTTCTTTGAAGCAAACAAGAGAGAGACTCCATGATGCTTGCTGAAATGACCGTCGAAAAGCTTGGGTACAATTCAATGGCGGGGAAAGATTTAGGCGGGGAAACCAACTTTTTTTTGTCGGCCCTGGTGGGGATAGTAATCAAAAATAAAGTGTTTTCACATTGTTTTAGCAAAATTTAAGCCTATCTGAATCGGAAAACTTTTTAAAAAGTTAGAAAAACGCTTGAAAAAGTCAAAAATTTGGTCATTTTTGGGCCGAAAAAATTGATTTTTCGACCTAAAATTAAATTTTTTTAAGTTTTGCAATTTTTTACGTTTAGGAATAGCTATAAACAATTTAGAAACACTTCCACTATTTATATAAAAAATAGGCTTGGGCGGAAAAAAGTTCGGTTTCCCCCGCCTAAATCTCCCCCCGCCTATTTGGATTGTACCTGCGTTTCTTTGAAGCAAACAAGAGAGAGACTCCTTGTTGCTTGCTGAAATGACCGTCGAAAAGCTGAGCTTGGGGCAAGCGGGCTCCAAGCGTTGGAATAAGGGTAGACTAGCAAGCTTGGCTTATCTTTATGTGCGCGGGGCAGAGACGCAGAGCAGCCCAGCTGAAAGAAGCGAGCTGGCATCGACAGTCCTACGAAGAATGTGGATTCTTTGTCCAAAATGTGAAAAAACGCCATTGTAACATAGCCAGAGTAATAGTCGTGAAAAATTGAGAAATTTGAAAATCCGGGAAGCAGGGCCCATCTGGTCGCCATGGTAACCTATTGACAAGCAAACGGCAAGGGTTTGGCCCAGTCACGGTAATCCTTGCAATGAAGGTCAGCAAGTCAAAAATTCTCGTCCTTGGCCCGCAAAAGGTAGGCTTGGACAAAGTGTGACTAGCCCATTTAGGCCGGAAAAACGACCATCTCTAATTACCTGGCCGACTCGTTGGAGAGTCAATATGGTTACCGGCCAACGAAAGGTAGGCGCCGAGCCTGAAAAACTCTTTTAGGTGTGCAATGTCAAAGAACCCATTTTTTAGGTGTGCGCATCGTCGAGTTCGAGAGCAATGATCTTGAACTGAAGGGGCAGAAGATCGGTAGGTGGCTTAGGTTGGTTCATGCTAAAGTCCTTAGACGCCGATGTCGAGCTCTGGGATTGCTCAGGCGATGAGAAATATAACAAATGCTGGCCGGCGCTTGGAGATGGGACACATGGCGTGATTCTGGTGGCGAGTCCGGAACGGCACACTGGCGATGATCTTATTCCGTGGTTAGTGAGCCCGTAGAAATCGAAAAACGTATCCGATATGCATCACCTACCTCTAGGGAACGGGAATTTATCGAGCGCGGTGATATTCCGATGAACCGCGTGCTGTTGGTGTTACTGGATACTGATCAGACCGCGACCAACCACTCGGCCATTTCCGGTGAGTATTCAGAGGACCAGGGCATGTCTTATTTCTGCTATCGTAGAATCTGTAGGAAAGTTTACAAGGAAATATTTGCAGAATTTCGCGTCCCATCCTCGCTCAACGGGGTCCATTGCGTTGCTGCCTCGCTGCCAAAAGATGGAGACACGCTGCGCCTCGAATTCAACTCATTCCTTGTCGCCGTCATATCCCAAGTCCACGACAAATAAAATGCCTTCTATTCCATATCAGCAGATAATAAGTGAATGATTTATTCGGGCACAGTACATCAAGACATTAAAGGGCGAGGGGGCTGTCGGCTTGACGGGCGCACATGTCATTGTAAATCTCTGGGGGCGGGGCTTCACTTGACGGCCATCGTCGTCATCGGCTTTCCATTAAACACCTTGGTCAGGCTGGTCACTTCAGCGGCCACCGAGTCAATCTAAATGCACCATGTGTCTCTCTATCCTTTCGTGAAATTCTGCCTGAATTCGCTAATTACCTGCAGAGTGAGGTCCCGCATCTGCCGGCTGATCGCCTCGAACCCCAGCGGCTTCTCGACAATCGGCTAAAATTTTTGGGGGAATTTTGTCAGGGTGAGGATTTCCGAAATATGACATTAGCAGCGTACCACTTTCTTAGCGGCGTCCTCGCCCGCGTATTCCGTATCGATGACGTCGAGCTCACGAACCGTCTGCTTGTAGGGGCCACGACTGAAAAGAGGCACGAATACGAACCGCAATCTGATTGAAGATAACCAAGCAAAGCCTTACTCGCTGTGTCCGTGGATCCGTTGCGTGTGGCCGTGCGAACGTGCCGACGAAGGCGTCTGGCTGTAGCGAGAAATGTCTTTCATTAATCGCTGCCCGCACTCTACCATGAGGGCTGGATGGTGATCGACTGGCCGGAGCTGCTCATCGACGTTGCCGTGGTGGGACAGGGCGGAGCGACGCCGGCACGCATCGGACACTCGTCACGGAAGCTGGAAAAATACATCGGAATGTTTCAAGGGCTCAGAGTAGCCGCTTACCATCCAATGATTAGCTGCTGGAACGGATCGCCATATTCGGGGAGGGCAGTCCCATTGATCGGGCGACTGTCCGTGAAGGACCAAGTCCTGATCTGAGCACCAGAAGCTCCAACGTACGAGGCGTACATCTGAAGCGAACTATTTTATGGTGATTCCGCGAAGTTGTCTTTCGAAGAGAAAGACTGAAAAGGGGATTTTTTTTGGCCCTTTAAAAAACTTTTTTTTTTCAAAAAAAAAAATAAAAATAATAAAAATTTAAAAGTCGTCTGGGGGTTTTTTTAACTACCAAAAGGCTGATCAGTTTACCAGCTGCTGCTGCGATTGACGAGGGATCCGGCTGCTCGACGGCTCCCTTCGGCAGCGGCGGCGAGCTGGTGAGGATGCGGTGCTCGGTGGGGATCGCCAAGTCTTCTTTCGACTGAAAAAAGCGGCTTCATCCACCTCGCGCTGGAGAGCCGTACCTTTGCTTTCCTGGATGCCGAAGGCGTGGTATTTGACGAGGTGTTCGGGGTGCTTCCCTTTGGCCCGACCTTCTTCGGCTTCTTGTTCTCGCCATCCTGCTCTCTCTTCTTCTTCTTCTGCTTCTCTCCCAGCAAATCCTCCAGCGTCACCGAATTCGTCTGGGTATTCTGGGGGCGGAGGCGCTTCTTCCGGTCGCGAAGTCGACGCGAATCTTCCGGGAATGACTCTTGCATTTTCTTGTACGATTGCTGAAAGATATAACTCATGTATTTGCGAACTTCTTCTCAACCTCGAATTCAAAGTCGACGGCGGTGATGAGATCAGGGTCGACTCGTGTGTGATCTTCTTGCGTCGGATCCATCGCCGGCTCCTAAAGCAAATATTGCAATTGCTGCATGCCGATTAAAGCCTCTACCTTTTCCTTGACGAGCTCGACGCCCTTTGCCTTCTTCTGACCGCCCTCCTCCAGTGTCTTCTTCTTTTTGCCCTTCGAACTGCTTGTCGACGTCTTTGGCTTTTTGTCTCGCTCGGAGCCTTTCTAAAAACGATCAATGAGTTCGTTCTCTCAATTCGATACCTTCATCACTGGTCCCTTCTTCTGCTTGTCTTCCGGGCCAGCATCCTTTTTCTTTCCTTCCTTTCGCTTCGACTTTTCGGCGGCCAACAGCCCGGCCGAATTGCTGTGGGTGACATCTTTGTTCTTTGGCAAGGCACGTTGACCAGCCGGAGATGGCGACTGTAATATTCTGTTAATTGAAAGCTGCTTCCGTACCAGCGTCTTCGTCTTCTTGGTTTTCGACGTCGACGAGCCGGAGGTTCGTTTGCGGGGCGCCGTCTTCGGGGCGGTGGCGGGCTTGTTCTGGCTGACGGGCTTCTTCTGCTCAACAACGCGCGTACCGCTCGGGACTTTGCCTGGCAGTCCGCCCTTCTGAAATCAGGGGATATTAAGAAAAATCGAACGGAAAAAGCACCTTTTGAAGCGAAGTAGCAGCGGGGGCCTTCGGGTTCGCCTTCGCATTCTTGGCGACCGCAGCTGTGCCCGTCTGGCCCTTCTTCTTTTTGCACTTGCCCGTGCACATTCTGCAGCGAAATAGTACATTTTTGTGACAGCATTTAATTCATACCTTTAGTTGGCTGCTAGTTGAGTCGAGTAGTAAATCAAGTCGAGGCGACCGAATTGGGAAGCGGATACGAAAAGTTATGCAGCGCTGTGATCCGTAGGGTTTTATACAGGGGAAAACCTATTCAAATTATTAGCATATCCGGCGCCTGGGCCGAACAACAAATTTGTTAGGTTCACTTAGCTGTTTTTAACGTTTCGTTAATTTTCGCGATTGTTGTCTCATCATGAACGTTATTTTTTCTGCTAACCGCAATCGTTGTCAGCATTCTTTGGCTCGTTTTTTAGTTTAATGATAAGTGATTTATTTATAGGCCCGTTAGAAGCAATCATTAAATTATGCCAGTTCAATAAAAGCAGGCTCTGGCCACGATCAAAATGAGCGATAAATATAGCATCGGCATTGAAACGGAAGAAGCAGGGTTGGGCATAATGGGATAGAAGAAATCGGAGGGAAGTCGAAGGTCGATGTGGGGGATTGCAGCAAATTTGTAGGAGACCGCTGAAAGAAATCAAATGAACACTCGAAAACGTGTTTTTGCGTTTTTTTGTGTAGTGCCCACCTTTCGTCACATCTTTGAAGGCGATCTGACGGGTGAAATAAGCTTGACGATCGGCCTCAAGGTCGACCTCCTGGTTTCGGGTCGAAAGATAGGCGCCAATAATCTGGATTGTCAGAAATTTATGGGGCCTTTTTCAGTTGGCTCGTGGATGGGCTAGTAAGTAAATTTAAAGTTTTATAGGTCTCCCCACCCTTATCGAGAAATCCTCAGTGGTGCCGACTTTTGCGAATGCAATATCAAGACTGATGATTGTCGGAAGTGTACAACGGGTGCTGCTGGTCATCTGTTAGGCATTGTTAGTATCGTGCAGTCCACAACTGACCCTTTCAGCGTCCGGCTGATTCCTTCTCAACACGGGAATCCCGTCGACAGCTCCTGGCGATGGGAGCAATTGCTGGGCAAAGGAACCCACTAACTCTTCCGCTATGTCGAATGCCTCAGCACAGGGGGCCCTATTTCCACGTAAATCGATAAGATTACGGTTCTCACCTAACCGAACAGGTCGTTCTCATGGTCTTTCCAAATGTTACAAACTTTTCACTTGCTGAAGCGCATTCCGGAATGGCCGCCAGTTTCCAAGGGATATTGCCTAAAGGGAGTTGAAAACTTCTTCATCAAAGCCCCATACCGTTCTGCGTTTTCACCAAAAGCGCGTCTCCCGTCGAATATTCGTCGTGCCATCCCCGAGCCCCAGCACTTTGTCGAAAAATCACGGTGAATTGCAGCTGATGAACTCCGAGGTCTTCCGCACCCAACCGACGATAGGAAACTTTCGGAACTTCAGCGTTTGTAATTTGACGATTTGAGTCGACATCTAGTTGCAGTACCACCTGCAAAATCGTCGCAATTCAACATTCTCAATCACCTCTTGAAGTACATTATCACACGTCTTCTCGTCTGGATCCCAAGAGGGAGCGAGAAGCTGCTGAGTCGTACTCCATTCAATAGTCGTGTTATCCTAAAACGACTTGCTTTCTATAGAAATCTGTTACCTTGCTGCTGCCATCACTCAATGCCATCCCGAAATAATGTTTCGCATTGAAAAGAGATCCGGATTCGCACAAGCTCTGGCTCAACTCAGGCGAGGGCCAAAGACAATTTATCTTTGAGGAGTAGGGGATTTCTAAACAATTAATATTCACGGCTGCAACTCTACGCCCAGTTTACCTATCTCTGTCATACCCGTACATTGATCGGAAAAACTGCTTATTGGTAGTCTAAATGGGGTACCATCGGCATAACGTACGACTTTTGAAGGCGATTCCTAATAAATAGTAGTTTTTAACAACACTTGAGTGATCTATCATACCTCATTCCCTTCAGGGTCAACCCCCGTAGTTTTTATGTACGATTCCATCTCTTCAATGGTATCCACAACCGGCACATTTTGTAGAACATCGGCGGCTAAAGGGCTTACAAGACAACAAGATGGTCCTACCCTTTCGGATGACACAGAACGGGTTGAGTGTCGGCCACAACCCGGACCGATCGGCGCCTTTAGCTAGCGCGAAGCATTCACTCGATTGAGCTTGCAAAACCTCATGCAGGAAACAAATAATTAACAAAATGGAGGCCATTTTGGTGTCCGAATCCCGGAAATTGTTTACTACTGCCAGCGTCAGCAGTTGCCATAGCGACTGGCGCGGGTCACACCGACCTAAAAATACCCAAAGGCCCAATCTTCCCAAAAGCTGTTGAGGACGCCTGTCTAAGCGTGAATCTGCCAATTCCCCATGTTCCTTGTGCTCTTATCCACTAGTATCTGGGCATCAAAACTTTTCATCGCAAATGCAAATCACAACTAAAAATTGCCGATGGGCTGTACAGAATGTGTGCGGTGCTACTGGATAGGGAGGAGGATAAGTAAGAACGCCCGCGAGTATGAAGCAAGGGATGCGCATGTGAACCGGTATGAACACCAAGTCATTGGAGAAGAGCATAGCCAATTAAGGCTCCCGAAACAAAAGCACAGGTAATTTTCGTCCAGGGGGCAAAAAACCCGTTTTTGTTTCATCGCGCCTCGAGAGCAAACTCTAGACTAGCCGAACGGAATACAGAGGGTGGCAACGCGGGGTAAACGGGAGAAACACGCGAATTTGGACAAATCTTAAAGGAAGGCGTACCCATTGAGCGCAAAGAGATGAGAGCAGATTGGGGGTTGAGAAGACTGGGCACACGTGAAAAGAGAATCCCAGCAATCGGGAATTTACATCGAAAGGGTTCGAGTAGAAAACACACACAAGACTTATCACAATCATTGGACCAAGATTGGCTAATGTAACCGAAGTAAAAATATGGCTTTACTCGTTGACTTCCATCGCAATATTCTCATCGACATGGTGGACGTCCGGGCTTGCCCTAAGCAAAATATTTAGAGCCGGAAAACAAAAAGAAACCTTCGCTGATAGACGAGCAAATAAGGGCTGTCGCTGATGTAGGGATCATCCGGAGCCGGGATCTCGTGTACAGAGGAGTCGTTGAATTCGTACCTAACGGAGGAGATTATCCCTTTTTCTAGGCATACCATTTCCCATTGGGATTCAATCCGGTGGCCTTGTAGTGCCCGCCGGCCAGCACTCCATAATGATGGGACATTCCGATGAGGTCATATTGGACATGCTCGTGCTTGTCATTTGCCAATTTGTCGTTCAACTCCAAACCCCTAAAACAGAAGAAAATACATAACGCGGATTCACTCCATACCGAGACGGGATCTGCACTTGAATCCCAATCTTCTCGCGATGCCACCGGTCGTAGATGAAGCGCTTGAGGTGGATGATGAGCACCTATACGGCATTGTACTTTCAGAGAAGCCAAAACTCACATCAGGCAACTTCCAGAGGTCAAGACGCTTCGTAGCACGCTTATGCTCCTTGCAGCGAGGGCAGTACCAACTGTCGTTCTCGCTCAATTTCTCATCCTTGGTGAACAAGTCGATGCAATCCTTCAGCGTTATCAGCGTCGGCACAGGGACCCTGCACTGACGATCGACGAGGGCCTGAAAAGTGGTTATTGTAGCAAACAGGAGACCCGTACCTTGCCATCTTTCCCATTAAAGATTTGCGGATTCTGCCAACGGATCACCAAAGTCGTCACGGAGACCCCGCGGATGCTTTCTTCGTTCAACGGCGAGAGGCCCTCGGGGGTCTCGAAAAAGATCTAAAAAATAATCGTATTCTCGGGTATTACTCGGCGGCACATCGCTTTCCATTCCAATCGTACCATCTGCCCATGGTAGGGGGGCCCTAACGGCAACCGAACGCCAAGGTTAGGCGAATTGCGCAACTCGCTCGAGGGGCTGTTGCTCTGGCTAGCCTGGTATTTGCTAAAAGGCTCAAAATGTCTCCGTCCAACAGCCCATGCTTCGGAGGGCCTAGCATCGAGCTGCGAATTGCGCAAAAACTTAGGTCCAACCGCGAACACACACTTTTTTGCGGGATGTTCGTTAATATTGCGCTGAGGGCCGCGGGTTTTTTTACAAGTCGCCCACCGCCGGTTAGTTGTAATTCCTAGACGTAGCGGGCCACCTGCTAGATCATATCACAAAGACCGGACAAGTACCCGGGTGGTAAAGTTTATGAGAGAGCTGTATAATTCACCGGGGTCACCGGTCGCCGATTTGCCACAGGCGGTCTGGCACCGAGGTTGCCCGCAGACCAGTGGTACCAGTACCAGGGAAAGTGGCCCCGGGAAAGATATCCAAAATCCACACCTCATAAGGGACTCCTTCGTCTGCGTCATGCACCAGCTGCGGATCCTTGAAGAATTCGCTACGGATCGTCGGCATCGCCACATTGTCAACCCACTCCCTGAATGACACCATGAAAAAAAAACAATTTAGTGCCTACCTATTGATTTCGACGCCCGGGCTGATAGCGAACACGTAGGGCAAAGTAACGGGGCGTTCGTTGCTGACCGGATTGGTTCTTGACCACGACCATGAGCTGTTGTTCAGGGGAATCTAAAAGTCAGCCAATTCCTGATTACAAGAGTCTAGAACATACCAACGAAAATGCCATAAATTTTGTTGTGGTGTTGCTGCTGGTGGTACGAGCTGTACGAATTATTGATGGCCACCGTGTCGTCGGCACGAAGGAACTGGACGTTCTGACGCTCGTCCATCTTCCACAGGACAATCTAAACACAGTTTGAAGTCGAGGCAAGAGAAAAATTTACCGGTTTTTCCTTGTATTCAATGCTCTTCGCCAGATCGTCTTGGATGATTTTTGTGGCCTCGGGAACGGTGGTGCTCCTGGTGACCTTCATGGCGAACTGAAAATTAAACATTTCTGGGGGTAAAGCTAGATTGGGCACTCAATATTCCATTTTTAATCAACTCCATATCATATTTGATACATTTTTCTTTTATTTTGCTGCTAACGCTTAGCATTTTCGCTGCCAGAAGCCCCAGCCGTTATTTGAACGCAATTGCGCCATCGGGCTCCTCTTCGGGGATGACCTGGAGGGGCACCTCGGCGGAGTTGCGCAACGGAGGCCGTCGGGTCAAGCCCTATCTCCCACACGGCATCCCGGGGGGCGGGACTCTAAGGACAAGCTCGGTCGCCGATCCAATGGGTCCCTCAGTCTATGCCTACGGTCCTTACAGGTCCTAGCATAAACGCCCAATTTGCCGGTTATTGAAAAATGACCGCCAAGATTTTACATCCGACTAATTCCCCCATCCGCCCACGAAACAAAGGTAAGTCCCGGGGAGCTCAAGCTTTTTTAATTAACCGATTTACGATTATGCTCTTTCAGCTGGCTCCGCCCCCATTTATCTACCATCTTACATGGCTGAGGGTCAGCTTTGCAGCGTGTGTGGAGATATGGCGACTGGCTTGCACTACAGGTAAACAATCTCCCCCGATTCCCACAATACAAATTAGGGCCATCACTTGCGAAGGCTGCAAGGGCTTCTGGCGCCGCACCGAGCAGAGACACCTTGACTATGTGTGCCGCACAGGACAAGAACAATGCCCGATTAACAAAGACAATCGCAATGGCTGCCAGCGCTGCCGCTATAACAAGTGCAAGGCTGTGGGGATGAGCTCTGACCGTAAGTAGTTTTTCCTTATTTAAACAAAGTCCAACAAAATCTGTGTTTGCGAGATTCGGGCTATCAATAACAAAACAGGGGTAACTTTTTCATAGGAATGCAGAAATGCCTAACACCGTAAAAAAATTATAGCCTTGCTAATCATATTTAATTATATTTGAAGTGGAAAACTATACAAAAACTTCGAAAAATCCGTTTCATATTACAAAAATTCCATCCCATGGAAAAATTCTGCCTCCCATGAAATTTCACGAATTTTAGTGGTGCTGACGGAAAATGAAAGAGCCCAGAAACGAGATCTCATCAAAGAAAACCGTGTGCGGAAAGCCGTCAAGGAAGTCCTTGTCACTCTGAAGACACCTTCCACCGAAAGAGAACATCAAAAGGTGAGTTATCTCACTATATATAGAAAATAGTTTCTGTGTGTGTGTGCATTTGCATGCAACTTCCGTCAGCGAGTTCCAGTAGTATCTCGACAGAGCGAAGTTTTTAAGATACGTTTGATACGTAATTAGGTGCGTAATGCTTCCGAGATGACTGCACACGATAAGATTTTGCAATTCTTATTTTCAACATTAAAAATGGTTTTTTGTTTAAAAAACGGGCGCCCTCTCTGTTAGGAAAAATTAGCATGCACCGGAGGTGGCGATAGCCTATATAATCCGAAAGAGGGAGCGTTTTTCATCATTTCTCATGCCAAATTCGGGCGAATTATGCAAAGGGCGAATTTGATGGGCTTATACCGGGCCGGGGTTGAAAAGTCGCGAAGCGGCTTTTCAACCCTGGTTCTAGTGAATTTTATAACTATTATTAGGAACTCGGTATCGTAATTGAAACCGTGACTAAATTCTACTGCGACAAGCTTGATTTACCACTGTCCTCAATCCGATGCTGACGGAACCGCGTCAGAAAATGCATATATGGAACTCTTGCGCCCATTCGTTAGGCGAAGTCGAGAGTTTGCGCAGGCCATCAAGTCATTTGACCAGGTAGAGGCTAATTGTTTTTGCGAAAAAAGAGTTTTGCAGTTGAATCAAAAAGCCCAAGAATCGCTGCTTCGAGCCTCACTATTAGAAATCCATCTTTTGCGGTTTTTGTCATTCTATGACCCTACGGAAAAATGCTTTGTTCCGGAACCAGAAAAGAAGATTACCGTCGATGTGCTTCAAAGTGTTTTTGGCGAGGTTGGTTTCAATTAGTTCCTAGCTTAGGCTGACACTATGTATTCCAGAAGCAACAATCACTCCTCAAAGAACTATTGCTGATTGCCGAACAGGTCCACGAGCTGCAAATGGATTTACGGCAAATGGCCATTCTAGCTGCGCTCTTCTTCTTCAACCCCGACAATGCGCTTGAGGTAAGTCGTCCAACAAATAAAAAATATTCCAAAGATAGCACGACGGGTTTTTGCGTAAAAAGTAATAATAACGGTTTTTAGTATGCCGGCATTCTAACGCCCACACACAATGTGCTTTGGGACGCTATGCGTCACATCGTTGACGAGGAAAGCGACGGAACCGACCCCAAAAGGTACAGAATTGCATGGAGTCCTAGATTTCATTATTCAGGTGGAGCCTACTTATGACAAGAATTTTTGGCTATCGCCAATTCTGCCAAAAGCTCGAGATGATGCTATCCCCGGCGAATTATCGGCTTTTTAGTACAATTTTAAATGTCTAATAGCGGAAGTACGGGCGGGCAGGTAAGTTTCGGACCAGGTAAGTGGTTAAGTCATTATGGATTTTCATTTATTTTAAAAAGACCGGACTTCTAAATGGCAGCAGGAAATATGTGCAATGCAGTATCTAATTTTAAACCTAGATACTATTTTTACAATCATTTCTACGCAGGTGACAATGTGCAATGTCTTCAGTTAGAGCTGATAAGTGTGTAAATCGATGGCTAAAGAACAACCGCCTGATGAATATTATGTGTATGTCGGGGCCAATAATACCTAAGCAGGTTACCATGTGCAATGTTTTGGCGCGCGGCCGCGCATCGAAATAAAACGAAATTTCGATGGCTCCAATATGTGTATGTGCGGGTGGAATGTGCAATGTGTATAGAAAAAAATTCATGGGTTTTTGTGCATGTAAAAAGTCAAACTAGATCTTAGGCCGTATTTAACTAGAAGGAAAATCAATACAATTTAGGCAGAATTACAGCAGGTCGCCTCTCTGCCACCTTTTCACGAAAACATTCTATCAAAGCTCAATTTTGGATGTTCAATAAACTCTTTCAAGTCCTTACCAGAGCCCATTTCTTGTCAGGCTGCATCAACAAAAACATTTGCTCAAATTGCTTCTCAGGGATGGGCAGCGGCAGGGAAAGGAAGCAGATCGGGTCGAACTTGATGGATATCTGGGAGATTTTCAATAAAGATAGACGAAAGAACAAAATACCTTCATGCATGTGGGACAGGTCAAAGTACTCTTGATTTGCCCGTGGATCTTGTCGACGATGATGCTGTCGTTACGTGCTTTGTACTGATCCCACTGCAGCTTGGCCAACTAAAAAACATTGGGCTCAGAAATTATAGGTAAAGTTACCTCCTCGTCAGACTTATTTTCGTCCTCGTCATTATCCGCAAAGTAGGGCTTGTTCTTGATCCGATTCAAGTCTTCATGCAGACCGTCCAGGACAAAGGCCATCAATTCTTGGGAGTCTTGTTGGCTGAAGCCGCTAAAGCGGGGCGCAATCTGTCCAATGACGGTCTGAAAGGGGGCCGTGAAAGTAATACCGAAGGCACGTATCTCAATAAAAATAAAATTGATACCTTAATTTGCCTCGGGCTGATGCTGCTGTTTTCTCCGCTCCATAGCTGCTCCAAGAGGTCAGCAAAGGCATGGGCCAAATCGCCACCTAAACGTTTGATTAAACGCCACCGATCGGAAACCGGCTTACCAGTTCCGAGCGGATTCTGCTCGTTGACCTCGCCCTTGTAGTGACCAGACAAAAAGTATTGTCTGAGCGGCGGCACATTGGACAAACATTGCAGCGAAGAAGCCATGAAGCAAGTATTGCCTAAACAAAACCTCAGCATCGGAAAGTAATAATACCCAAGTTTTGAAGTCCGCAAACGCCCGGGATCTGGTCGGCAACACGCGCATAGGAGAGGCTGAAAAAATTAATGGATTAGTGTGCCAAAATAGCGCCGCTCCCCAAGTGACAAAGCAAGGATTAGCGACAAAAATAGATCATAGGGGAGGTACGTTTCTCGCCAACGAAAAGCTTGATTGCCAGTTATCCATCAACACGACAATGTAAAGAATGTGCTTTTTTGGGAAATTGATAAAATCGGATAGTCAGCGCCAGAATTTTTTTGAAAGAGCTTTGTCACCTGGATGGATAACGGGCACACGCGCTTCACAAGAACTAATTCGATGGCAAGTAACGCACCTCATGTCCCCGAGGATCCCGCCAAATGCCAATCGGAGGATTCGGCGGAGCCGACGTGCCGGACCCGAATAGACAATCTCCGGGACGTACGGGATATAGAAGGCTAACGAGAAAATCGGCGCCACTATTGTCCACAGGACCCCGTGAAGGGTCACAAAGAAGAACGGCAACCAGCGGTGTGAGCTAATACCACGAGGTTAAGCAATTAATCAGGTGCAGCACGGTGTGAAAACGGAGGTACTAAAGTTCACCTTCCTCCACCATTCATCGATGGGCCGTTCCGAGACCGCGGCGCGGGCGGCTGAATAACTCCATTGCCCTCGTCATCGAGCACATCAATCAGAACCTGCAATATAAAAAATGCAATTTTAGTAAATTTAGAGTGTACTCTTGCCCTCAAGAAACACACCACTTGGTTGAAGGTGAAGAAATGCTCCCAGTTGGTCTTCATCTCGATCGTCAGCAACTCGTAACGATCTTCGTCCTAGAAGAATCCGTCATATTAAAAATAGTTAAAATAGACCAGACCTGGTGATGAATATAGAAACGGAGCCGATTGTGCGGTGTCTGGCCCAGTCCGAGAGCTTGAACGGCCTTGGTGCCGAGAGTCCCTAAGAAAAATTTACGCAACGAATCAACAACTTACGAACGGTGTCGGTTGGAACCACAGGCAAGGTGGCTGTTTGCTTACGATCCCGAGCCAGTGAGACCTAAGCAAGGTTTTGAATGAAAGTATATATGAACCGTCAGAAATTTGGCGTAGACTTCAACAAATAGCTCTTGCTTGACCGGATGGAGCTCCACCTTCCGCTGAATCACGTCTCGGTCATCATCGACAGCGCCAAACGTGTTGTAGAAAGCGAGGAATTGCTGAAAAACCGAGATGATTACCATGAGATCATACACGCCGAGCCGAAAAATTTAAAAAATCCTCACCTCTTTTGGCACTAACTGGTAGTCCAAGCCCTCGACCTGGTTTTGCTTCATATACCAACGATCACCTAAAAAATTTAGATGCAAGTGGAGTTTGGGTACCTCGCTTTTCGGATATTTTCGAGCAATCGATTGGCGTAATATCCTCCAAGTAACCGGCGCCGGCCGCTTGCACAAGGCGTTTCCACCAATCTGTCGATAACACGTACCTAAAGAGAATGCCAGGCTTGCAGCGAAAATTACCAAGTATCGTTTTGAACAAGACGCGTATTCTCCACGTCATCAATCAGCGCGCTAAGCTGATCCTTGGTGGTAATTTTCTGGACGTTGACCTCGCTGAAACAAAAGATTCATCAGCCCCCTGCGGCAAGACCGACCTTGAACCATCCATAGGCTCATCCACGACATCCTCTTGAGTCATGGTTCGCTGTATTCAACAAACCCTAAAGAAAGCCAATAAGTTTAATGTACAGAAGTCAGAAGAGGGAGAGAGAGAGCCCGAAAATTGCAGACCGGGACTTGTTTTTTGAAATACCCTAGAAGGTCCCCCAAATGTTTTAAAGTTATTTCTGGTCTATCAGGACACGTATCACCGTTTGAAATCAAAAAAATCTGGGCAAATCATAAAATTGATTGCCCGGGCAAAGATGGCTGGCCGAAAGTCCCGTGACAGCGAGTGAGGTGTAAGGAAAGCATGGAAATAGAGAAAAGATGGGCCGAAAGATTGATACCGTACAAGACGTTCACGAATATTCGAATCAGAGCGGAGAACGTAACTAGACAATGTACGAATTGCAGAGTTAGTTGTATCCGGAATGATGATTACTTCTTTGAAACAGCGCAACCAATATTCGGAAAATCCGAGCGATTTCTGTGGTTGGAAATAGTGGGGGCAGAGGATAGGGGGTGTCTCTCGTTATCTAGCGCTCTCTCCCTAGAACACAGTTCGATGCGTACAAAACGTATGAATCTTCGAAATTGTCCAACTTTGCAAGTTCCAGCCAAAACAGAATCCAGCGGCAAAAGTTCTTCTATGAAAAGCTCGCTTTCGACGGGGCTGGCACGGAATGTCAGCAAGTGGGTCTTGGGGACAGCTGATCGTTCTCAGGGCCCGTCGCGGGACCCAATCGCCCGTCATGCCGGCTCCTCTGTAAAAAGCTAATCGCTCAATGAAGCGTTCTCCAACTCTAAATGTTTGGCCTTTGGCCTTATTTACGACCTTCGAAATCCCCAGATCAAACAGCTAAATCTATCAGAAAGGCCAGGCGGATGTGTTACATTCGAAATCTTAGCCCCAGGCTTCCCCTAGCGACGTCGCTGGGCTCGGAGCTTTGTAAGAAAACTGTATTGCTGCCCGGCGAATCGATCGATCTCGGCATGTGCCGCGGAAAATTAATCTCTAAGCCGAAACATGTTCCCAACCAGCGAATCTGCACATTTTGGTGAAGCCTAAAAGCTGCGAAATAAGTGCGAAACACTTCCGATGTGTTAGACCAAAAGGATTGTGGCCGGTAGCTTCTATATGGGATGGTGTCTATTGCGCGCAAGCATTTTCGATCTACAGCAGATTGTAATTTTATGATATTGAGCGTGATTTGATAAGCTTTTCGTTTTTCTTATTATCTCTCCTTTATTCGGCCGCTGCCTACAACTATTTTTTTTCATTCCAGGCACGCCCTACCCCAAAAAAAACCCGTGTGAAAGTGGAGCCGTCTGGTGGCACCGTAAGGGAAGAATGTCTCTCCCAACGGGCTCTTCCCCTATGGTTCGCCACCAGTCGCCGATGCTGTCCCCGTGCTCGCCACCATCGACGCTCTCGACGCAGCAGCCCTTCTCTGGCGCCAGCACTGCCACTCAGTCGCCAATTTTGTCGCCAAAGAAGTAAGATTCATATTTTTTTCAGCTTATATTGTTCTTTGCAGGGCGACAAAATTGGTACTGCTGCATCTCCCCTTCGGCCTGCATTCCAAGGTCGAGGTGAGAAGCGGCGAGTCAGCGTGTGACGCCATCGCACGGGTAACTCATTTTGTTTTTGTTTTTACAAGGTTTTTAGGTGCTGCATAAGCGACGGATCCAGCCGTCGCTATGCCACGTGAGCGATTCGTCAAACCCGAAGACTGAGCGTCTTGATCTCACGGTTAGAATTTTTCGATTTATTTGATCCCTGTTTTTAGGAAGAAATGGAAGTCATCGCGAATCGTCTCGCCAACAAGGAACTTTGGGTGCACAGCGAGTACTTGGACACCGTCAACCGGATAGAGCACACGTTCCAAAGGTAAGGAATATTAATTGGGCCGCCTATTTTTTGCTTTTAGAAAGACGTTCATCCCGCCCCAAACGTGCGATGCGTGCAAGCGGCAAATGTGGATTGTGAGTAGCCAGTTGAATTTTGTCATTTTTCATTAGGCCTACCGCTGTGAGTACTGCAATGTCAAATTCCACCAACGATGCAGCTCAAAAATTCCGATCTACTGCGACCTCTTACAGCGAGGAGATGAGGTACTTGAATTGTTGGAAAATAAATGATGTTTTTAGACAATCCTGAACAAGCTCCGGGACTTGTGTACACAAAGCACTGACGGGCAATTCGCGGAAGAAATTCTCACAAAGTTCATCGAGCCTTCATCACCGTCTGTCCGACAACCGCAGCACAGCCCTGGCGACCGGGAGATCCAAAGGTGGTTTTCGTACCTGCGTGGTTGCTTTTGAAGATTAGAAATTTATCCATAAGCTATTTTAAATTTTCACCTTGTCAGAAAACGCGCCGTGAAACGAAGCAATGCCCCTCACATCACCCACACTCCGACTGCGTCAACCCTATCCTCAGCACCATATCCGCGCGATCGCTCCTCGTCGGCGCCAAATATCAATGCCATCAACGAAGAAGGGGCGAGCCTGGAGCACGATGTAATATTTTCAACGGCAGATTTTCGAATTACTCCTATCTTCACAATCTCTGTTCTTATAGCGCGTTATGGCCGAGCTCGAAAAGCGCGATGATCCGAAGATAATGAACTCTGCTCGTCATCCGGGTGCACAGCGATTGATCACGACGAACAGACTTCAAACTGGCGGATCACCGTGTTCATCTACATCACCCTCTTCGACATGTTCATCGCCACCGGCGCACTCGCTTCATCCGTCTCATCTGTTCCCAAATGCGATGCCGCTCACGCCTCCACAGAGCGCCCCGCCTCAAAAAGTATGTTTGGCGACTTTTTTTTGCTTAGTGTATGTTTTAGGTTTCGACACAGTTCTTCCGCGGTCGAAGCAAAAGCCCCGGGGACAAATTGGATACGATTCAGCCGCTTCGGTCAAAGACTAAAAAGCAGTTGGAGGATTGGGAGGTATTAGACCTTTTTTCGGCGTATGACAATTTGTTTGCTAGATCGATGCTGCGATGATATCTTGCCAGTTCAAAGTCGGATCTGGATCATTCGGGACAGTTTTCCGTGCTGAATACTTCGGGCTCGTGGCTTTGAAGCGCCTCAATGTCCTCGACCCGAATCCGTCACAACTCCAAGCCTTCAAAAATGAGGTTATTTTTGACTACTGCATTTTTCATGATTGTTTAGGTTGCATTGCTAAAGAAGACTCGGCACCCGAACGTCCTGAACTTTATGGGCTGGGTGCGTGAGCCGCAGCTGGCTATCGTCACGCAATGGTGCGAAGGCAGTTCATTGTACAAGTATGTGTTCACCGGATTTTTTGTTATTTTTATTTAGACACATTCATGTTGTGGAGCCGAAGAAGGAATTTGAGCTAACAAGTGTCCTCGATATTTTCAAGCAAGTCACCCTGGGGATGTACTTCTTGCACAGCAAGCGCATCATACACAGGTGCACAGCTTGCCTCTCAACTCATCGGAGTTTTTAGGGATATGAAATCGAACAATATATTCTTGACGGAGGATAATACCGTCAAAATCGGTGATTTCGGACTGGCCACTGTCAAGACGCGATGGAGCGGTGCGCATCAAAGTCAGCAGCCTACAGGCTCCATACTTTGGATGGTAGGCTTGGTGATCGTCTGACCATTTCTGGTGTCTTTTAGGCTCCTGAAGTGATTCGGATGCAGGACCCGAATCCTTACACCTATAAAAGTGATGTTTACGCGTTTGGAATCGTGATGTACGAGGTGCTGGCCGGTCTGCTTCCATACAGCCACATAAACAGCCGCGACCAAATTCTATTTATGGTTTGTCGATTCAGACTGTATTTATTTTTTCTGGAATAGGTTGGTCGCGGTTTCCTCCGGCCCGATTCGTCCAAGATTCGCCCTGATTGCCCCAGAGCGTTGAAGGAGTTGATGGACCGATGTATAAAATTCGATCGCAATGACCGCCCTGGGTTCAACGATGTATGCGTAATATTTGATAACATGATTTGTTCCGTTTAGGTCAGTGATAGCCTGCAGGAAATCGCGTTGCCGAAATTGACCCGATCCGCCTCGGAACCACTTCTTCACACAACGAGTATCGAATTCTGGAGCAAGCGTAAGGAACATGACAATTTCGAGAAGCCTTCTGTCGCAATGCAAAACATGAAGTGCTACATGTAAGTCGGCTACCCGAACTATTTGGGTAGTCACTTGCTCAGAATACGCACTTTTCGGAATTTTTTCCAATCGCCGGGGCTATTCGCTTTTCGTTATCTTGAAAAACCCTTCATTTAGACGCAGCTGCCAGCTTCCTGGACTGATGAGGGTTGATTCGGCCGTGTTCTCTTCGTTGCTGATCTAATTATCCATTACCATTTCACACAAGCTTGCGGCACATTGTTCGTGCCTATTTGTGATATCATACCCCCACCCAGCTTCAGCCATTGATTGGATTGTGGGCAATGGGTTTGTGAGAATAACCTGTGAAATCTGTGTGATCATCTCTCTCCTTTTGACCCCCCCCTTTGTCGTAATTGTTAATACCGCCCAATTATGTTGAACTCTTATCCTGGGCTTGTTTTCTGTGCAGCGTCGAACCAGAGCACTACCGCCACAAGGTTTTGTGCTGGACGCACTTCTGTTCGATAACTTTCCCCCAAACATCCCCACCCACTAACATCTCCCACCAAACGACCAAGCTGTCCACATTGTGACCCCCTAAGTTTTGGGCCACCACCTTTTATTGTTCTGCTTCCCAGTGCTCTAACACGCTTCCATTTAATGTTATAAACATTTTATCAGACAAAACTCTGGATACGGCACACCGGTTGGCACGCGCGGTTTTGCATTACCGAGAGGTTAGGAATATTTGAAAATCTATGATGATGAAGAGTTATGAGCATCGAAAACATCCTTGAAAACAGAACACTAGATTTTTGACAGGGTGTTTTTCAGATGGATACCCAGAATGAACTGTCGGGAATCCACACCAAACTTCGACAGCTCGACCTTCGTAGAGACGCTGTAAACAAAGAACGGTTTTATATACTACCGTCGGTTGAGGTGTGACTCTTAAAAAACCAATTCAGTGCATTTAGCTGATTTTGGAAGCGTTTCACCATAATGTCAATGAAGCGTTGACGGCTCATCTCGAGCAAAAGTTGTGGAAGATGGCCAAGGAGATGATCGACTCCGTATCTAAAGGCTCCAATGACATGACCACAGTCAAATACGTAGGCTGCTTCCCCCCCCGCCCCCCCTCTCCCCCCCCCCCCCCCCTTTTTTTCCCCTTTTTCCCCCCTCCCCCCTCCCTCTCCTCCTTTTCTTTTTTTTTTTTTTTTTTTTTTTTTTTTTTTTTTTTTTTGGGGGTGCCCCGGGCCTCTCCCCCCCCCCCCCCCCCCCCTTTCCTTTCTTTCCTTTTTTTTTTTTTTTTTTTTTTTTTCTTTTTTTTTTTTTTTTTTTTTTTTTTTTTTTTTTTTTTTTTTTTTTTTATTTTATTTTTTTTTCTTAAAAAATTTTTTTTTTTTTCCTTTTTTTCTTTTTTTTTTTTTTTTTAATAATAATAATTTTTTATTTTTTTTTTTTTTTTTTTTTTTTTTATAAATACCAAAAAAATTCCTCCCCAAAAAAAAAAAATTTTTTTTTTTTTTTTTTTTTTTTTTTTTTTTTTTTTTTTTTAAAAAAAAAAAAAAAAAAAAAAACCCCTTTTTTTTAAAAACCTTTTAAACGGGTTACTAAGAGCAAACCTCCTTTTTAGAATGGAATCAATGCCTGCAATATGTCTCTATCATGGTTCGTCGATCTGGCGCTTTTAGTTCAATCGGGTTGCGCATTCACCTTTGAGGCAGCCCCGGCGTTTTTAAAGTCTGCTGAATTTAATTTTACAAGCTCCAAAACTTTCTAGGGCCCTCGATTCGATGTACAACTCCGGACCCCAAACGCTTTCTCGGATACGGTCGCGCAAATTCGAGTCGTTTATCTGCCTGCGCGTGGGTGACGTGATGAGATACAAGGTAACGAGCTTGTAGTCTAGCGTAATTTCCCTAGGGGAATTTGAGCGCTGCGGATGAGCTCTACGCGGCTTCGATTCGTGTTCTACCGCTGCTTGGCGACCCGTGGAACCAACGGGGACTCTTATTGGCCAAACGGTTGGTAACCAGTTTTTTCGTTCCTTGACTTTCCGGTCCGCGTTGGGCATGCAGCAGTTTCAAGAATATTCTCGATATCGCCTTTACTTCTGGCTTTTCAACCCTTTTTTTAATGCGTGCAATGGCTTTTCCTTATATCGCACCTTGGGGATTCATACTTTAGGGATGTCCTGAAATGCCTCTACTTCCACTATCGGGCTCTTCATTGCCGATTTTCGTTTATTGGCGCAACCTCAAACATCCAGAAGATCTTTCAAGAACACTCGGAAACAAGTACGTCTGTAAAATTTTCGCTTGATCCAGCCTTTCTAGCCGTGCTAGTCGATTCTCCATTTGTGGATAGGTTCCTGCACGTACTATCCAAGTTCTACTTCGTATGGATGGCTCATTCGTTTCTAAAATTGGTTTTTTTAGATGACCCGGGTCCATCAACGTTTGGTCGACAGCCTGTTGGAAGAGGTGTGGATCATTGGGGGGATATTTGATTCTATCCCTATTTTAGTGCATTACAATGGAGGCGATTGTCCCGCTGCTTGGTGTACTTTCCGAATTGGGCGTATCCAGCGATGAGAAGGCCATCATAGATGCCATTTATCGGCTTGTCGATGGGGCTGTTGCGTCGATTGCAAGAAGGCAAATGGTGAGGTGTTGATTATTTCCATCTTCTAAACCCCGTTATTCAGGATGGCTGCTCATCTGAAAAGGAGCTATGGGTGTTGGCGTTATGTTTGCGTGTCTGCAGCCCTGAAGCCCTCAAGGCAAAACCGATAACCGACCTTGTTCAGCGACTACTCGATAACGAAGTACCCATAAGGGATTCGGAGCTCACCAGATTGTATGCAATTTGTTTGGTGTATATCCAATTTTTTTCCAGTTGGCTGTGCTTTGAAGACCCCTGTGATCGACCCTTAACCGCTGGTGGATTGGCCCGAACATTGTGTGCGATTAGGGACGGTGAAGTGATGTGAGAGCTGGCTTTTGAGCTTGGATTGACGCTGATTTTAGTAATCGGAAGGAGATTAATTCTGGCGCGAAGTCGGAACAGCTAGCTCGAAAGCCTAAAGCAGCGCTCCGAGCAAGGCAAGATTGCCCAAAATTGGACGCCGTAGTCAGCCGGCCAATGCCATCAGAAGATGATGAGGCGGAAGCGGAAGATCAACGCGGCGAATCGACGGTGGCGGCAGGTCGAAGAAGGGAGCGAGCAGAGTCAGAGTCCGAAAGTGCCGGCGAACACGACGATGAAGAAGAGCCTGGTATTTTTTTTTACTTTGAGCCATAAACCCTAGAGCCAGTATCCAGACATTGGTGTTTTGGTACCAAAATCTGACTGCGATTCTATAAAGGCTCTCTTTTCAGCAATCGTCGAAATGAGCCTCTCTGATGATGATGACCCGGGTCTTGTTGCGAAACCTCGCCCTGGAAGGTATATTTATGGATGGATAATTAGGCATGTATAATCCTGCACCACCCACTTGCCGAAAGGTCTTGCCGTTTCCTGGAAAGTAATTAAGGCTCTCTCGCCTCTAGACATCAATTCCGCGGTCTTGGATAATCTGGGCTCCCCGGTGGCTCGGGTTGTGTCTCCAATTATTTGACGGGGGGAGGGCAAGGAATTTAGAAATAGACATGGGCGCCATCGCTTTGTCGGCCCAAGGATTTGGGCGTGCTGGGCTGTTAATTGTGTTTTCGTTAACACCACGCCTTGAGACAGCAATAATTTGTGTGTTGTTCATACGTTGCGAGTAGTTTTGCGAATTTTGAGGCTACTGCGAATGTTTAGGTTTGTATTACTTGGTATTTCCAGTGTATTGCTTCTCCCCTAATCCGTCTCAGCCCTCAAAAACACGCGCTGAGACCCGGCAAGTTTGCAGTGTTTTAGCGACGGCTATTTTTGTCTTAACGTTTCTTCAATAGCGGGAGGGGTGGCGGGTATTCAAGAAGCAGCGAAGGTTGTTTGCTTATTCGCAAGACATCGTCGAGGGGGGCCACCCTGCCCGTAGAAACGCATAGCTGATCATGTAGGCAACAAGCTCGGGGTTTTCGGCGGGAGCCTTGGACCCGGGAAAGGAATTCCTTAGCGGCGAAAGCCCGCAGTGGCACTGCTGCCCTATTGTTCTTGTCAAAGAAGGGCCACCAGTTGAGTTTCGGGCCAGCTTCATCTCACCGCAGCATACTTGAGAATAAAGATTGCGCCCCATTTGTGTGATCTAGAACTGATCTTATTCAAATCAAAGCCACCCTCAAATCTGAGAATTTCATCAGGCTTGAACTCAATAAAATTTTGAATGAGACTCGTATGCCCAACCGATTCCTCGGTTTGTTGAGGGTAACTTTGATTTGAATAAGGCCAACCCTAGTGTAAACCCCGAAACTCATCTGTTCGCCTAAATACAGATTTAATGAGGGGATTTACTGGGTTCCTCGGCGAAGAGCAGGGTCATAATTCCCCGGGGCCAGCCCGCAATCCGGCCGGTAGATGGCCACCGGAAATTGTTCTCATCCGGCCATAGGGCTTCCGTTTTCCCGGGCGGGACTTTCGCCCCCCGATGGTTCATTTCCCGTGGGCCTACAGCCGTCTCTTGATATCCGGCTCGCCTAGAATTTTCGGGGGAATCGGACTTGCGTCGAGCTCTCCTCGATAAGTCTCTACTTCCCGGTTTTTAATTCTAATAATTTTAATTTAATTTGAATCGTGTTCTAGTAGTTTCTCAATAAGAAAAGTCGCGAAGTTCCTGTAGATTTTAAACTTAAATGTTTGGATCATTTTTGGCCCTTTTTTTTGTATTGCAGACCAAGAGCCAAGAAATTCTTCCGTTTTTTTTGTCCTTAAAAGCAGCGTAGAATTCTCTAAAACTAGCATGCATAGTCTAGTCCAAATTCCACTATTCGCGACATACGGTCATTGAAAAACCCCGACCGCCCCCCCCGGATAAAAGATAAGCACCGTTGTTTTCATATTTGCAAGCAATGGGGGCTGTTGAGATTTCTCAGCTTTAGCGAAGCCGCTGTATCGTGACTAGTAAGAATTGCCCTGCCGGAACTCGGCCTGTAAGCTACAATATCCTCGCGTGACTTTGCCATTTAAATCACAAGGCAAGGTCAGGTAACTACAAGTCCGGATTTGCGCCTTGGTGCCCCCCCCCACGATTCCCGAAATCGGCTACATTTTCGGTAGGCAATATAAGGCGGTATTTCCGTCCCGAGGATCCTGGGCGAGCCCCGGCCCGGACTCTATAGCTACAAATCGCCGCGCTGCCGCTTCATGAGTGGCCGCGTGTTGGAATGGCTGATAGGCCATCTCCAGCGGCCAGTCACTGGTTTCGGACTGCCGCCGCCGCCCCCGGGGACCCATGGGCCCAAAGAAGGCGAATTGTAAATTGAATCGGTCGACACGAGATGCGCTCTGCCCCCCCACCCCCATTTCGATAATGAAATGAGCTGTCTTCTCGTCGTCGCCGACGAGACATCATCGTCTTACCGCCCCTGCCCAAAAAACAGCGCCCATCAGGGGGCTCGTACTTTTGATGCCACCTCCCGTTTTCCAATTTATTTCCCTGGCTCTATTTTCAAGGGACGGCACATACCCATTTTTGGTGGTGTTTTCCTCGTCACTTGAAGCCAAGCTACCTCCAGTTCTGGTTCCTTATCGGGGGGGGGTAGATTTTTGAGATGTTCACCCGGTATGCGACAAATAATGCAAGTAGTTAATGGCGGTTTGCGCGTTTTCAGGTATAAAAAGACTTTTATTACTTTTTTGCCTAAGTAGTAGAAAATGGTAAAAAAGTAGTGTTTTTCATTTTTGATTTTTACATTTTTTTAGTAAACGAGCGCCGCTAAAACGCTATGAAAATGTCTTATCTTATTACGATGGAGGTTAGGCTAAATGAAGGATTATAATCCCCCGATAACGAACAAGAACCATTTAAGAACAGGGGGCTCCCCAGCCTTGGTTTTTTGCTTTTCTGACTGGTCTCGGTCGTTTCTGAAAACAGTCTGCTCCAAACGCCCAATTCTCTCCCTGCCAAAAAAAAAGGAAATTGCAGGCGGGCCCGGCTCGCACACCGATTGCGTCTGACGTAGCTTATAAAATTTATGGGTTTTTTGGCCCGGGGAGCTATGGCTTTGCGTTTTCTTCTGGTTAATTTCCGTCCATAAACCGTCAACCCGGTGGTCATTGGGAAAAAGGCGTTAATCTAGACGGAAATTGGCGGACGCGAGATTGCACGGACACTTAATTACACTATTTTTTTTGTGTGTTGGAGAGGACAGTGCTTCGTCTGCTTCTTGGGGCAATGTTTCATCAGGGATATTTGATCCAAGACCTGGCATCATACATTCTTTGTCTGGAATTTCCAATCGCCAAAGTACGCTATCTCGAAAATTCTTAAACCCGAATTCTCTCAATCCCGCAACAAGTATTGGGCCGTGTTTTATCAAATTCCTACTACCGAAAATATTGGAAACGATTTGTTTCCAGGAGTTATGGAGTTTTTGGTTTTAGGCATTTTCGATATTGGGAGTTTCAAGATTGTGGAGAAGGTTCCTAGGAACGGCGCATCCGATTGGAAGTAGAACGCGGTGTACCGCTCACTTTTTCTCGTGGTTAACATGAGGGACGATGAAAAGAGCAATGACTGGGCCCTCGTGCCATCCATCATAAGGTTCCCCCGTTAGGCCAGTGAAGGAGGGTGCTCATGGGGCCCTTCGTAAGCCCATAAACACTAGGAAGCCCTTAAATGCCTCCCATGCCCCTCTACCCCCATTCTGAAGAGCGCTTTTTCGCTTTTTGAAAAAGCACTTGCCGCCGTCGGGCCTCCCCTCGACCTCCAACCACTACTCCCTTCCATTGGCCTTGGGTGGGGATGGCCCATCCATCCCTTTTCAAGAAACTAGCCGCCCAACCAGCTGTCTATAGCCACCAGTCTGTAGTCACTTCGAAAACGGGCGCCCTTTTTAGGGCGCCGGCGCTCGAAATGTCTGGCCATACGAAAACATGCTCATGCAAACTCCTCCTAATTGTTCTTATAACTTAATTTGCGCTGTATAGTTCATCGAATCCCATGGGACTTCCCTGCCCGGCTTCGAAGTCACCGCTGCTGAAAGGGGCCGATTCAATTTCACGCGGGGAAAAGTTTTGACTCATCCTCTTACTTCTACCCTAATCATAATCGCGACAGCCAAAATCCCAACAAACCATAATCTCGAGAGCCAAAATCCCGACACGACGCAAACTCAGCAAAGTCAGTTTGGAATGGAGTCAGAGGCGAGTCTGATTGACGGGAATCCAAAATCCATCCAGTCTTTACCTCCTAAACGCTAGTGTTTTAATTTATTTTTATACAGTAGCGGTTTTGCATGTCGGGATTTTAGCTTTAGTTTCTCCTGCTGGGCTTTGGCTGTCGGGATTTTTGCATGGAGGGCTTTTCTTATGTCGGGTATTTTCGGTGTCCTGATTTTGGCGTTTTCTTCTACCGACTCATCGACAGTGTGCATTTTGGGATTTGGCAAATCTTGTTCGGGCCGCCGATTCAGTAGAGCTGTGTTCGGTGCGGCTGGCTGTGGCGCCATTTGTTTGCGTGTGGCTGTGCCATGGACGGGTTTATTGCCTCTTTTGAATAGGGGCTGTTTAGGCGGGCTTATTGAGCCGGGGCCCGTCCATATTTTCGGCGGTCCCGCCATGGCTTTCAAGCAGCTCGTGTGTCTCGCCGACGTTTCTCTGGGACTTTGGGGCCCTAGGGGGGGAAAGTTCTTGTAGCGAGCGAAAATTTCGTTTGGCGGCGGGGGGGGGGGGGGTTGGGGGTTTCCCCCTCTTTTCCGCTTCGGCGGTCAACCGATCCGGACAAAAACTATACGAAGTGTTGAATCACAGCTGATGTAAACTAAAATAGCGGGCGTAACGAGAAACCAGCGACAAAATACCCCCTCCCGCTAACGGACCAGAACCACTTTTTACAAGTTAAAGGTACCATCGAACCCCCTCAAATCCCCCATTTTCAATGCATTTAACTTTTTCAATAGAAACCGTTTTAATAACTCTTTTTTTCCAGCTCGAGCTCGTCCTCCGATTTTGACTACGATGATCCGTGCCCGGTTTGACGGGAATTGAGCACTGACCGTTGGTAGACTGGGAGAGAAGAAGGTAGATTCAGCCCGGTTTCCTCTTGCATGTTACTATTGATCCCTTAACCATGTCTCTTCTTTGTGTACACTTCTACGTTGTGGTAAATTGTTATACGGGTGCTGTCTATAAATTCTTTGGCTGATTTGTTTGTCGGGCTCGAACGGCTTGTTAGCTGAGCGAATGTTTGGTCTTTTGGTCGATCCGGTATTTAAACTTGTACTGTTTTTTATACGTTTTACATAAGTGATCTCTACATGATCGGGTAATATCGCGTATCTACCTTTGTTGATATTGCTTTTATCGAAGGAAAGGTTGAAGTTTTTTTGAGCAAAAACTTTTTCGGTATTTTACAGTTTTTAATTTTTACTTATTAAGGTTTTTTACAACCCCAATAGAGAAGTATTTAGATTTTGGAGAATTTTGAGGGGATTTTAATAAGTTTCCCCCGCCGCCCATCACCCCCCCTCCCCGCTAACAGTCCAGTACCTGGCGGTCGTTCCCGGTGGGGATCAGGTGCCCCGAGTCCCATGTCCATCCATCCACTGGCGGCTCTGTTTGACTGCGAGTATTTTCGGAGTAGCGAATGCTGCTGGTCCAGCGCCACTTCTCGGCGGGGGGCCTCCCGTTGCGCAAATAGGCGACACTCGGGTCAGTTTTCAAGCTTCAATGGCCACATCCCCGCTTCAAATCCCCCCTCTTGGGAAACGGCTGAATCCGTCTTTTGGCCCTTTGCCAGTGGTGGCTCCTATTTCAGGCAAATTTCCACGTCGAGCTAAAGAGAAGTCGTTTTTCGGCGGTATTTGGAGTTTCGTGATCTGACATAGCGCCCTGGTTAGAGCTGGAAGCTATGAGCAAGAGCTTACTGTCAAAATTAAAAGCTGCTGAAAGACGACGGTATCGGTGAAACTGCGAATCAAAGCTTGCATTTTGTTACGCGGGAACGGAAAAGAACGGACAGATGACCCCTTCAGAGCCAATTTTGTAAATACGTGTTCAGAATTTCAAGCTCTATCGGACGTCCCATGTGACATTGCAAAACTCTAAAAAAACACACCTAAAAACGACTTGCTGGATTGTAGCATTTTTGTGAAAGGAATGATTAGATGGTATCTCAAGTTAGCAGTACAGAAGTGGACATTTAGAACTGTCTAGAAAATCTATAGCCTTGGTTTTTTGGCAGTCCTACTTAATGCAGATAACTTAAAATTAACGCCTTTCGACGGGGAATTAATTACCTGTGCCACCCCCTGCTTTATAATTGCGAGAAGCGTCTGGCCGGGGCTACAGATAGATTCATCGGCTCCATAACAAAAAGCAACGGATTAGCGGGTGGGACACGGCACACCTTTAGTGCAATTCTATCGCGGACATTTCTCTCCTGGATTACGAGCCATTCAGAGCATTTGGGCGGAAAAGGAGGGGTTTTTGATGTGGGTGGAGGGCAGAGCCGATGACGGGATTCCGGGATTCTATCTAGTCGTCCTCCTCCGCCTCCCCGCCTCTTCTCTGCACCCTCTTCAAGTAGCCCTGGTAATTACCGCAAAGGGGGGGGGGCAGTGCTTGTGGGTCCCTTCCTTTGGCCATGCTCGTGTGTGCCCTCTGGGGGCCCAGTGGGCCCTTGTCTTTGGGTCTCTTTGCTTTGAGTTGTGCGGCGTCTCGTCGTTTTCCGGCCCGCCAGCCCCCGCCGGCTCTCCGTATGCATATACGCTGTTGCCAGGGGTAGGAAATTGATTCGTGCGCGGCTGGGGCGACCAGCTAGCAAACCGATTTTTTTTCGGCTTCTTCTCCGTCTTGGCTTTCTTGGGAATCTCACGGGGCTCTCTGATTTCATTGGCTTTTGCCGGGACGGTCTGGGCCTTTTTTAGGCGGGCAATTCTAATAGGAGGGCTTGACTTTTGTGGCTTAATAAAAGCAAGCTGTCTTATTTTTTAGCATACTTTCCTTAATTATTTTAGTGAATCGCAGCAAAATTGTACCTATATTTTACCTGTGCGATGGGCAAATTTTTGCTATATTTGACGTTTTCTGATGAGAGTGGATATTAGACTAGACTACAACCCAAACCATCAATTATGCCACAGACTCGCCACATCATTTCGCAAACGCGCCCTGCAATCTGTTGAACTTAAAAAAATATATCGCCGCCCAATCCCGCATATTTCATTACAGTTCTATATCTCGCTCAACTCCAATAAATGAACAACTGAATTCACAGGCATCCGACAACCCAAACGGCACGCGCCCGTCTGGGGCTGTCCCCCGGTCTCGGATATACGATGATGAACTGGCGCTTCGAGAACATCATATCCTACTTTTTCGCCAACCCGAAGCGACAACAACGGCGACTTGAAGAGGTTCAGAAAAGGGCGGGGTTTCGGGTTGAATTTGGTTTCTGGCATCCCGACCCCTTTCTCTGTCGCTTAATTTTAATGTGTTTATTTTTGCCTTTTGTGAATCGTTTTCGTTTGTGGTCCCATAGCCATTGATAAGTGTAGCGCTTCGAATTTTAATTAGAAAGATTTAAAATTTTTACTATTTGACACATTTTTGACCAAAAGTTTTTCGAAAATTATGTTAAATTTTTATCTACTTTTTTATCTAAAAAGCGCCTAAAATACTATTAACCACTCGATCATGCTTATTTTCGCGAAATCCAGCGGTAGGTAAAAGGGTCGTAAACGCGCGTTGACGGTTCCTTTAATCCCCGGACGCAGCCACCCCCATTTAACGCCGTAGAGTTGATGGCCGAGGGCCCTCCTCGCATTCTCAGGGGCCCAGCTGAGCCCCGGCGATGAATTCGAAATGCGCTCTCACACGGCTCATTCGGCGCCGAGGGCCTGCAAACGCTAAACGGGGCACTATCTTTATGGTCTGCGCTTTTTCGGCGTGACCGAATCAATTTTCCCTGAAGTGATTGGGGGGGGGTCATTTGATCACGTCTGCCTAATTCTCTATCTTCTGAATTGCGCCCAACTTTTGTTGTTGGTAGGCGTATGCTTACTTGCCTGATGTTATTCAGAGATTTCGGGATTTCGAATATTGCTTTCGGTGCTTCTCGGCTTTGGACTATTAGCGGGGGGGGCTTTCTAGCTGTCTATACCTATCTAACAATTTTTTAAGCGTTTTTCTCTGCATTTCCAAGTATTTTTAGGAGTCTTTGTTTACTAAAAATAACTAAAAATGTTTGGAAACGTTGGAAATCGAAACACCATTTTCGTAGAATTTATACCAAAAATCTAAATCTTTCTATAGTTAAAAACGACCATAAAAAGCTTTGCCTATTTGATGAACACGCGTCTTGACCAAGGTTATACTCGCCCCCGCTAACAGCCCAGAACCCCCCTTTCTTAACACTAAATTTTCATAACTGTCTCTGCACCACTTTCATTATTCACGCGCCCTTTCGGGTGGCTACTAGTCTGGTAGGCTATCGGGAAAAATACCGTCTCCAAGAATTGTTGGGCGTAAAATTGGTCATCGATCGGGCTCCTGTCGGGTCAGCAATGGTTTTTATCGTCAATCGGGATTTCAGAGGATCTATTAGTGCTTCTAGTTGCCGCATAGATACCCATTCAAATCCAGTCGACCCGACATCGGTCCCCTTTCTTTGATAAATATTCCATACTTGGTGTTGAGTTCCAAGTGGATTTCTTCCACGGTACTTCCCTCCATATTCGGGCCACTTTCAAGTAGCGCCACCCATGCGTGTGTATGCTTTCCGCCCTCTCTGTCCCTTTCTACCTCACTTCCGGTGCATTATTTCTGGGGTTGGCCCGAAATGGCGAAAACGATCGGTGCGCAATTTTCGTCGGCCAGTCTCCAGGGTTTAAAAAACCTGCGCCGACGGAGATGTTGAGCATGTGCTTGTTTCGTACCAACCGATCTTTCCTTTCATTGCCTTGCGCCCAGTTTTGTTTTGCTTACCAGTTTTGGTAATACCAATTTTTTGCAAGCCGAGGAGCCCTGGGCACTAACTATATTTTGCCTACTAGCCCGAACCAGCGGGGCCAACCCCTCGACTCGTTCGATTCATAGCGGTCGTTTCAGCGAATGGCGGCGGCTTCATTGGCTCTATCATCCCCAACTACCTCTGGCGAGCTCTCCTCCTCAACCCTACCCACCCCCGAGCTGGCCAACAAAATTTCCGGTAAGTGGGCGATACAAAGGAGGAAAAGACACGGATAGAAGGTGCTTTCGCATTATCGGGGGGTTCTCGGGATAGCTTTTTTACTAGACTAAACGTAAAATTCCTACAAACTTTTGTTTAAAAATAATACCAAACTAAGGATAGATAATAAAAATTTCCACGTTTTTAGAGAGTTTTTGAGCTTGGAATATATTTAAATTTTACTAATAAAAAAAAAAAAATTTAAACTCTCCCCCCCCCTTTTCCTTTTCACCCCCATACTACCCCTTACAATTATAATTTCAAATTTACGGGGGGGGGGGCAGGGGGGGGACCCCCGCGGGGCGGGGTCAGCGCTGGTGTGATACATTTTCCTTTCCCTCCCCCGACATTGTGAAAGAGCCGGATAGAAATTCTATCCGACCCGCTTGAACATTCAAAATGAGAAAGGAAAGAATAAAACCGACTTTGTTTGTTCAGCAACGCCGATCTGCCGGCCCTCGTCGTCAGATCTCCCCGCAATCGTCAACTTTTTAATAGACCACTTTGTGCCAAATGAACCGATTCTGGCTAGTCTTCAAGTTTCTAACCGGTAGGTGCAGCGATATCTGCATTTGATGAGTGCCTTTTAGGGAGGAGCTCTCTCGGTTACTCGACGATCTCGTTTCGGATTCCCTGAGTTGTCCAGGGACGGTGGTGGCCAGAGATGAGACACGAAACGAGGTATTTCAGGAATAATTTTTCCATATAACGATCAATCCAGGTCATCGGCGTCTGCCTGGCCAGTCGCCATCATCTATTCGATCAACAGGTTAGGTTCTTTGCTTTTATGAATATTGCTTCTAGTTGGATCGTCTTTGCCGCTACTCCTTCACGGACAAGGGCCTGTCGATTGCCGTCGAATTTTTGAAATATGTTTTTAATAGGTATGTAAAGTTCATATCATTTTATATAAAAGGAAGCCTTCTTCAGGTATTTTCAAAAGTATCTTTCAGGGTCGACGTGGCTTATCACCTGGAGGAGGCCGGCGTTTCAAAGCCCGTATTCGTGGTGCTGGTCGGGGTGAAGCCCGAGTACCAAAAGGGTGGACTCGGAAAGAGGCTTCTCAATGAGAGGTAGGCAACGGCTTCAAGGGTTTCAGCATTCGGCTTTAGTCTCGACTCTGCGCGCAACTCGAGCGATCGCTGCGATTCGGCATTCACCGTGTGCACGTCGGAGGGCGTGCAGCCGCTCTACCACCAACATTTTCGCCAAGTGGTCTGTTTCTCGGGCTTGTCAAAAGCTATTTCAAGGGTTTCACGCGCGTTTTAAGCTCGTTAAATTTTCTCGAATATTGCCTATCATCTTTTATATTTACTACTTATCAATATCAAATTACTTTCAGATTTCGCGGGTTAAGTACAGCGACTACCGCGGCGAGTTTCGTGACCCGCCGATCCGCCCGAAGGCTGCGAACTCTCTTCTCGTCCTTTTGGCCAAACTCTGAGCGTTTGATTGTCATTGTGTTTGTGTTGCTTTCTAATCCTCTGGTATCCGCCCTTCACTCGGTGATCACAATTGGTTCCCCATTCTTTTCTTTGCGATATCTGCTATACCCGGCGCCACTGGTATATTGCCCTCCCCCACTCATGTACCTGACGTAGGATTATCATTGTCATTTGTTTGCAAAATAAAGCATTTATCTGAATGGGTGGGCTATTAAGGCGATTACAACGTGTTGCACACCCTCGACCAGAAATTAGACTCTTAGCTTTGGTAAAAATTTATAAAAGAAGGAACAAAAAGGTAAAAGATTTAGATTTTTCGATTTTTCGACTAAAAACATCCTATCCTATAAGCGAGAAAAGTATGTGTGTTTTCTGTCCAGGCGGTTTCTCGGTCGTAAGGCCGAATTTCCGGCTGATTTTTGGCATGAAGGTGGAGAAACACATTCGCCAAAAACGGTTTTTTGGATTTTTCGAAAGTCCTTAATTTAACGGTTTTACAAGCGAAAATGTAAAAATCCTTAACAAATTGGGTTACGAGCCGCGTTGTACAGGTCATAACTCGAAGCCCTGATGGAATTTCGGTCTGTAATTTGGACCACTTATGTATTTGATAGTGGGGATCACGCGCATCTTATTATCTTTACAAATTTTCTGCGTATTTAGACTAAAAAATGGAATTTTGTAGTGACCAGAAGGCCTTTCTCGTGGGATCATGGGGCCGCCCTTTTCTTTGCCCCTGCCGCGCCCCAGGACAGAAGAGGGCTTTCCCGCCTCTCGATCCCAGCTGCTCCGTGGTGTATTGGGTTAGCGCCAGGGCTACGACGCGCAAGGTAGTGAGTTCAGAGGTGTGCGAGGTTTAGGCCTGACCCTCGCTTTTGCGCCGCTGGCCAAAGAAAAAGTCCTTGGCCCAGGCTCTCGCGCCGCAGGCCAAGGATGGGTCCTGGACCCGGGCTCTAGCGCCGCAGGCCAGATCCAGGAGAAAACCCAGTAACTAGCGCCGCAGGCTCAAAGATTCTAGCGCAACGCTGGCTCTGGCGCCGCAGGCCAAAGAATAGCTCCTTAACTCAGGTTCTAGCGCCGCAGGCTAAAAGAAGAAGGTATTCAAATTCATGATTCCTGGACGGGGTCCAGTGGAAAAGGGCCGCGAAGCGGTCTTTTTCCACTGGTTTTTGATAACTCTCGAGTAAACACTACAAAAAACATCATAAAATACACTATTTACTACCAACAGGTAGGCAGGTTATAAAGGCGATGAACAAAGCATTTCACTATTGAATCAGCAGCGCTAGAAAGCCGCATAAATTGAGGTGAAAGCCATAAACCACCGGGGAGATATCTCTTTCAGCAAATGTGCTTGGTCACCGAATTAATTGAGCACCAACAAAATGACTGACTCGCGGCTCCGCTTCATTTCAAACCACGAATGCTTTATTAGGAGGGGCAACCCCCGGGGCTCGACATCAAAACGACAGTAGCACGAAGGAATACGAAAACCCTTGCAAGGGGGCGAATAATTGGACGGATTAAATGGGATGGGGGCGGATATGGAAACGAGAGAGTTAATGACTATTCGTGGATTGTAAGTGGACTGCTAGGTGTTGATGGAGGGGCAGACACGGGTCTCGGGCAGCCACATGTGGTAGAGGTAGACGATGAACACGAACACCAACAGTCCCAGCCAACAACGCAGCTCCGCTTGCAGCCAGGTCATCGACGGAGTGCTGGTGGTGGCGGAGGGCTGGAATCGGGAACATCCGGAAATAGTATAGTATCGTGTCGGTATTTTAGCTATTTTCCAAATATCATCTACCGGCAGAGCGGAAGCGCATTTATCGGCAGGAAGTGCTTCTAGGGGCGTCTGCGGCGAGACGGGCGACCGAGTGGCATCGGAACCTAAAAAATTTGGATATACCTTGTTGGATCAGGGTTGTGCTCATTTAGGCTTCTGCTTAGAATCCCAAAGCTGGCTTGCCCTTGGCCAAATTGGTCAGACTGGCGATCTTCATCACCGGGCCGGTCGTATTCACAGCATTCTTCGTGCCCGAAGCAGATGATGTGGTCGTGTTCTACAGATACACTTGAGATCTTGAGAACTTATCCCACCTGTGGCTGAACTTGCTGCTGCTTCTTCGGGGTGGAGGGGGTGGCAACAAGGCTCTGCTGGGAGGCAGATGATGCCGTGGTCCTGGAGATGATCTCCGAGATGGTGGGCGAGGTGACGGGCCGTTGACGCATGTACATCTCCAGCGGGGCTGAAAGTTCGATGCCGACATCTTGAACAAGTACAGGAAATTTACCCCTGATGCCCGAGTATTCTTCGATGGATCGACTGACGTAGGCGCCGACACCGGTCGTCTCCAGACGCTCGCAGTTGCACAGCTTGTAGCGGCTGAAAATAATCGGAATTTGGCGCGTTTCTCTCTCTCTCTCTCATCTGATACCGTACTCCATCGGGTCCTCCTGCTGCTGCGAAGGTGCGACCGCCTGCTCGTAGATGTTACCCGAAGATGAGCACTTGCTGACCGAGCTGCTGACCGGGTAGCTGGCCGGGTTGCTCTGAAAGTTTTCAAAGACGTTGCTTGAGCAATAGATATTGCACGCACCACTTCCTCAGTCAGCGACACGGAGCCGGTGCTGCTCGGCGGGGTCGAGGGGGACGTGGCGGCACTCGCCGAAATTGATGCCGAAGCGGTAGATGAATATTGGGAAGGGAGACGCTGACGGGCACGTTGACGCTCACGCAGCATCGAAGCGCGCTCGGAGTGGAGCGGCGAGTCGGTTTCCTGAAGATAGTGGAATAAGTCTACTAAGCCTACGCCTACAGGCCCATCTGCCCCTTCCCTCCCCCCCCCCCGATAACGCGCAAGAACCGCCCATTGAAACAACCTCATAGTCACTCTGCAAAGACCGTCCGGAAGTGGCTTCCGAGGCGCTCTCCTTCTCGTCCTCCCCTTCCGCTTTCCGAGACGTGTCGGGCCCTGGACTTGCCGAGGTTGTGGCAGCGTGTTTGGGGCTACCCGGATCAGTGCGTGCCATCTCGTTACCAGCACACACGCGCCACACCATCGGGTCGAGCTGGCTAAACACGGGATTTCCTTGAGAAATTCCTGAAGGATCTCTGCTCGTTAGCCACTGACGAGGTGGTGCCGGGACGAGCTGGGCGACGAGCCACTGATCGATCGTTGATCAGGATCGCCTTCTGCTTCTCAATCTCCTTCCAGACGCCTTCAAAGTGAGGCGCGTTGCCCGGCGAGTCCGCCTTAACATAATCAACTATCAACTATAATAATTTTCTTGACGCGTCCGTCTGTCCGTCTGTGTGAAGCCGAATTCAACTCGAAGGGGAAAGGAGCTAGAGCTTAGCTCTCTTCGGATTCGGATAGAGCGTGGTCAGAAACCCCAAACTGATAAAAAATTATTAAAAAGTTTTAGTTTAAATTATTAAAATTAACTTTGAAAGTTTTTCCTTAGTAAAAGGAGTGGGGGCCCCTTTCCCGGGAGGCCACGCCCCCTTTCTCTTCGCCCATCTTCCCCAGGCCCCTTCCCGCGCCCAAATAGCTTTTTAAGTTACTTTAATACTTTTAATACTTTTTAATACTTTTTAATACTTTTTAATTATTATGCTAATTAATTATTTAAATCATCTGAAGCCATCGGGAAGGTATTTAGGTAGTTTTAAAGGGGATTTCAGCCATGGGGGTATCCGAAGCCATCAGGAAGGTATTTAGGTAGTTTTGAAGGGGATTTCAGCCATGGGGGTATCCGAAGCCATCAGGAAGGTATTTAGGTAGTTTTTGAAGGGGATTTCAGCCATGGGGGTATCTGAAGCCATCGGGAAGGTATTTAGGTAGTTTTGAAGGGGATTTCAGCCATGGGGGGTATCTGAAGCCATCAGGAAGGTATTTAGGTAGTTTTTGAAGGGGATTTCAGCCATGGGGGGGTATCTGAAGCCATCAGGAAGGTATTTAGGTGTTTTTGAAGGGGATTTCAGCCATGGGGGGTATCTGAAGCCATCGGGAAGGTATTTAGGTAGTTTTTGGAAGGGATTTCAGCCATGGGGGGTATCCGAAGCCATCAGGAAGGTATTTAGGTAGTTTTTGAAGGGGATTTCAGCCATGGGGGTATCCGAAGCCATCAGGAAGGTATTTAGGTAGTTTTGAAGGGATTTCAGCCATGGGGGGTATCTGAAGCCATCGGGAAGGTATTTAGGTAGTTTTTGAAGGGGATTTCAGCCATGGGGGTATCCGGCCATCAGGAAGGTATTTAGGTAGTTTTTGAAGGGATTTCAGCCATGGGGGGGTATCCGAAGCCATCAGGAAGGTATTTAGGTAGTTTTTGAAGGGGATTTCAGCCATGGGGGGTATCTGAAGCCATCAGGAAGGTATTTAGGTAGTTTTTGAAGGGGATTTCAGCCATGGGGGGGTATCTGAAGCCATCAGGAAGGTATTTAGGTAGTTTTTGAAGGGGATTTCAGCCATGGGGGGGTATCTGAAGCCATCAGGAAGGTATTTAGGTAGTTTTTGAAGGGGATTTCAGCCATGGGGGGGTATCTGAAGCCATCAGGGAAGGTATTTAGGTAGTTTTTGAAGGGGATTTCAGCCATGGGGGGGTATCTGAAGCCATCAGGAAGGTATTTAGGTAGTTTTTGAAGGGGATTTCAGCCATGGGGGTATCTGAAGCCATCAGGAAGGTATTTAGGTAGTTTTTGAAGGGGATTTCAGCCATGGGGGGTATCTGAAGCCATCAGGAAGGTATTTAGGTAGTTTTTGAAGGGGATTTCAGCCATGGGGGGTATCTGAAGCCATCAGGAAGGTATTTAGGTAGTTTTTGAAGGGGATTTCAGCCATGGGGGGTATCTGAAGCCATCGGGAAGGTATTTAGGTAGTTTTTGAAGGGGATTTCAGCCATGGGGGGTATCTGAAGCCATCAGGAAGGTATTTAGGTAGTTTTTGAAGGGGATTTCAGCCATGGGGGGTATCTGAAGCCATCGGGAAGG